CAGCACCACCAGCAGCAGCGGCGGCAGGAGCGCCGTCAGCAGCAGCAGCAGCGGCAGCAGCAGCAACAGCAGCAGCAGCGGCAGCATCAGCATAGCATAGGTCCATCATCATCGTTTTGGATCGCTTGCGCGCGATTGGCTGCCCCGGCTGGGGGGACCGACAGCCACCACCACCACCACTACCACTACGGCCACTGCCGGCATTGCCACCGCTGCCACTGCCGCTGCCAGAGGCAGCGCTGGTGGAGGATGCTGCAGCGCTGTTGTCTCGTGCACCCGTCAGCATGGCACCGCCTACTGTGTGGCCAAGGCCAGTCGATCCAGCAGCAGCGGCTGCAACACTAGCACCAGCGCCAGCACCAAAACTGCCGAGCCCAATGGCAAACGTTTCTACAGACAAGCCGCCTGCGCCAGTCGCCCCTGGCTGCACTGTGGGCTTCTGAAAGGTCCCAAACGGCGGGGTTTGCCGCACGCAGTGCAGTTGCCCTTCCGGGCGTGATCCGGGGACTCGCTTATGCAGCATCATCGAAGCGGGCGTGTTCGGCGGTGGGTTCTTAGGCGTCTCAAATGGCACCATGGGCGGTTTTTGAAGCGCCTCGAAGGGAGATTTCTGAAGCGCCTGAAAGGGAGGTTTCTGGAGCGCCTCAAAGGGAGATTTCTGGAGCGCCTCAAAAGGCGCTGGGGATTTCGAAGGCGACGCTTCAAATGGAGTCGGCGGCGCCTTGAGCATATGCTGCACGTACATCTGCCGCCCTCCCTGTGGCTCCAGCTGCTGCTTCTGCTGCTGCTGACTGCACATTGCATCCATAACGCTGAAGGTGAAAATCCCAGGTTCCTGCTTTCGCTCCTCCAGCTGCTGCTGCTGCTCCAGCTGCTGCCGCTGCTCCTGCATGCGCTGCTCCAGCTGCTGCCGCTGCTCCTGCATGCGCTGCTCCAGCTGCTGCTGCTGCTGCTGCTGCTGCTGCTGCTGCTGCTGCTGCTGCTGCTGCTGCTGCTGCTGCTGCTGCTGCTGCTGCTGCTGCTGCTGCTGCTGCTGCTGCTGCTGCTGCTGCTGCTGCTGCTGCTCCAGCTGCTGCTGCTGCTGCTGTTGACTGCCCAGTGCGTCCAAGAAATTGAAGTTAAATACCCCAGGCTCTCCCTTCCGCTGCTCCACCATCCCACGCTCAACACCGCCGCCTACTAGGAGTAGAGGCGGCATTTGGCCTGGTATCACAGGACTCCCCCTAAGAGTAGTACTATCACAAGTGATATTGGCGCTCTCAGATTGGCCCTGCGCCGTAGGCGGCGGCGGCGGCAGCGGCGCCTGCTGCTGTGGTTGCGGCTGCAAGCGGGGCGGGGACGCCGCCGCCGTTCCCGCCGCCGCGGGGAGCTGGATCTGCTGCGGCGGCGGGTGGTTGTGCTTCTCCCGGCACCACACGCGCCGCGGCATGAGCGTGCGGCCTCGCCGCTCGAGCACCGGAAGCGCGTCGAGTAGCTCCTGGTGCTCCCTCCAATCCGTCCCGCCGCCGCTACCCTCCCCCGCGCCGCCATCCTCATCACTCGCCGCAGCCGCCGCCGCAGCCGGCGGCGTCGCGGATGAAAACGGAGGGGAGCCTGCTAAGTCGGAGTCGGATCCCGGAGCGCCGCCGCCGTCGCAGGCCCGTACGACGATGGGTACGTTCTTGGATGACGCCGACTCTTTCGGGACCTTGTCGATGATCAGCTTTGCGGGACAGCCGGTGGTGTCGCGCTCCGCGCAGTGGTAGTAGAACCTGCAGTAGAAGAGCAAAAGGAGGGAAAGCGGCGGAGGCGGTTTTAGTGGACCGCGAAATCTCACGAGTTTTGACCAGCGGTACGATTCGGATGCGGGATGGGTCCCGACAGGAAAAAAAAAAAAAAAAAATAGAAAAAGGAGTTTTCCTTTTCCGCCAGGGACCTTACAACGGTCTGCGCGTTCGTTGACTTTACGTGGACATTTCAAATATTCTTCGTTGCAACCTGGGAGATGATCATAATGGCGATGGTCGACGAGTGGCATCCTGGCGACGGCCGCGTCTGAAGTGATCTTTTCATCGAGCTTCCACGATATATTATCACCTTTTGGCGTTCTGCGAGACGAGAAATTTCTGTCCGTATTTTTTCCACTGGTAAGATGCTTTCTCCTCGGTGCCGGCCTTTCCGCCGGCCTCGCCGGTGCTTCCTAGCATCACTAATGCGGCTCCGACTGTCGCCTGGCGGGTTGCTTACTAACAGACAGCTCGGAACTTTGGGTGACTCGTGTGTTCAGGAATTTCACGCTCGCACGTAGAGATTCGTTGAAATAAAGGCTGGAATACGCGAACTGAGTTCGCAAGCTGCGACACGTAAAAAACGTAGAAGCACGTGTCTCGCAGATCAGCTTCTTAGAAAAAATGAAGCTATCATGGTTCCGTCTTTCAAGTTCAACAAAGCAATATTTTTCAGGAGATTTTGCAGCAGAAATGCCAGTGAGGTGATTCTGCTGCAAGGGAGAGGGGAGGATGAGAGCGAGAGGGGGAGGGGGTTTGCGCTTGGTGTTGTGGTGTTTTTGTGTGTGGGGGGGGGGGGAAGGGGAAAAGGGGGCAGGGCAGACGAGGTTTGATGTGAAGAGGTGCGTGCGCGGGGGGCACTGGTTGGGCGAGAGGGGGGCAACAAGACGAAACGAGGAGATAGAGGATAGGGGGACCAGATCGGACAGGCAGGCTGACTCATCCACTGCAGGCATTCCGTTCCGGTGGGCTCGCTGCGCTGCTGACGGGTGCACTGTTCACAGTGGGACATTATTTGGCGCCTCCGTGCCTCTCCCTCAATTTTAGCTTTTGGAGTTTTGTGAATAGAAGGATGCCTCGTGACTCGTGAGTGAACTTGAGTGCGCATCCAGGCTGATTTTGAGCTGCCGGGGAGGGTTGCATGGAGGAAGGCAGATGCAGCAGTGTAGAATCAGTTGGGATGGGATGTCTCGTCTCGTCACGAAGGACCGGAACGCATTTACGATCTGCCAAAGTATGCCCAAATAAGAAAGAAACCAAGAATACATTACAGTTTGAAATGAATGGATTTGGATTCTCGCTACTGCTGATGTGCTGCGTTGATGGGTGAGCTAGGGCGGCGTGTCGTAACTTAACTAAACAATGTATTGTACTGATGCGGATTGCAGTGTTTCCAACTGCAATTGAGTTCCAGACTACCATATCACAGAATTGTGCCACTCTGCCTTCCTGGATCAGAAATGTGCGTATCAGAATGCTAAACGAGTACCATATCAGAAGAATCTGTCGGGAAAAGTGTACTGCACGTACATTCAGCTCATCTGGGAGTGTATTCTGCAGCATTCTGCCCCCCAGCTGTGAGTGAGTGAGTGGCGTCCTTGTTGGATGGCAGGGCGTCCTTGGAATGAAGCTCGAACGGAAGCTCTGTTGTGTGCCCACAAAACATTCGTATTACTGAGCAAATTTATTGTCAGTTACCACTGTGATGTGTACATTGTGTCCTTCAAAAACATTTTTATCCCAATGTTGGGTGATCCTGCTAGGGGCAGCGTTCAACAAAAGATACATCTGGTTCCCCGTTCGGCACCCTAAGCTGTTAGTTATTGACAGTGGAAAGGATGGCCAGCTTATCCGACGCGGTAGCTTTCACGCGCTTGTGTACTGTATCATGCCTGATGGCCATATGTATCAATGTCCCGAAGGTGTACTTGCAAGGATGCCATATGCAGCACAGCTCAACATCAAAGACGAAGACTGCCGCTCTTGTCTTCTTTGATTCTTAGCAAAAACTCGAATAATACTAAAAGTCTTCATGAGAAGCAGCGTCGGTAGACACGTCTATGCTAAGGACGTGGTGCAGATCATCCTGATCCGAGTGCGATCGTGTCAGAATGGGGCAATCGACCATTTCCAAGAAGCCGCAAGGGTATTTTGAGGCAATCGCATGCAATCGGGGGCAATCTGTCGATTGCAATCGGCAATCCGATCGATCACAATCGATCGCCTCGATCTGACGCAATCGCTTGCGATCGATTGCAATCGACAGATTGCCTTAGATCGCGGAGCCTGGCGACCATCGCGAACGGTAACTTCCTCTGACGAAGCTCGACACTGCTCGCAGCACCATCGGATATCGCGATATTGCAGCATTGAAGATTCGGGAACCCAAAAAGAGGCTACACTGTAATTGCGCGACACAGATTTTTCGCCAAGTGTCGCCAACTTTGCATGGAAGGGACGGGGGAACAGCCTAGAGCCCGCGCGGCTAATTCCCACTTACTTCCCCGAAATTCATCGTAGGAACGCGCGGCTCGGGACGCAATCGACAGATTGCCTCAGATTGGGGCAATCCCATCCAATCCGATCCGACCCGACCCGATCGTCCGATCTGATGCGATCGATCGCCCGATCTGCACCGCGTGCTAAGGACGTGGTGCAGATCGGGGAGATCGACGACCTCAGATCGTGGATCGGGTCGGGTCGGATCAGAACGGGTGGAATTACCCCAATCTGAGGCAATCTGTCGACCGCGTCCCGAGCCGCGCGATCTGACAGTAAATTTCGCAAAAGTTCTATGAAAACACGCTCCTTCCTGTCAGAAATGGCGACACCCAGCGAAGTTTTGAATCGCGCGATTACATTGTAGCCCCGTCTTGGGTTCCCGATTCTACCGAAGTTATGATATCGCGATATCCAATGGTGCTGCGAGTAGTATCGAATGTTGGCACGGTGAGGTACCGTTCGCAACAGTTGCCAGGCCCCGCGATCTGAGGCAATCTATCAATTGCAAACGATCGCAGTCGATTGCGTAATCGATCAGGTTTTCGATCGCAAATGAGAGATTGCTCTCGATTGCAAGCGATTGCCTGAAAATACCCCTGCGGCTTCCCGGAAATGGTGTATTTTCCCGATCTGCAGCAATCGGACTCAGATCGCTCCGATCTGCACAACGTCCTAAGGACTGGCAACCCAGGTCGTTGAGAACTACTGGTCTACTGGGCAGGCAACGCAGGAAAGGTTTTCCTTGCTGATGACCGACGGATCTTTGTCCACACTCAATTTGAGGATGTTCTCGTCCGCTAGCCACAGCCACAACTACACGCGGTAACGATAAACGAATCCAATCCAATCCTCAAATAAAGTTAAGACTTACAGGCTTAGCAGTGCATACAATCTCTCAGACCTACAAGGAGCTGGCAGGCAACCTACAAAAAGTACTCGATCAAAGCACCCATTATCAGGTAACGACGGTACCACACGGTAAAAGACGGTTCATTTTCACCATTTCGCATAGCGACGGAACAAATCAAAACATGAACTAACGGTGAATATGAAACGAAACCAGCCAGAAAAATCACGGTCTGCGAAAACATCCGACTTTCACAAGCACTCATATTTTACCGTTCGTGCCGTGAACAAAAATGTACACTGCACACTCACTTCAGCAGGAGGCCAAGATCTGAGCCCACGACCACTGAATCGGAGTGATTGGGGTTGTCAGCGACATCTACAGTGACAGCTCCATCTTTCCGAACGTGAACAAATGAAACCCGCGATTAATGCTACAGCACAAAGGGCGCTGTCCTTCCAGAAGCCACTGGAAGGATCGTGTCACAAGTTGCATCAGCGGCGGCGCCCATTTTTCGGGTCAGGTCCGTTTCTGTTGCGCGTGTCACAACATGAGGGTGCTGTTCGACAGCACCATTATATCGAAAACCCACGGGATAACGACGGGATCAGGAAGGTGGGTCTCGCCTTCCTGATCCCGTCAGTTAGAGTTCGTTAACCTCCGTCAGCTTGGTCAGCCCGTGAAAAAAGTGCCGAGCCTCACCTACCGTCCAAACCAACAAACAAAGTGGGCGTCTGGCGAACGCCCACTTTTCAACAACAAATCTAACAGTTCGACGGCATCGGGAAGCGGGGACGAAACTTCGTCCCCAGGCAAAACACCATCCCCTAGCCATGCCATCGCCATGCTGCGTTTTTCAAAGCACAGCGATGGCACAGCCGTCGCATTGCCGTTCAAAGGGGTTTGGGGGGAAGGTGGGGATGGACCTTCCCGATGCGGTTGCGAAATTTCGCCTTTCGGGCGCGCGTAGTTTCTCGGGCGGCATTTCGCCCAAACCTCGGAGGAGGGTTCCGCCCCCGTTTCCATATGCGGTCGCGATGCTGATGCCATCGTTTTCAATTTAAAAAACGATTTGCTGTCGAACAGCACCGAGATAGTAGGCATCACGGTGGGAAGGGGAGGGAAAATGTGAAGCTGCCTGCCTCTGCAATTTTAGGTTCGAAATGGCGGTCAGCCCGGAAATGCTGACGTGGCAGTCATTTCCCTCCCGAACCTAATCGAAGGGAAATGCCTGCAGAACAGTCATTTCCCTTCAGGGAAATACCCCAAGGGAAGGCTCCTATTTCCCCTCACCACCTTCCTCCTCGGGCAAATTTGTTTGCCTTCGCCCCGCCATCGGCCACCCACCCTTCACGGGGAAGTGCGATGGTGACGGGAGGGAGGAGCTGGGCGTGGGAACACCAGCCTCCCACCCAAAAAAACCACACAGAAAAACACGGTCTAGCCCAACCAGGGTGGCACCTCCCAAATCGTTAAAAAATAGCACACCCCAACCCCCTTCTCATGGCGAAGGATCTCTTGTGTGTTTTGGGGCTCGATTTTATGTTCCAATTACCCTTGATGGGCGAAGTACCCTGGGTGCACTATACAGCGGTCTGGAATTATCCCTCTCTTGGGCGCGCGAAAGTCAGAGCGCACTTCGTCATTTCCCTTGGAAAACTTCCGCCCCACGACGCGAAATTTCCCACCTTGCATGTTTGCCCAGGGGGGAAAAGGCGACCTCGGAATCCTCCTCGGAACCCTCCTCATTTCCCTTCTCCCTCCCTCCACCCCCAATTGTCAGGTGCCTATAGAACGACACCAGTGTCACAGCGAAAGACTGCTTGCTGCTTTTGGACACTCTTGTCCTCGCTGCTATGGATTCCTATTTTCTGAACAGTCACGTCCAGCAGCTCTACCACCCACAATATTATAGTCACAGTTCTCATTGAAACGCTTCAGCTAAGTTTGTTACGTTGTGTAGAAGTCTATGTAATACGTTTTAGATAATATAGGCAAAACTAACTTTCAGAATGCCCCTCACCAGTGTCTTTATGTGCTCCACAATAACAAAAAAACAGGGTGTATCCTGCTCTCTGTAGGGATAGCTTGATAATAGCGCAGAATTTCAAGGCCCAAAAAAATGTTACCTATTGAGACAATGTACAACGCTGCAATACAGGCATGTTTGCCCCAATCCATTCGTATGGAACCCAATACACTCCCTACATAGCAGATTAGAAGCATGCCAATGGAATCATGACACCAACTTAACAAGCCGAATTTCAGGGAACTTGTCTTTCAAGGCAGCCTGTATCCCCATGGCCATAGGTGGTGGCCCCTCAAACCGCACTTCACAAAAGCCCTTCACGAGGTCAAGAGAGACTGCTGACGCAGACGCTCCGTATTTGCTGAGGGTGGGTTGGAGAACCTGTGAGAGATGATTTTCCACAGCCTGCACAAGGGAGAGAAAAAGGTAAAGGTGCAGGGGCAAATTTGACGGAAGGAGGAGGGGCAGAGAGGCACAGCCTTGATTTACTAGTCGGCCGGAATATCGCCTCGGATTGCTGGCACAGATGCTCCGTACTTGCTCAGACTGGGTTGGAGGACCTGTGAGAGGTGATTCTCCACAGGCTGCGCGAGGGGGAGAAGGGGAAAGGATGGCAAGGCAGACGGTACAGAAGACGAAGGGCACAGAGGCACATGCATGCTTTTTCACTTACGGCGGAGGGATGGCACACCCACTTGGATTCACTTACGGCGAGTGTGCGTGCTCAAGGGTTTATGTGTGTGCTTACAGCGAGGGTGAGTGTGTGTGCTTACAGCGAGGGTGAGTGTGCGTGTGTACAGCAAGGGTGCGTGCTCAAAGGTTTGTGACTGTGCCTACAGAAAGGGTTTGTTTGTGTGCTTACAGAGAGGGTGAGCCTGTTGTCAACACCACCCAGCTGCATCACCTCCTTCAGCTTCTCCCCAAACGCGTGTGTGTGCTTCGTGATCTCACAGCATTGTGCAGCGGGTGTGCGCTAGCAGCGAGGCTGCATGTGTGTGCTTACAGCGAGGGTGAGTCGGTTGTCAACACCACCCAGCTGCATCACCTCCTTCAGCTTCTCCCCAAACGCGTCCTGCAGGGCTCTCTCAATGCCCATTTTCATCGTTGCTGCTGAGCTGGGGCACGTGTTGCAGGCACCTGAGGGGTTGAAAAGGGAGAATGCAGAATGCGGCATGTGAATTTGGCTAAAAAAAAGCATATTACTAGGATGAAGCACATGGGCCCTCCCGATGCCCACCTTCACTGTCGCCTCATTGGAGCTGGGGCACGTGTTGCGGGCACCTGAGGGGGAGAAAAGGGGACAGGGCATTGAGGTGACTGTTGGGGTGAACCACGTGTACCCTGCAGGGCCCTCTCGATGCCCATCTTCATTGTCACTTCATTGGAGCTGGGGCACTTGTTGCAGGCACCGGAGGGGAGAAAAGGGGACAGGGCATTGAGGTGACTGTTGGGACGACTCACATGCAGTCTTCACCTCCACGTTGCTTTTGAGGCGCCTCAACAGCGTTCACCTCCACTTTGCTTTTGAGGCGACTCAAAAACGTTCACCTCTACATTGCCTGCATCCGCCACGATGTAACGGCCACACCCGATCCAACACACTGTGTGTGTGTGTGTGTGTGTGTGTGTGTGTGTGTTTGTGTGTGTGTGTGTGCGCGCGCGCGCGTGCGCAAGTGCATATGCGCACTACCTTGCAGCTGCAGGATAACAACGTCATTCTCCACCGCCTTCACCTCCACATTGCTGCCATCAGCCACCAGGTATGGCCGTACGCGATCCAGCACACTATGTGTGCATGTGCGTGTGCATGCGTGTGCGTGCATATGCGCGCACGTGTGCGAGTCCCTACCTTGCAGCTGCAGGATAACAACGCCATTTTCCACGGCCTTCACCTCCACATTCCCCCCATCCGCCACCAGGTACGGTCGCACCCGATCCAGCACGCGGTCAGCCGACTCAACTGTCAGATCCATTTCTCCCTCCGCTTCCTCTACTCCCCCTCCCGCCCCTGTGGCTGAAGCACCTGGGCGGGCAAATGGGCTAACAATAGGTGCTGCAGGAGGGGGGGTATTGGAGGATGGGGCTAGCCCGCTGCCTTGCTGTTGCTGTTGCTGTTGCTGTTGCTGTTGCTGTTGATGTGGCTCTTCGCGCCTCTCCCGTTGCTGCTCTGGAAGGCTTTCCATTAGAGCCTCCTCTAGCGGCAACGGTTTCCTGTGTCTGCCCGTCAATCACAGAGCTCCAGTCGTCGCCTTCTGTGGCCTGCACGCAACAAGCCGGCCAATTCACGCACGCACAGAACAGACCATTAAAGCCTCCTCTAGCGGCAACAGTTTCTTGTGTCTGACCGTCAATCACCGAGCTCCAGTCGTCGCCCTCTGTGGCCTGCATGCAGCAATTCAGTCGAAACAGGCACAGACAGAGAGGACGATGTCATGCCGTGCCATGCCATGCCGTGCCATGCCATGCCGTGCCATGCCATGCCATGCCATGCCATGCCATGCCATGCCATGCCGTGCCATACCATCCCATGCATGCCGTAACTTCTCTCGCATGTCCCCAGCTTGCTTTCTACTCTTCCAAGCCCTCTCACCAAAACACCAAATGCCCACCATCCCCTCATTTCACCACTCCACCATCTCCCTCCACCTACGTCACCCCCGCCATCTCTCTCCATCCATCTCCCTCCATCTCCAATCGAACCACACCCCGTCTCACCTGCAGCAGCTGCAGCCTGCGTCTGTCGCTCTCCCCGTCCGTCTCCCCGCCCTCCACCCGCCGCCTATACTCCTCATCATCCATCAGGTTCTCCCCCATCGCCTTGCGCATCCTCAGCCGCCGCTCCTCCTGCTCCGCCTTCTCCCCCTCGCTCAGCTCCCCCCCTCAGCCGCCGCCGCCGCTGCCGCGCCCACCTGCGCGCCCTGCGCCTCCCAGCGGGCGAAGCTGAAGGGGGAGAGATGGGATGGGAGGAAGTGTGGAAGAGGGGGAGAGAAATAGCAGGGGTTGGGACGAGAAAGTAGGTGGAAAGGGGTACTCGGATTCGGATGGGATGGGTAGAACGAACAAGTTGCACAGACAGCTTAGAGGGTGGGGAGAAGAGAAGGGTACCAGTCCCGTTCTTACCTGCTAGTCTGCATGAAATTTTCGCTCTGACCAAGCTCCTGCAACCACCGCCTCCGCTCTCCGTCCAGCACTGCCCGGGAAAGCATTGAAACTGCCCGGTACACCTGCACTCGCACTGAGCTGCACAGCTCCTCGCCCATCGCCGCCCTGTGGCCCTGCGAAAGGGAGGGAGGAGAGGAGGAGGAGGAGGAGGAGGAGGAGGAGGAGGAGGAGGAGGAGGAGGAGGAGGAGGAGGAGGAGGAGGAGGAGGAGGAGGAGGAGGAGGAGGAGGAGGAGGAGGAAAGAGTGGAAAGATAAGCGGCATTTGTAACACTTCGAGATTTGGGCTCACATCTGCAGAGCCTCTCTGCATATTAGCACCTCATTTACGCGGCTCCTCAGCCCCTCGGTACCCCCCTCGGCACCCCGTTCGGTACCCCCATCAGTGCTGGGTTGGCTCGCATCTGCGTAGCCCCTCGCGCCCACGCGCATGTGAGCCCAAGAACGACCTCACCTTGAGCGACACCACGATGTTGCGCGGGTAACTGGCGCCTCAACGGTTATCTCTCTACCCTCAACTGTCATCTTTCTACCCGCATGAGCCTGCAGGCGACCTCACCTTGAGCGACACGACGATGTTGCGCGAGTACCCCACGTACTGCAGCGCGCCAGCGCCGTCATACACGGCGTAGATCCCGGCGAGCTTCTGCAGCTCGCGCGCCGCCACGTAGTCCTGCACCGCGGACAGCAGCGCGCCGTCGTCCTCGCCTGGCCGCACCGTGTATGCGGATGTCGCGGCCTCGTGCACGTCTAAGAGAGGCGGCGCGGGAGTTTGGAGCGGGAGAGAGAGGGCATGAGGATGAGAATAATGTCTTTGGGAGGATGAGGGGGCAGCAGCGTGCCGTCGTCCTCGCCCGGCCGCACCGTGTATGCGGGTGACGTGGCCTCGTGCACGTCTGATGGGATGCACGCATGGGGGTTTCGGAGAAGGGGAGGTGCGGCATGGGGATGGGGAGGCGAGTTTTGAGTCGACTCAAAACTCCTCGCCTGGCCGCATGGAGTGTGCGGATGAAATGGGGATAGGGTGGCTTTTGAGTCGACTCAAAAGTCACCTTGAAATGGGGATAGGGTGGCGTTTGAAGGGGACGAGGGTTGAGGTAACGTCAACATGAAATCGACGATTGAGTCGATTCAAGACACGGTAGCGGGGTGGCTTACTCGTCACGTACCCTATCTTCTCAATATCACGTGCTTATTGCGACATCTACCTAGACGGCTCTGGTATACCTTAGAGCCTCACCAACCTTCCAAACCTTTGCCGTAGCAAACTCGCGCATTCCTCTATGCGACTCCTGACCGTCGCGTCTGCCATCAATGCCACGTGGCCCCGTCCTGTTTCACGACTGGCCATGACGCTGACTCTGGCACTAGAAAGCCCTCTCGTGTCGTCAAGTCCAACGTACCTCCCTCGCCGTAGAGGAAATCATGCAGCCCTCTGTGTCCCTCGGGAACTGTCGCGTCCGTCACTACTGCCACGCCTCCGATCCCGGGCACGCTGGCAGCCACGCTACTGGGCGGCGCTGATGCACTCGGCGATGGCGACGATTCATTGGCTGTATCAACAGGTGCTGTCGAATCGGCTCGGACGGCCGCTATTCGTGATTGGTTCGGCCGAAATGTCACAGACCTTCGATGTGGAAGGGATTTTAGTGGGGAGCCACTGGAGAGTGGCCGAGCGGCGATGGTGCGATGTAGTTGATTTGGTTGTACTCTAAGCGTTATGGCAGCTTTAGTAGCTGCCATCATTGGCCGAAGGTGAGACGTTGCGGCGATGCAGCTCTCGCACACGACCACCATGGCTGAAAGAAGGTCCGAAAGAACTGACAGACAAAAGTGCGTCACGGATATGACAAAAGTGCGTCACGGATATTTTCCTTCCGCGGACAATGCGACAGCTAATGGTAGAAGCTTCCCCGAATAGAATCCTCCAATGGAGGACTGCGGTGAAGGGCTATCTTCTATAAGAAGCGAATCGAAAGCTTGAAACTGAACTTGCAGTAAGGATCAGTATACTCTAACGGAAGAGCCCAGCTCGCCTGGTTATGTAAGTGATGTGTGGGTGGGAATGGCGAAGAAAATTCCAGGTTCAGGAATGTCTTGAGATAGGCAATCCTCCAGCAGATGAACTTCTCTTGCAGATTTGAGGAACCAGAATGCAAAAAACAGGCACAACCGAGAAGAACAGAGCAGAAACGAGTCGAATTCCTGAGAATCAAGCTCCTCACAATGTCGGTCGGTCAACTTCGAGGTGTTCTGGTACAATGCTGTGTCAGCGCGAAGTGTGAAAGATTGCTTGTGGCCAATCAGTGCAAAGTGTTCGGATTGCGTTTCGCTCCGCGATTGGAAGGAAACTGCCTGCCACATCCAGGGGGGCTGAATCTGGCAGAGGCTCGGTTTCATCAACGTCCACGTCAGCCTGATGCCATGTGCCGAGAACGCGACCAATGTTCGACTGTTTGTTCGCTGTTGAAGATACGTCGTTCTTATTTATGCGTCGATAATTCACAGCATAACCAACTAATCAAGCCGTCCAACCCAGCATCACCGCCCCCCATCGTTCGTTGAGAACTGGGCACGAACAGATCATAATCGCGCCAGCTGACTTCAGAACACAGAGGCCTCGCTGCAAGCTGATTGATGTTTTTGCGGTACGCACTCGTAGAACGATGGAAAAGAGTCGTGTGGTCGTGTTGGACAACGGAGGGGCCACGTGCAAGATAGGCTTCGGAGGGGAGGCGGAACCGGTGAAGGTCATACCTAACTTCGTGGCCAAAGCCAAGGGCCTGAAACGGCCGTTCGTTGCTGACCTAGTCGACACGTGTCCCGACATCAAGGTAATAGGTCGTCAAGCTGACCTAGTTATTATCCGCGCTGGCCAACCCTGCCGCGTTTTGTGGAAAGTTACTTTGGAATATACTATCGCCCGTGCTGCTATTTTGGCCTTAATTCTGCCTTATTTTCGGGTTGGGCTTGAATCCAGCTTTTCTGCCAACCTTTTTCTAGGGTTTGGGCGTGCTGAGGCCCGTTGACCGCGGCTACGTGGTCAACTGGGATCTGCAGCAAACCATCTGGGACAGAGCGTTCTCCGGTATTCTCAAGGTACTACGTGAATGAAACCACATTTTCCCTCGTCAAGGCAACGCCTACATTCTGCCTGATTCCGTTTTTCACCTCCCATCCCTCGTCCCATGGTTCCTCTCTTCATCCCAAATCCTCCTCAACACTCCCCGTTTCACCTCCCATCCCTCCTCCCCACCTCCCCCAGGTGCAACCGTCCAGCACATCACTATTGGTATCAGAGCCGCTCTTCAGCCTGCCAGGCATGCAGCGCAGCATGGCGGAACTCGCCTTCTGTACCGACCTGCCCGTCCCCTCCCCCCCCCCCCTTCCCCAGGTGCAGCCGTCCAGCGCGTCTCTATTGGTATCAGAGCCGCTATTCAGCCTGCCGGGCATGCAGCGCAGCATGGCGGAACTCGCCTTTGAGCACTTCGCCTTCCGCTCCTACCTCCCCGTCCCCTCCCCCGTGCTCGCGTACAGCCATGAGGTGTGTGAGTGAGTGGCAGCATGTGAGGCATGAGGTGAGTGAGTGCGTTTCTCTTGATCATGTTCCTCTCCATTCCCCTGTCCGTGCGCACTGCATGAGTGTTTGTGGGTTGCTTGCAGCATGTGCTGTACGTACATTCCTCGTTCTCTTTTTCATTTCCATTCCTCCCCTTTCGCACCCACTCATTCTCCTGCTATCCCGCCAAACACATCGTCCCTGATTGTCGTTTTCCCCTGTCCTGCTGCATCAGGGCAGTCGTCCATGCTCCGTGATTCCCCACCTCCACCAACGCCGTCACTTCTTGCATCGTCATCAGCCACTGCTGCCAGCTCAGCATCAGCAGCTGCCAGCTCAGCAATGGCACTAGAGGCAGGCTGTGGGCTGGTGGTGGATGCCGGCTTCTCCTTCACGCATGCCGTGCCCATCTGGAACAACAGACCGCTGCTGCAGGCCGTCAGGTGAAAACAACAGATTGTTTTTGAGTTCACTCAAAAGCTTCTCCTTCACGCATGCCGTGCCCATCTGGAACAACAGACCGTTGTTGCAAGCCGTCAGGTGAAAACAACAGATTGTTTTTGAGTTCACTCAAAAGCTTCTCCTTCACGCATGCCGTGCCCATCTGGAACAACAGACCGCTGCTGCAGGCCGTCAGGTGAAAACAACAGATTGTTTTTGAGTTCACTCAAAAGCTTCTCCTTCACGCATGCCGTGCCCATCTGGAACAACAGACCGCTGTTGCAGGCCGTCAGGTGAAAACAACAGATTGTTTTTGAGTTCACTCAAAAGCTTCTCCTTCACGCATGCCGTGCCCATCTGGAACAACAGACCGCTGCTGCAGGCCGTCAGGTGAAAACAACAGATTGTTTTTGAGTTCACTCAAAAGCTTCTCCTTCACGCATGCCGTGCCCATCTGGAACAACAGACCGCTGCTGCAGGCCGTCAGGTGAAAACAACAGATTGTTTTTGAGTTCACTCAAAAGCTTCTCCTTCACGCATGCCGTGCCCATCTGGAACAACAGACCGCTGCTGCAGGCCGTCAGGTGAAAACAACAGATTGTTTTTGAGTTCACTCAAAAGCTTCTCCTTCACGCATGCCGTGCCCATCTGGAACAACAGACCGCTGCTGCAGGCCGTCAGGTGAAAACAACAGATTGTTTTTGAGTTCACTCAAAAGCTTCTCCTTCACGCATGCCGTGCCCATCTGGAACAACAGACCGTTGTTGCAGGCCGTCAGGTGAAAACAACAGATTGTTTTTGAGTTCACTCAAAAGCTTCTCCTTCACGCATGCCGTGCCCATCTGGAACAACAGACCGTTGTTGCAGGCCGTCAGGTGAAAACAACAGATTGTTTTTGAGTTCACTCAAAAGCTTCTCCTTCACATGCCGTGCCCATCTGGAACAACAGACCGTTGTTGCAGGCCGTCAGGTGAAAACAACAGATTGTTTTTGAGTTCACTCAAAAGCTTCTCCTTCACGCATGCCGTGCCCATCTGGAACAACAGACCGTTGTTGCAGGCCGTCAGGTGAAAACAACAGATTGTTTTTGAGTTCACTCAAAAGCTTCTCCTTCACGCATGCCGTGCCCATCTGGAACAACAGACCGTTGTTGCAGGCCGTCAGGTGAAAACAACAGATTGTTTTTGAGTTCACTCAAAAGCTTCTCCTTCACGCATGCCGTGCCCATCTGGAACAACAGACCGTTGTTGCAGGCCGTCAGGTGAAAACAACAGATTGTTTTTGAGTTCACTCAAAAGCTTCTCCTTCACGCATGCCGTGCCCATCTGGAACAACAGACCGTTGTTGCAGGCCGTCAGGTGAAAACAACAGATTGTTTTTGAGTTCACTCAAAAGCTTCTCCTTCACGCATGCCGTGCCCATCTGGAACAACAGACCGTTGTTGCAAGCTGTCAGGTAAAAGCAACAGATTATTGTTGCTGGCTGTCAGGTGACAACATAGTCACGGCAGCCAGGTCTAAACAACAGTTTAACTACTGCAGGTGAAAGCAACAGTTGTGTTACCGGGGGTTGTTGGGTGTCAACAAACAATGCAAGATACAGGTCAAGTCAGGTCAAGTCAGGTCAAGTCAGGTCAAGTCAAGACAAGTCATGCGACTACAGCATGGGTCAGTTTCAGAAGGCTCTGAACATTTTGAGAATTCTCAAAAGCGACACAAACATCCTCACAACCCCTTTCGTACTCTCCTCTCTCCCCTTCTGCCTCCATCCAACCTGCTCTCCCTTCCCCAGGCGCATGAACGTGGGGGGTAAGGCGTTGACGAATGTGCTAAAGGAGGTGGTGTCATACCGCGCATGGAACATGATGGACGAGACACTCATCATGGACCATGCCAAGGAGCAACTGTGCTTTGTCTCGCTCTTCCCCACACGCCACCTGCCGTTAGCCAGGTGATTTCTCAGGTGTGCTGGGCGGTTGGCCCAGGTGAGTTCTTTTCGAGATTTTTCGTCTCAGAAGGCGAGTTTCGAAACCCTCATCATGGACCATGTCTAGAAGCAGCTGCTTCTTGTCTCTCTTCCCCGCTTGCCACCTCCCCTTGGCCATGCGAATCCTCAGGTGAGGTCCCTCCTCCCCTCTCTTCTCGCCTCCCTCCTTCCCTCCCTCCTCCCCTCCCTCCTCCCCTCTCTCCTCCTCCCGCCCTCCGTGCACGTGCTCTTGCTTCAGGAAACGGGATGCCAGCAACATATTCCGGGCAGAGTATTTGCTGCCCGACGGGGTGACTCTGCTGCGCGGGCAGGTGAAAGACCGTGCAGCAGCGATGCGAGCCGTGAAGGCCCAGGAGGAGCTGTGGGAGCAACACATGGCAGAGGAGGTGGAAGAGGTGGAAGAGGCAAGGGGAGCAAGAGGAACGAGAGGGAGGAAACGAGGTGGGGCTTTGGTAGAGAGTAGGACGATGCGTGGGAGTAGTGGGGTGGAGAGAGGGAAGGAAGGTGGGAAGATGGGGAGGAAGAGAAGGAGAAGCGGGTGGGAAGGGGAGCGGGAGGACGAGGAGGGAGGTCGAGGGCAGCAGCATGGCAGCAGGAGTGGGGGTGGTGGGGATGATGAGTATGAGGATGAGGAAGACGAGGAGGAGGATGAGGATTGGGATGAGATAAAAGGGCGTGGCAAGGCGAAAGGTGGTGCCATTGCTGTCAGAAGTGGTGGTGGTAACAGTGGTGGTGCTGGTGGTGGTGATGGGGCGAGTACCATGATGCCACCGTCCGCCAACTGCAGAGGCGGTGCTGCTGGCGGCGGTGGTGGTTTGGGCAACAGGAATGGAGGAAGCACCAGCGAGCAGCCTGTGAGTGGAGCGGTGGCTTTTGGAAATTTCTCAAAAGGAACATCAACATGGGGGAATCGAGGGAGGAATAATTTGTCACTCCTGTAGGAACGACTAGGGTGTTTTGAAGCGCGTTATTCGCCCTAGTCGTTGAAGCACAGGAGTGAATGTTTGTCTCTCCGTCCAACTTGTGAATGTCCAACAAAGTTGGACGGAGAGACAAACATTCACTCTCGGTGCTTGCTCGTCGCTGTCTTTCCTGATCCATTAACTCACCATTTCCTTTTCCCAAAAAAACCCCTTGTCTCCTCCTTTTTCCTTGTCTCCTCCTTTTTCCTTGTCTCCTCCTTTTTCTCCTCCCTCCTTCCCCTCTCCTCTCCCCGTCCCATACCCTCCCTCCCCCCCCCCCCCCCCCCCCCATCTCTCATCCCCATCAGGAGCTATCACTGGTATCGGAGCGTTTCATGGTGCCAGCCAGAGAACCTGTTCGACCTGCTTCTCGAGCCTCAAGAGTAGAAAGGAGGGTATCTTCTCCCTCCCTGACCCTCTCTCTCTCTCTCTCTCTCTCTCTCTCTCTCTCTCTCTCTCTCTCTCTCTCTCTCTCTCTCTCTCTCTCTCTTCCCTTCACTGCCCTTTTCCTTTTCCACTCTCTCCACTACCACCCCCTCCCATCCCTCACCCCCACCAGGAGCTATCACTGGCATCAGAGCGCTTCATGGTGCCGGAAAGCCTCTTCCTCTCCACAGTAGCCTCTTCCTCTTCCACTCAAATGCATTTTCCCCTACCCTCCCTTTCCCTCACCCCCCCACGTCCCTTACCTCGCCCCCACCAGGAGCTATCACTGGCATCAGAGCGCTTCATGGTGCCGGAAGGCCTCTTCCACCCCTCCGACCTGGGTACGACGTTCCCTCCTCCTTCTCGACGCCTGCTTCTCACTGCTCACTGTTTGCTGCGTGCTCCTGCTCCTGCTACTGCTCGTTCCTCCTCCTACTGCTGCCTGTTTCTTGCTGCTGCCTGCCTCTCCCGCTGTCTCCCCTTCAACCACCTTCCGTCCCTCTTCTGAGAGGCTCATTCTCCTCCTCCTCACCCTCCACCAGGAGTGGGGCAGGCAGGGTAGGCAGAGACGATAGCGGCGGTTGTCAGCGTCATCCAAACCCCTCCTTCCTTCCACCCCATCTCCCCTCCTCCTGCTGCCAGGTGTCAGCCAGGCAGGTCTGGCAGAGACGATAGTGGCGGCTGTCAATGCGGCTCCTCCAGTCATCCACCCCCTGATCTACTCCAAGTACCCCCTCCCCGCTCTCCTCTCCTCTCTCTCAAAACTCTCCGCTCTCCTCGTTCGCCTCTCCTCTCTATTCTTTCCTCGCCCCTCTCGTCAATCCTCTCCAGGTGGTTTCTCCTCCTTTCATCTCTTCTCTTTTCTCTGCTCTTCGCTCTTCTCTCGCCTTTTGTCTCTCGTCTCTGCCCTCTCCCCTCTCGTCTCTCCACTCTTTTCTCTCCTCTTTTTTTTTTTTCCCTCTCCTTATTTCTTCTTTCACCTTTTTCCCTGTACCTGCCCCATTTACCTCTCCATCCACCTCTTCCATTCACACACGTGGCAGCATTGTACTGGTGGGCGGCAGCTGTCAGTTCCCATTCTTCAAAGAGCGACTGTAAGAATTGCTTGCCTATCTCAGCAAAATTCATTTCTGCAAGTAATGCCCATGTTCTATTACTCAGTTTCAAGTCCATATTACTCAGTTTCAAGTCCATATTACTCAGTTTCAAGTCTATATTATGTGCATCATTGGCTGTGGCAAATGATTTTACACCACTGTGGATGTGATCACGCCATGTTTTGGCGCTACTGTTGTCAACAACATGTCCCACTGCATCATGCCAATGGATGTCACCTTTGTGATCACATAAGCTGCCTCGAGTATCGCAACCTTTGCTCCCCTATTTTTTTCCTCTTTCCCCCTTTCATCCTTTTCCCTCTCCCTGTGCCTTGTTACTTCCGGCAGGGCATTGGAGTTGCGACCCCTTGTGCCCGAATCGCTACCCGTTAACATCTCTCTCTCTCAAAGGTGTGCGTACAGTACTCTAGTGAGTCGTTTCCGAGAACCCTCATGAGTTATTTCTGACGCCATCACCCTGGATAGTCCGGTTCCTTTATCTCGAGTGCTTTTGAGGCGTCTCAAAAGTCAAGGTGCATCACCTCTAGAGCTCTTCCCGACAGCATTACCCTGGATAGTCCGCTTTTGATCTGACTCAAAAGCACTACCCATTAACATCTCTCTCTCCTGAAGGTGCGTGCAGCTGCAGCTCTAGTGAGTCATTTCCGAGAACCCTCAAGAGTTCTTCCTGACACCATTACCCTGGATAGTCTGGTTCCATTATCTCAGTGGTTCGATGCAGATGCGCATCAAGTACCTTGATGCAAGGTACTTGATGCGCATGCAAGGTACTTGATGCGCATGCAAGGTACTTGATGCGCATGCAAGGTACTTGATGCGCATGCAAGGTACTTGATGCGCATGCAAGGTACTTGATGCGCATGCAAGGTACTTGATGCGCATGCAAGGTACTTGATGCGCATGCAAGGTACTTGATGCGCATGCAAGGTACTTGATGCGCATGCAAGGTACTTGATGCGCATGCAAGGTACTTGATGCGCATGCAAGGTACTTGATGCGCATGCAAGGTACTTGATGCGCATGCAAGGTACTTGATGCGCATGCAAGGTACTTGATGCGCATGCAAGGTACTTGATGCGCATGCAAGGTACTTGATGCGCATGCAAGGTACTTGATGCGCATGCAAGGTACTTGATGCGCATGCAAGGTACTTGATGCGCATGCAAGGTACTTGATGCGCATGCAAGGTACTTGATGCGCATGCAAGGTACTTGATGCGCATGCAAGGTACTTGATGCGCATGCAAGGTACTTGATGCGCATGCAAGGTACTTGATGCGCATGCAAGGTACTTGATGCGCATGCAAGGTACTTGATGCGCATGCAAGGTACTTGATGCGCATGCAAGGTACTTGATGCGCATGCAAGGTACTTGATGCGCATGCAAGGTACTTGATGCGCATGCAAGGTACTTGATGCGCATGCAAGGTACTTGATGCGCATGCAAGGTACTTGATGCGCATGCAAGGTACTTGATGCGCATGCAAGGTACTTGATGCGCATGCAAGGTACTTGATGCGCATGCAAGGTACATGATCCCCCTGGTCTCCCTTCTTCACTGCATGCATGCGGGTATGCATGGGCCCATCAGTGCATGAATTGGCTCTGTAGTGCGACAGACTGAACCAGCATGGCTGCCAAAGGTCCTGATTGAGTGAGTGTTAGTTATTGCGACCGTGAACAGTTGACAATTGTGTCTCTCCGTTTGGCGTGCGGTCGCTGTGTGCTTTGTGTGTGTGCTGTGCGGTGTATTTTGCAGCCCGGTGGTGAGCGCATGGAAGGGAGGTTCTGAATTGGTTAAGTCAGGAGAATTTGCTCGCAAAGCAGTCACTAAGAAGCAGTATGAAGAGTTGGGTTACGACAGGGTCTCAGAACTGTTCAAATACTAATGTTACAGCTCTTTTTTGAACCTTTAATTTGCGGTTGTATTTCTACAAGAAGTTGCAAAAGCTGCTGCAACAGAAATGTCTAGTTCCTTATGCCCCTTGCATCATTTTGAAGCTGTTAAAAACGCTTGCAACAGCATGAGTTTCAACACTACGCGACCTGAATTCTGGTACCATAAGAACCTCTATATAGAAGCAGTGGCAGTAGCAGGAGATGCAATAGCGAGTCCTGATTGCCATGCAGGAGTGGTCTGCTCAAACACGTGCGCATACTTGAGAATGGCCGCCTGGGCGGGGATGGGGAAGAGGTGGGGGAGGGAGGGGAGGAGGGGACAGAGGGGAGGGAGTGGAGGGAAGGGAGGAGGGGATGGAGGGGAGGGAGGGGATGGAGGGGAGGGAGGGGAGGGAAGGGAGGACGGGTTGGTGGGTGGTGATGGGGCACTATGAAAGTCAACTAGTGTGCTCGAACTCATCAATTTTTTTGGGAATGGCCGCCTGTGAAAGGAGGGAGGGACGGCGGGGGAGAGGGTGCTGGGGGTGGGTGGTGGGTGGTGGGTGGCGGGTGGCGGGTGGCGGGTGGCGGGTGGCGGGTGGCGGGTGGTGGGTGGTGGGTGGCGGGTGGTGGGTGGCGGGTGGTGGGGGGGGTGGGTGGTGGGTGGTGGGTGGCAGGGCATCTTGAAGACAACTGGTCTGCTGAAACACATGGCCGCTTGAGGAAAACATCAGCCAAGGGAGCGCCATTTATCTGAAGGCCGATGGGCAGATCATGCGGCCACTCCCATGAGATCTGTCAAACAAACCAGGCACCACGCACGCAACCCGAGGAAATCCCCATGCATCCTTCCTGCTTCAAATCAAGCAGCACAAGCACACGGCTTACCTCAGCAAAAGGAGCGCCGATGATCTGAAGGCCTATGGGCAGGCCATGGGGGCCACCAGGGGCTAATCCGCAGGGTAGAGAGATGGCTGGTAGGCCCGCCAGGTTGACATTCACCTGCGGTGTGGAGTGGTATAGAGTGGTGGAAAGGAGTGAAGAGTGATGAAAGAGAGGGAGAGGTGAGGCGAAGTGAAATGGATGAGCACACGGCTGATGCGCTTGGGAATAGGGCAAGTGAAGTGGGTAAGTGAGGAAGGGAGTTAAACAAATGGGATGCAAAGAGATGAGTTACATCTGGAGGGTTAGACAAGTTATCAGAGAAGTTTGGAAGAAGTATGGGAGAGCAATGGGAGAGGTCTGGGAGAGGTCTGGGAGAGGTGTGGGAGAGGTGTGGGAGATTTCTGGGTTAGAGGGCTCACCGTCATGAGGTCACCAACATACATGGCGAGGGGATCCGATGTCTTCTCACCTGCATGCGTGGGCGGGAGATGGAGGGACAAAGACACCAAAAAAAAAAAAAAACAAAAACAAAAAGGAGGGAAATTCGGCAACCATGTGGGTAAAACGTGAGGAAGGGAGCATGCAAAAGGAAAAAAGCACAATGCTCATATTTTCTCTCCGATTTTTCAGAAGGGCGCCGCAATGGCAATGCTTTTCATTGCCATTGCTATGACCTTACAAACTAGCAGTTGTCATAGCCCTTGCTAGAGCAACCCCTGTGCGGCTAGTTACCGATGCGGTGGGCCGTGGTGGGTGCAGTGGGGGTGATGAGAGCGTTGTGCGTCGTGCCCCTCCAGTGCTGCCAGGAACTCCCTTCCACTGATAATGCTCTATGCTCACCAAACCAGCACTTGCCAGCAGAACCCTTGCGCTTCTACCAGTGAAGACCTTGAGTGGTTACCAATGCGGTAGGCCGTGGTGGGCGCGGTGGGGGTGATGAGTGCGTCGTGCCCCTCCAGAGCTGCCAGGAACTCCCGCCGGATCATCGTGTGCACCTGCCATGAAGTGAGAAGGTGTAGGTGATTACCGGGGGAGGTGGTGACGCAGGGAAGGCAGATGGGAAGGGGAAAGGTGAGGAAGCGGGGTGATGTGCGCCTCCAGTGCTGCCAGGAACTCCCGCCGGATCATCGTGCGCACCTGCCATGGGACCAGGAGGTAGGTGAGAGCAGGAGGTAGGTGAGAGCAGGAGGTAGGTGAGAGCAGGAGGTAGGCGGCGACAAGGAGAAATGGTGACAGGTCACAGGGGGCAGGCAGATGGGAAAGGGGGAGGTGAGGCAGTGGGAAGGCGATCCCCTCCAGTGCTCCCAGGAACTCGTGTCATATCATTGTGCACACCTCACACCTGACACCTGACACCTGACACCTGACACCTGACACCTGACACCTGACACCTGACACAGGGAGGAGGGTGATGACACGGGGATGGTAGGAACATGCACCTAATGATGCACCTGACGATGCACCTGACGATGCACCTGACGATGCACCTGACGATGCACCTGACGATGCACCTGACGATGCACCTGACGATGCACCTGACGATGCACCTGATGATGCACCTGACGATGCACCTGACGATGCACCTGACGATGCACCTAATGATGCACCTGACGATGCACCTGACGATGCACCTGACGATGCACCTGACGATGCACCTGACGATGCACCTGACGATGCACCTGACGATGCACCTGACGATGCACCTGACGATGCACCTGACGATGCACCTGACGATGCACCTGATGATGCACCTGACGATGCACCTGATGATGCACCTGAACCATCTGACCTGAGGAGAAGGCATGCATACTTTGCGACTTAGATAAGCGGCTTGAATAGCGCACCTGGGAATCACCTGAACAAACACCTGAGCAGCATACGCCTGACCTGCTGTGCCTTCGTGTAGTAGGCATCATAGAAGGCTGCTGAGAGCGCGTACGTGCCCATGAGAATGCGCCTCTTGACCTGCACGCACACACACACACCTAAGCATGCACCTAACCTGACCTGCTGTGCCTTCTTGTAGTAGGCATCATAGTAGCCCGCAGAGAGTGCGTATGTGCCCATGAGAATGCGCCGCTTCACCTGCCACATCAGCACACAGGGAGTGGTAGAGGAGAGAGCACGTAAGGTATGAAAGGCCCGCAAGTTCCTCTCCTCTCCTCTCCTCTCCTCTCCTCTCCTCTCCTCTCCTCTCCTCACCTCTCATTGCATCCCTCGAATCGCTTTTGAGTTGACCAAGTAGATTCAAGATTGTCTCATTGGAAGCATGATCCTTTAGTGAAGAATTGATTCAATCTGGCTCTCTTAACAACGTTCTAAGCTAGCGCAGAACCAGGCTCCTTCCACCATTTTCACATGGAGTTAGTCTCGTTGTCCAAATACAGCAAGAGCCGATGGACATTAGACCTTCGCAGCCCACCTGTTTACCATTGACAGCACCTGTCCTCTCTTGACATCCTTCAATTCGCTTTTGAATTCACCAAGTGGACTCAAGATTGCATCATTGGATAATTTTCCGGTATTTTGAGTTGACTGAAAACACAGAATCGAAGCACCCTTTTCCCCCAAATCCTCAATTTCCACCAGCCTCGCACCTCCTTGCCAAAGCCCTGGCCTCGCGTGTTGCTGTAGAGCAGCTATGTGGAGTTTACTATTGAGGATTCTCTAAAGTAAACACCAGCCGCTCACCTCTCCGCCATCTGCGCACCTCTCCGCCATCTGCTCACCTCTCCGCCATGTGCTTACCTCCTTGCCAAAGCCCTGGCCTCGCGTGTTGCTGTAGAGCAGCTATGTGGAGTTTACTATTGAGGATTCTCTAAAGTAAACACCAGCCGCGCACCTCTCCGCCATCTGCGCACCTCTCCGCCATCTGCTCACCTCTCCGCCATGTGCTTACCTCCTTGCCAAAGCCCTGGCCTCGCGTGTTGCTGTAGAGAGATGCGAGGTCGGAGCCCTCCAGCTGTGGTCCAAACCTGCACGAGGAGTGGAGTGGATTGGAATGAAGTGATTAGCATTTGCCAAAAACGCCACACACGGCGGAGGCAGCACAGCATGTCACCACACACGGCGGAGGCAGCACAGCACGTCACATTTCTTTGGGCACCTTGGGTGGTGGAGGCGCAGAACATTTCTTCAGAACAGGGTGGTGGCGCAGCAGAAGTCGTCCACATTGGGAATTGAAATAATGACTAGGGAGGAGGAGGAGGTGGGGGAAGGACGGAGAGGGGGGGAGAGAGAAGGAGATGGGGGATCAGGGGCACACCTGATGCCGTCGTAGCGGGAGAGATTGGAGGAGGCTTCAGAAGGTGCGAGGATGTAGTATGCCGGCAGACCACTGGCAAAGAATGGCATGGATACCTGCAGAGGGGGGAGAAACAGTGGAGGGACGCAGGGTGTGGAGGAGGCCCTTTGAGACAGCCCATAAGAAGAAGGGCAGAGAGATTGGAGGAGGCTTCAGAAGGTGCGAGGATGTAGTATGCCGGCAGACCACTGGCAAAGAATGGCATGGATACCTGCAGAGAGAGAAATGAGGGAGGGATGGAGGGGAGGGATAGATGAGTAGAGATGGCTACCAAGTAGCCGTGAAACGCAGTGACAGCTGCAGGTAGGACGGGATAGTTGCCCCTCCTTGTTCTTCTCAATTGTTCAACAATCTCCTCCTTACAGACCTTCTCCTTCCTTCCTTCCTCCACCCCTCTCCCCTGTTACATTCCTTCATTCATTTCTTCCCCCCACCCACCCACCCACCCACCCACCCACCCATGCACGCCCAAAAGCGAAGAAACAGAACAACAACCCTGGTCAGAACCCACCTCCTCCACGGTGGCTCCGAGCGTCTCGTAGTGCGCCGCTGCCGCCCGGACGGCCTGTGCCACGTCAGCATCGACTCCCGCGCCCATGGTCTCCTGGACCAATGCGAGGCGGACACCTGTCAGCGGCTTGGAGGCGAGTGAGGCGACGGGGAGGAGGGCGGCCGTGTAGTCTGGTACTGGCTGGCAGGGGTGAGGTGATGGGGGATAAAGCGGGAAGGGGGGAGAAAATGGGGGAAGAGGAGGGGGACCACGGTAGCAGAAAGAATAAGTTAGGCTTGGCTTCAACGGGCAAGGGAGATGGCTTCAATGGGTTACAAGGTAGTTTTTGAGAATTCTCAATAACAAGTGGTAACAGGGAGATGGCGTCCCACTTGTCCCCTTGGTTGGTGTGTCCCCAAATGTATCCCAACCTCGTCTTTGGTAACAAGCTTTTCCTGCTCGGAGACTTGTAGTCTCATCCTCATCATCATCATCATCATCATCATCATCATCATCATCATCATCATCATCATCATCATCATCATCATCATCATCATCATCATCATCATCATCATCATCATCATCATCATCATCATCATCATCATCATCATCATCATCATCATCATCATCATCATCATCATCATCATCATCATCATCATCATCATCATCATCATCATCATCATCATCATCATCATCATCATCATCATCATCATCATCATCATCATCATCATCATCATCATCATCATCTTGAGTACCTCTAGTTGCCGACGTACCGATCGTTTGTCGCCACATATTCCAGGCTTGAGCGTTCAAAGCTAGCATGCCCTGCTGCTTCTCACCTCCTTGCTGCTTCTCACCTCCTTGCTGCCTCTCACCTCCTTGCTGCTTCTCACCTCCTTGCTGCCTCTCACCTCCTTGCTGCTTCTCACCTCCTTGCTGCTTCTCACCTCCTTGCTGCAGGTGCTGTCTCCGTCGTCTCTCCCCGCCATGGCCTGCAGCACAATCGCAGTGTCTTCCACCGATCGACCAAGCACGCCCACACAGTCCAGGCTGGACGCATAGGCCATGAGACCCAGGCGTGACACACGGCCGTACGAGGGCTTTAAGCCGACTATCCCGCAAAAGGAGGCAGGGAGACGCACGCTTCCCCCTGGGAGAGGGTGCGAATGAGGGAGGGGGTGGGGTAGGGTGGGGTGGGGTGGAGTGGGTATTAATGGGGTTGTGTTGTGTTAAGAGTGGTGGCATACACGGTACACCCCACACCCCGTGGGGATGTGGGTGGATGGGGGGATGGGAGCGGGTGCGGGAGAGACTGTGTAACAAGCATGACAACGCAACTCCCCTCGCCCTCGCCCTCGCCCTCGCCCTCGCCCTCGCCCTCGCCCTCGCCCTTGCCCTTGCCCTCGCCCTCGCCCTCGCCCTCGCCCTCGCCCTCGCCCTCGCCCTCGCCCTCGCCCTCGCCCTCGCCCTCGCCCTCGCCCTCGCCCTCGCCCTCGCCCTCGCCCTCGCCCTCGCCCTCGCCCTCGCCCTCGCCCTCGCCCTCGCCCTCGCCCTCGCCCTCGCCCTCGCCCTCGCCCTCGCCCTCGCCCTCGCCCTCGCCCTCGCCCTCGCCCTCGCCCTCGCCCTCGCCCTTGCCCTTGCCCTCGCCCTCGCCCTTGCCCTTGCCCTCGCCCTCGCCCTCGCCCTCGCCCTCGCCCTCGCCCTCGCCCTCGCCCTCGCCCTCGCCCTTGCCCTTGCCCTCGCCCTCGCCCTTGCCCTTGCCCTCGCCCTCGCCCTCGCCCTCGCCCTCGCCCTCGCCCTCGCCCTCGCCCTCGCCCTCGCCCTTGCCCTTGCCCTCGCCCTCGCCCTTGCCCTTGCCCTCGCCCTCGCCCTCGCCCTCGCCCTCGCCCTCGCCCTCGCCCTCGCCCTCGCCCTCGCCCTTGCCCTTGCCCTCGCCCTCGCCCTTGCCCTTGCCCTCGCCCTCGCCCTCGCCCTCGCCCTCGCCCTCGCCCTCGCCCTCGCCCTCGCCCTCGCCCTCGCCCTTGCCCTTGCCCTCGCCCTCGCCCTTGCCCTTGCCCTCGCCCTCGCCCTCGCCCTCGCCCTCGCCCTCGCCCTCGCCCTCGCCCTCGCCCTCGCCCTTGCCCTTGCCCTCGCCCTCGCCCTTGCCCTTGCCCTCGCCCTCGCCCTCGCCCTCGCCCTCGCCCTCGCCCTCGCCCTCGCCCTCGCCCTCGCCCTTGCCCTTGCCCTCGCCCTCGCCCTTGCCCTTGCCCTCGCCCTCGCCCTCGCCCTCGCCCTCGCCCTCGCCCTCGCCCTCGCCCTCGCCCTCGCCCTTGCCCTTGCCCTCGCCCTCGCCCTTGCCCTTGCCCTCGCCCTCGCCCTCGCCCTCGCCCTTGCCCTTGCCCTTGCCCTTGCCCTTGCCCTTGCCCTTGCCCTTGCCCTTGCCCTTGCTCCAGCATCCTTGTTGTGACACCCCTTCTCCTCCACACTCTTCCCCCCCTCTCCCCTTACTCACCTGTATCAGAGCCCAGAGCAACAACGCACTGCTGGGGGTGGGTGGGAGAACCGCGTGAGTGAACCCATGGCATCACTTTTGTTTTGAGACGTCTCAAAACATCTCTTTTATCACGGGGTGGGAGAACCGTGTGAGTGAACCCATGGCATCACTTTTGAAAATCCTCAAAAGTGATTTCAACATGGTAGCACACAACGCAACACAACGGAACACAACACATAACCACACGCCTTCCCCCACAATCTTCTCCTCTTACTCCCCTCCTCACCTGTGTCGGAGCCCAGAGCCACGGCACACTGCCCGGCCGCCACAGCAGCAGCAGAGCCTCCGGAGCTGCCGCCTGGCACTCGCGAGAGATCCCAGGGGTTGGCTGTGACCTGGTGGGAGTTCCAGAGTGGGTGATGGGGAACGTGGTAAGGGAACTGTTGACGTGCCTAAAAAGTCACAGCAGCAGCAGAGCCTCCTGAGCTGCCACCTGGCACTCGCGAGAGATCCCAGGGGTTGGTTGTTGCCTGGTTGGAGTGAGAGAATTAGGGGAGAGGGAGGTATGAAGCGTCTCAAAAGCCACAGCGGCAGCAGCAGCAGAGCCTCCTGAACTGCCGCTTGGCACTCGTGAGAGGTCCCAGGGGTTGGCTGTTACCTGATTGCGAGTGGAGGGGTGATGAGGAAAGGTTTGGTTGGGGAAGGAGGGGAGGTATCAGGAACTGCCAATTGATAAGCGGTGGTAGACAAAAACCCTTCACAATGGCAGGATGACCAAACGCCTGCTCTCATGCAGACATGCATAGATGCTCGTTACCTGGTAACCAGACCCTTCTGTGGTGCTGCCCATGCCAAACTCGTCCATGTTGGTCTTCCCCACCACCACCGCCCCCTCCGCCTTCACCCTCCCCACTGCTGTCGCATCGTATGGCGGCATGTAGCCCTGGGGGTGGATGGGAAAGGGCGACAAAGAGCAATGCACATAAGCAACACATACAATCACACTTGACGGTCTTCCCCACCACCACCGCCCCCTCCGCCTTCACCCTCCCCACTGCTGTCGCATCGTATGGCGGCATGTAACCGTGGGATGTGGTGGATGGGTGGGGAGATACAGAGAGAAACGCACACACAAGCAATGCACACAAGCAGGACACGCAACTTGTTTGTCTCCCGCACCACCACTGCCCCCTCCGCCTTCACCTTCCCCACTGCTGTCGCATCATATGGCGCGGCAGCCCTGCGGTGGTGTGTGATGTAGGAGTGACACCAAGGAAGCACACACAAGGAACCTTCACGCACACGAGCAGAAAATGAAGGATGGAAGTGGGAACGAAATGACCAAGCGTTGGGAGGTAAAGAACCTTCATGCAAGCACGACACATGTATCAGCATCCGCCACGTCAGCAGACCTTGAGGATCTTAGAGGCAGCGGTGGAGGGCATGCCACGTGTGCACAGGTTGTCTTTCACCCCCATGGGCACTCCGGTCAGCAGCCCCAAAGTTTTCTCGCCGCTGCCTGACTGAGACGCCATGACAGCATCAACTTCCTGTGCCTGCTGCAGCACCGCCTCCCTAAATGTAAGCACACACACACACACACACACACACACACACACACACACAAGAAAAGGAGAAAAGGGGGAAAAGGGAGAGGAACGGGGTGAGGGGGGAGGGTATCAGGGTTCAGGTTCAGGGTTTAAGATTCAAGGTTAAAGGTCTTTACATCCCCTGACCTTTCTAGCTGGCCCTCCATCACACTCAGTGTCAATCGTCTCAGAGTGTCAGTTGTCTCAGTTCACTCTGGTTGACTGGAGTTGATTCGATTGACTTCGGTTGACTTCTGTCAGCCTTGCGTGATTTGACACAGCTAACAGCCTAGCAGGAAACCTGATGTACAGTGTAACCCATGCGTAGCCATCAGGAGGAAGCTTCCTGCCCCTGTTGGGGAAACTACCTGTCAGTGTGGAGGAAGCTTCTCAGCTGCCCCTCCTGCGCCTCCAGCCGCTCCAAGTACTCCTCCGCCACGCCGACAGCTGTCCGCTCGCCATTCGCCAGCTGGCGCTGCGCGGTTGGTGGGTTGGGGTTGGCGGGATGGGGTCGGCGGGATGGGATTGGCGGGATTGGCGGAGTGGGGCTGAGGAATGAGGGTTTGAAACGGGGGAAAGGAGGCCCCGGGTGAAGGAGGGGGAGATGGGGAGAAGGGGAAGAAGGGGAAGAAGGGGAAGAAGGGGAAGAAGGGGAAGAAGGGGAAGAAGAGGGCCAAGGGGGGAAGAGTGGTCGGACAACACTGAATGAGGGTTGACGCCCTCCTCCTAATGGTCTACGTCCTCCTCCCTCCCCCTCTTCCCCATCCATACTTCTCGCCCCATCCCCCTTCTCCCCCACCTCCGCTCGCCACTTGCTGCATTGAAATCGCAAGGTCAAGATATGCTGCGAGAGGTTGCAAGGGTTGACGGCAACGCTCTCCTACACACGCCCCCCCGCACCCTCTCCCTCCCTCCCCTCCATCCCCTCCTCTCCTCGCTCCCCCTCACTCCCCTCCTCCCACCGCCCCTCGTTGAGTCAACTTCGCAAGGTCACGATCGCGAAAGAGAGAGACCTGAATTTCGCGAATGGCGGAATGCGGCCGTTGCGACTCGCCACCGCTAGCTAAGCTGGCCGACACGTCATCAGCTCCTGCTGCTGCCGCGACTCGGACGACGGAACTGCGATGCCGCCGATGGAGCAATCTTGACCGTTCGTCTGTGAAAAGAGGCGTTTCGCGCCAGAGAAACGATCTGCCAATGCCGGCTCGACACGTGGCTGTGAGGGACGCGCTGACGTGTGATCCGCCGCAAGGCGCGGGAGAGAGGCGGGAGAGCGACAGAAGGTGCTGCGGCGAACGCAGCAAATGATGACACGTCATGATCTCAAGGGCTGACGTGGCGGTATTTCCTAGAGGTGCCGCAGGCGGAAAAGGACGAATCAAAATTGCGGGAGCAAGCGAGGGTGACCACGGAATATATGGAAGAACTGTACTCGGCATAGGCTTCTCGTCAAAGGTTAAAACGGTTTCATATGGCAATAAGTGGTCAGTAGTTGACAACCCTATTCACAACCCTGTCCGTACACAAGACAAGAACTCTCAGAACAGAATAGCTTCCGATCATGAACACATAAATTAGCCTGCCGCATTTGAAGTATTCTGGCGAGCTCCCCCTATCCCACCCCTCCATCACTCCCCTCCTTCCTTTGTTAGTGCTATAGACACCAGTACTCGAGAGTCATCAGTGCGCAATCCTCCTTGCACCACTGCCTTGCATGCACCGAGCAAACCAACCCCACGCATTTTTGTGGGCATTTCTGCAGCCGCTACCACAGCACGGTGCCGCTGACGACCTTCCAGCACGTGCTGGTCTGAAACAGCTCGTATTGGCCACCCCACCACAGCAGCACCGCAACCCCACAACACAACCCTGTCAATCTCCACGCACTACCGCAGCACGGTGCCGCCAACAATCTTCCAGCAGGTGCCGGTCTGCAGCAGCTCGTAGCGCGCCGTGTACGTGCTCCGATACGCATCATTGTGGGTTGGGTCCGCTGCATCCACCAGCCGTGCCGCCTCCTGCACCACTGCCTCTACTACTGCTTTCTTTTGGCACTTGCTCACTGCTGCCATCTCCACCTGTAGGGGAGGAGGGAAGTTGGGACGGAGGAAGGGAGGGGACCAGGGAGGGCCTTGAGTGGGGTCCGCTGCATCCACCAGCCAGACGTGCTGCCTCCTGCACCATTGCCTCTATTACCAGTTTCTTCTGACACTTGCTCACTGCTGCCATCTCCACCTGTGGGGGGGAAAGAGAGAGGATAAATGGACAGCGGGAGGCAGAATAAGGGGCTGCGCCCACCAGCCAGAATTGCTGCCTCCTGCACCACCGCCTCCACCACGGCCTTCTTCTGACACTTGCCCAGTGCTGCCATCTCCACCTGTAGGGGATTAGGGAGGGACGTAGGCAGCGATAGAGGGAGAAAGCGAGAAAGGGCGAAACCGATGGACAGAGGGAAGGAGAGAGTAGGGTAGGAAGGGGGGGGTACACACCTGTATCGTACATCTGAATCGGATAAGCACACATACAGGACACCTGCATACATACTCACAGTCAGGCTGAGCAACTCACATTCGAGCTGAGCAAATTCGCATTCCAGCAGAAGAAGCTCCACTCACATGGAAGCCAAGTTTACTCCCAAGACGATGACTCACATTGAGACTGAGGAAGCTGTACTCCCAGAACCACCCGTTGTTCTCCACCTCCTTGGCCCTGTTGCGCCACAGCTCCAGCATCGGCCCCTCCAGGATCTCCCCCAGCCGGTCCACCCGGTGTTGCGGGCCCAGCGCTGCTGCCTTCACCTCCTGCCAGTGCCGCACCACGCGCACCGCCCACTGCACCTCCTCCACCTCGGAATACTCCTCTGCTCCCGCTGCTGTTTCTGAAAGTATAGATTGAGCAATAGCATCACGAGGAGGGAAAAGTGGGGAGAGTGAGGGGCAAAGAGCGAGTGCGGTCTGCGGGGTGTGACTGCCCCAGAGCTGCCGCCTTCACCTCCTGCCAGTGCCTCACCACGCGCACCGCCCACTGCACCTCCTCCACCTCGCTGTACTCCTCTGCACCTGCTGCTGCTTCTGGAGTAACGGAAGGAGGGAAAGGGGGGTGTGGGAAGGGAGAAGCAGGAGAGGGGGGAGGAGGTGGAATTGGATTGTGACAGGCCAATGCTGCCGTGCCACCTGCACCTCCTCTCCTACCATATCAGTGCCGCACATGCGCTGGAGATCTCAAACCTCTTGATTCGACTCAAAAGTCTACAACGGTGACTATTGAGTCGACTCAAAAGTCTACCATATCAGTGCCGCACATGTGCTTGGGATCTCAAACCTCTACCAGTGACAAACGAATCACACCAAGTCACTCACCAGAGCCAACCTGCTCTGCTCCTTGGCTGCTCCCACCATCGCCCCCCCCCCCTCCACGCCCAGCGGAGAGACCGCCCCAAATCGCCCCAACCGCATGCGTCATGCCATGAACCCCAAACCCCAAACCCCGAACCCAGCAACCATACCAAACCCAGCCGCACCACTTGGGATCACTCACCCGAGGCCGCCTGCTCCTTGGCTGCTCCCACCATCGCCGCTTCCACGCCCAGCAGCGACCGCCCAAACCGTCCCGATCGCATGCGCCAAGCCATGAACCCTCCCCCCGCCACCACCCTGCCTGAAACAGCCTCTGCACTCACCAGAAGCAGCCTGCTCCTTGCCCTGCTGCCCCACCAAGGCCGCTTCCACTCCCAGCAGCGACCGCCCAAACCGTCCCGACCGCATGCGCCATGCCATGAACCCTAAACTCCCATAGCCCCCCGACCACACCACTGTTGATCACTCACCAGAGGCCGCCTGCTCCTTGCCCTGCTGCCCCACCATCGCCGCTTCCACTCCCAGCAGTGACGGCCCAAACCGCCCCGACCGCATGTGCCAAGCCATGAACCCTCCCCCAGCCACCGCCGCCACTGCCACCACCCCTGCCACCACCATCCCCACCTTCCCACCAAATCTGCCCCTGCCGATGCTGGTCACAGATTCGGTTTCGGGTAGTCCCAAGGTGGGGAGGGATTCTGGTTGGGCGGTGCGGAGGGGGATAGGCGAGCCTTGCGGGTCTAGGAGGGGGGACGGGCCGAAGAGCTCTCGTCTGGTGCGCGATCGCGCGAGCTCTGCTGGGGGGAGCGACGAGGACGGGTCTTGTAACGAGTCGTCTTGTAACGAATCGGTGGACAAGGGTGGGGAGCTCGAGGAGGGGGAAGAGGAGGAGGTGGAGAGTATGAAAGGATTTTCTACTGCTGCTGCCCCTGCCCCTGCTGCTGCTGTGTCGCCCCCTCCCTGCATCCACGGAAACACCCCTCTAATCACCTCCAAAGCAGCACTCCGCATCCCGCCCCCCTCCCCTCTCCCACTCTCCCCCACCTTCCCTCCTCCCCCTCCCCCTCCGCCCTGCGTCTGATCCCACGCATCCAGGAAGCTCCCCACAGCAGGATGGTCAAAGTACTCAGAGAGAACAACGGGGAGGTGCGCGGTGTCTCGGAACCGCATGGCCACTACTTCCCTGAGCCAAACCTCTAACAAGCGGCACAGCCCCGGCAACAGCACATCCTCCTCGCCTGCCGCCCCTCCTCCCGCTCCTGCTGCCGCTCTTGCTCCGGCAGCAGCCGTGGTGATTATGCTAGGGGCCGTGCTGCTACCTGCACTGCTGCTGCTGTTCCCACCGTACCACGAGTCAACCGGAGGGGCATTAGGCGAGTTGGCATAGACATACTCGGCCACAGCAAGGTCGCCACAGGGAGGGGTCACATGCACGCCCAGCCACCGCTTGCAGGCGCCCACCTGCCCCAGCAGCAGCGCGCACATGGCCCTCTCTACTGATAGATCCGCTGGCACGTCTGTTCCCGCCACCATCGCCATTGCACTCCCTGCTCCCCCTTGCACTCTCTCTCCCGCTCCCGTTCCTGCTCCTCCTCCTGCTGCTCTTGCTGCTGCTCTTCCTGCTATCACTCCAGCTTCGCCTGCTCCCCCTCCCTCACCCGCACCAGCCAATCCGCCCCCGCCACCTGTCCCCGCCGCCGCCCCCGCCACTCCGCCGCCCGCCTCCCCCACCCCCCTGCCCGTGCTGACGTTAACCAAAAGCCGGTACGCGGTGGACTCATTCAACTCTTTCAGCAGCGCGTCAGACTGGACGATATCGGCCGGGCGGCGCAGGAAGAAGCCGCGGCCGGCAAAGGCGAGTGCGACCCAGTAGGCCTCGAGGATGCCAGCGTCGACGTGCGGCGGGGCGGCAGCAAAGTGGGCGACGAGCTCCGAGGTGGTGAGGCGGAGAAAGGCCTCCCGCATGAACACATGGCGGGAGAAACCGCCTTGAGACGAGAAGGAAAGAGCCCCGTCTGAATTCTGTGACCAGAGCAGGTCCCGCATGGCCTGGGAGGGAGGAAGGGGGGAGTTGGGGGGGGGGGGAGGGGGAGAGGGGGGATGGTGAGTTAGAGGCCCTTTGAAGGCAAAGGCGAGCTCGACCCAGTAGGCTTCGAGGATGCCGGCATCGATGTGCGGCGGGGCGGCAGCAAAGTGGGCGACGAGCTCCGAGGTGGTGAGGTGAGGCGGAGAAAGGCCTCCCGCATGAACAAATGGCGGGAGAAACCGCCCTGGGAGGTGAATGTCTGTGTGCCGTCTGGGTCCTGCGACCATAGGAGGTCGCGGATGGCCTGGAAAGGGAAAGAGGAAAGGGGGAGAGAGGGGAAGTGGGAGACAAGCGGGCGATGAGACCAGAGGTCAGGTGGTCCCTGATCTCCTGATGGGGGAGGAGGAAATGGGCCGTGGCCAAGTGGCCGATGACCTGGGAGGTGGTGAGGCGGAGGAAGGCCTCCCGCATGAACACGTGGCGGGAGAAGCCACCCTGAGAGGAAAATGCCAGCGCGCCGTCTGGATTCTGGGACCTGAGCAGGTCGCGCATGGCCTAGTGGGGAGAAGAGGAAGTGGGAGGGAGACAAGTGGGCTAAGAGGTGGGAGGACAGGCGGTCCTTCATGGCCTGCGGGTAAAAGAGGAAGTGTGCGATGAGCTCTGCGGTGGTGAGATCACAATCCTGCAAGCTCAGCTGCCACCATTCGCACCCACCCACCCACCTGTATGCCCTCGCTCCTGGCCTCCTCATGCTCCTTGTCCAGGGCAGCGCCAGCAGCTCTACCAGGAGCCCAAGGACAGAACGCACCCACTTAACCACCCATTCACCTAACCACCCACCCACCCGCCCGCGGTCCACCTGTATGCCCTCGCTCCGGACCTCCTCGTGCTCCTTGTCCAGGGGCAGCGCCGGCAGCTCTACCAGGAGCCGGGGGCCAGAGCCCACTCACCTACCCACCCGCCCATCCGCCCACGCACCCACCTGTATGCCCTCGCTCCGGGCCTCCTCGTGCTCCTTGTCCAGGGGCAGCGCCAGCAGCTCGAGCACGCGTGTGGGACCCATCTCCCTCAGCGAGTCCTCTATCGCTGCCTGCAGGGACGGCGCCAGGCTTGGCCCGCCCTCGTCCTGATGAAGGGGGAGGTGGAGAGGCAGGGGAAAAGGCTTATGTTCCTACCAGGGGTATACAAAGAGAGCATGCGGGTGAGCCCCATCTCCCTCAGCGAGTCCTCTATCGCCGCCTGCAGAGACGGCGCCAGGCTTGGCGCTCCCTCGTCTTGAGGAAGGGGGTTTGGGGGTGACGTGATGATGTCAGGAACAGAAGAAGAACAGGAGGAGGAGGTGGCACGAGAGGGAGGAGTGAGCAGACAGACACAGGGGAGCTGAGAGGGGGAATTGTCGAATTTTCAGAGAGAAGGAAAATCCTGCACTCACCCGTTTGAAACCAGAATCTGGAACCCTAAACCCGAATCCCCAGAACAAAGCTTTCACATAAAACACACTTGCCTGCAGAAGCTTCAGTGCAGCTTCCAGCAGCTCGCAGCCCTGTGCCACTGCGGGTGGGTTTGCTGACATGGCGTCACGTGATAGGTCCGAGTACGCCAACGCTGTGGCGAGTGCCACGTCAGCACGAAAAGCCGGATCGCCATCCGGGCGGGAGAGGAGGTCAAGGCCCGCCTCTGCCACGTCAGCAGAGCGACCCGCCTCTTGCAGCAGGCACAACACGCCAGGGACCTGAGAAGGGGAAATATATGGAGAATAGTACAGCCCTACATGTACATATCAAACTTAAGTACATATCGAGCTGTAGATATTGCGAGAGAGTGACAGCTGAAAGAACACAAGATTTCATGACAGACAAGCAACCTACCAGTTTCAGGAAAAACGGGGTGGGAAGAGAAACAACAACAACTCACCCGGCTCATTGGCACATCAACCATTATTGCAGTCTCGCCCCCATACTCCCCTCCACCCCTTCCCACACCCCCCAACCCCTGCTGCTGCTCTGCAGCCGCTGCCTTCAGGTCCTCGTCATACTCTGCCCGGAGCTCCACGTCGAGCAGCGTGTCCCGGGCAGCCTCCAAAACTTCCGCCCTGACCGTGAGGGCGGAGACGGTGAAGCCTTCTTGAGGCGGCGAGGCGAGCATGGAGTCGAGCATGAGGTCGATGGTGGCTGTTGGGGTCTCGGGGTGGACTCGTAGCACCTGGGGTGGAGAAGGGAGAGGGGGGTGGATGGGGGTTGGGTGGGGTAGCTCGGGAAGTGATGAGAGGCGAGGCGAGCATGGAGTGGAGCATGAGGCCGATGGTGGCTGTTGGGGTCTCGGGGGTGCACTCTCAGCACCTGGAAGGGAGGGATGAGGAAGGGAACGGGGAAGAGGGGGTTGGAAAGTCGACTCAGAGCACAGGCAAGGCGAGCATGGAGTGGAGCATGAGGCCGATGGTAGCCGTGGGGGTTTCTGGGTGGACTCTCAGCACCTGGGGTGGGCGAGAGAGAGGGGGCGGGGATTGGGAAGGGGGGGTGCTGGGGAAGTGATGATGATGGGCGAGGCGAGCATGGAGTGGAGCATGAGGCCGATGGTGGCTGTTGGGGTTTTTGGGTGGACTCGCAGAGCCTGGGGTAGGCGAGAGGGTGGGGGGGGTTGTTGGGACGGGATGGGAGGCACAGGGCAAGTGACGAGAGGGGCGGGCGAGGCGAGCATGGAGTGGAGCATGACGTCCACCGTGGAGCAAAGGCTATGAGTGTACGCAGCCGTGTGAGGCTTAAGTGTTCCAGCTGCTGCTGTCAGTGTCGGAGGATAGACATTCAGCGTCAATATACGGTGTGTCATCAGGAGAATCGAACCCACTAAAATACAAAAACAGTTTGCCTCCGTACCAACCGCATGCAAACGGATAACAACTACAGGCATGCATGCATACGTAGAACCGGCCATAAAAATTTAATCCCATACCTCGTAATAACTTATCGGAAGGCTCATAAACGGTTCGTCTCCTCCATTCTCGTCCGCGTCGTAGACGGAAACCGTCAAATTGTTCGTTTCCGTCACAACACCGCCTCCGACCCGTCCCCCATCCGCGCCATCCGCGCCATTTGCGGCGGAATACGCGGCCGCCACGCAACAACGCCGAGTAGGACCCTCAGTTTGAATCTTCATTAGCCTCACATTGTGCAGCGTACTGCAGGCGCTATTGGAGTTATAGTTAGAGGTTAAAACGCTACGTGCCAACCGTGGAACCCCGATAAAACTGGACTTCCTGAGAATGGTGCCAGCGGTGGTAACGATGGTGGGTGGCTGAGTCTGATTCTGGCCGTATGGCCTCTTGTTTCCTTGCTGTTGCGAACGTATTAAAACACTAATGCTCTGATAATGAATAGGCTTTGAGGTGAGAGTGTAACTTAAAGGAAAAGTAGAATGCAATCTGGCAACCAAGGAGGTGGTAGTTCCTGCCATGTTGTTCTTAGCAAAGCCGTGAAACTTTTATGAAGAATAAATATGTTGTTGTCAGTGTGAATAATGAAATAGCCAATACATGTAAGAATCTCTGCTTCGCCCAACGATCTGACCCCTATGAGCCGGGTTTTTTTTCCAAAACTAGGTACCCGCCACTAAATAAACCGCCTAACTAAGATTAGTCTGCTAAACTAGTAAGCCAAGACTGAGGGGCAGTTAGACCCGAGCCCCAGTCCAGGTGCTTCATGGATAAGCGCGAGAAGAGTGTGCCTAGTTTCTGTGTGGTTACCACGCGTTATGCGACATCGTGGATCGTGGTGGTTCTGCTGCGAAGATTTATGGGCTTGGCGGGAAATTCGAAGTTCCCGCCAAGCAGATCGAGAGAGGTTTCTTGGGGTTGGAAGGACAAAGGATGACTGACAGGTGGGTGGCTTGGGCTTCTTGTGAGATTGCGCGTGCGAAAATCGACAAGGTGTAGCCTAATTTTGCTAAATAATAGAGGATGGCAGCAATAGAGCAAACTATCAGAAGCATTCTCATGTGAGAGATGTTGATTGTTTGCTGGTGAGAGGGTCTAGAAAGAGGGTGTATTGTATCGAGGTTGGAGTTGCCAGTACAGCACGCCTGCCTGTCCAGATTTGAGTGGCCTCGGAGAGAGGAGTGATTACAGCCGACCAAACGTCGTGGCGAACGGGCAGACTGACCTGACCTCTGCTCTGAGATTTCATCTGGCGGCGGATCACTGAATCAATGCCTTTTTGCCAGAGGGCCAGGAAGATTACGCTCATCAGCAGGAATACACGTGGTGGACACAGCTTGGCTGCGAAGATGTGGTGGGGCGTCGGCGTCCCAGGCTGACGTGGCATTGTCGTCAGCGAAAAGCCGCCCCTTGGGCGTTGCGGCTTGGGGTTGAAGTTCAAGCACATGGCCCTGCGAAAAGCCACCCATGTAGACGGTTCACGAATTAAACAACAACGTAACATTTCATAGCGACAAGCTGTCCAACGACTTTCGTTCTTATCGTGAATTCTTGGCAACACCAGCAGTATTTCCTACGAGTACATATCCACCATAGAAACCCCCAAGCTTTCCCCCTAGTTCACACCCAATTCAGCCATATCGGTATCTGTCCCCTGCAAGATTTGCACCTTTCATCTTCCTACATTCCATCTTTTCTGGTAGTGACGAGCTTCGTCGTCCTTACATGAGGCAAGTTCGCCATACCATTTTTACAAGGGCAGGAGCGTAGGCTCGTGTCCGTTAGTCCTCTCTCCGTAAATTTCAATCCCGTCCTATTTTTATTCGACTGTCCTATTCCTCCCCCGTCGAATCCCGCCCACTCGCGATGGCGACTGCAGCAGCAGCAGCAGCCCTGTTTTGTCCAATGCGTGGCGTCCCTGCTTTACGTTTAGACACAGCAGCCAGCAACGGCGTTACCACTGCCACAACCCTCTCATCTCACACCATCCTCTCATCCGCAGTCTCACCTGCTACTCCCTCGCTGCGCGCCGAGCCGAGCAGCTTCTGCGGAGCGTTCGCGGAAGCTTCCCGCCAGCAGCTTGCCAGCCGGAGGTACTCAAGCCACCGTCAGAGCCCTTGCAGCTTGGTGTTTCCAAATTCGTCGGATGCTGACGCGTCAGTTCCAGCCACGTGGCACTCGTGGCGAACGGGTGCTCCGTCGCGATTGGCTGGAAGCATCGCGGCGGGCGTTGCGCACAGAGGACGTTGCCGTACTCGGGTGACAGTAACGGGAGGTCCAAGCTCGTCTTGCAGACACGGCGGAGACAGCAACAAGTGTGACAGTATCAAAAGGACACCCGTTTCTTCCCAGGGTAACCTGTTCGCGTCTAGGGTTGGCAGAAACAAATTGTCATCCAATCAGGGGAGGCTGAGCAGCGAGGATACTACCTCGAGGCGATTAACGACCTCCGCACTATCCTCTCCATCGGGATCCCACCCAATCGCTTCTCCGCAGTCATCACCGCTTCCCCGCTCGCCGTCGAAGAAAGCACCATCCGCAGCCGAATCCCCCTCTGTCGCCACCGCTGCCGCTGCTGGAGTAGCCTCTACGTATCTGTCGACCTCCACCGCAACTGCCAACTTTGAAGCCTCCTATTCGGCCTCCCTTCCGCTCACCGTGCCGCATCTGGCGGCTCCTCTCGATCTAAGCCCGAACGCGCACCACCAGACGCGGTTCGCGGTGGCCCTTGCGGCGCAGCTGTCGCTCTTCTCCGTGCTCGCGCTGCTGCAACCCGTCTCCGCGCTCGCCCTTGCGCAATCCGCGCGCGGCACCGCCTCCGCGCGGACATTCTCCGGACGTTCGTCCGCCTCCTCTTCCGCATCCTCTTCCGCCAATGCCACACTCGCGCTCCTGCCCACGTGCCCCGCCACGTGGCACGAAAAGGACGCAGCTGCTGCCGCAGTAAGCGATTCGGACGGATTTGAGGCGGATAGAAGTCTGAGCAAGAGTACGGCGACCAAACGCCAAGGAAAGCGGCGGGGATCCCGCCGCCTAATCACAACGGCGAAAGCAACTGGAGCAGCGGTCGCGGAGGAGGCAGTTGCGGGCGGGGATTTTGCCGACACGTTCGCGGCATTGGCGGGGGACGATTGGGTTCCGCAGAACGGTAACGGGGCGGCGCGCGGAAGCAGCAACGGGAACGGGCGGGGGCTGTGGGGGGGAGTACGCGGGGGAGACGCTGCGGCGGGGAGGGGGGAGTGGCAGGCGGTGAGCCTGGCGGAAGCGCGGGAGATGGCGGAGCCGCCGTTCAAGGTGGCGGCACCGGGGCAACGAATTGTTGCGAGTGAGTTACTGTAACAAGTACATGTTTCCTCCTCTTGCCATATCCGGATGGTTCTCGCGCTTCTTATTCCCCCCTTCCCCCTCGCGCCAGAAGGCAACGTGCGCCGCGACTGGAAGCAGATCCTATCCGCCACTGTCGGAATCGAAAACTTTTTTTTCCACCAACTCTGTTGCGCTCTCCTCCTCGCGACCCCTCCTTTTTCCTCTCCCCTCTCTTTTTCCCCGCAACCCCATGGGAGTAGAGTCTGGTGGTTTAGAGCGCCTCAACCCCCCGAATCCTTCCTTTGCTTTCCCTCACCTCCTTCTTTCCCCTCCCCCCCCCCAGTCGGCGACGTGCACGGCGACTGGCAGCAGACCCCTCTATTTCCCCTCCCCACTCCCCCCCTTCTCCTCCTCCCTCCCTCCCCCCCCCCCCCAGTCGGCGACGTGCACGGCGACTGGCAGCAGACCCCTCTATTTCCCCTCCCCACTCCCCCCCTTCTCCTCCTCCCTCCCCCCCCCCCCAGTCGGCGACGTGCACGGCGACTGGCAGCAGACTCTTGCAGCGCTGCGCGTGGCGGGCGTGCTGAACGAGAAGGACGGCGTGAGCGACGACGAGATGTGGACGGGCGGATCCACGGTGAGTCGAGCAGGGGTAGAGAGGGGAGGAAAGGGGGAACGGGGATAGGGGAGGGAGGTGGGATATTAAGCCCTTGCTTAGCGGGCGTGCTGGTCGAGAAGGATGACGTGAGCGACGACGAGATTTGGACGGGCGATTCTACAGTGAGTCGATGAGGTGAGGGATGGCTTTTGAGTCGACTCAAAGGCTGCTGCTGGGTTGTCCGTGCGTGATTAGCGAGTCGGACGACGTTGTCTGAGATGTGGGTTGAGAAGGGAACGGATTTTACAGTGTGAAGGAATCAGGAAAATAAAAGACTGGAGGTAAGTCCTGAAACAATCTCTACCACACAAAGATGAGTGAGGATTGGACCTGATGTCATGTCAAAGCAATTGCTTGGGGTTGACTTCATAAATTGAGTGGTTGCATAACTATATTATTGCCAAAAGAAAACGGATCGAGGTCGGAGACGTTTCAAACCCGCCCACGATTGCTAATACTATCTGGATTATATTGGATCAAAGCCTCACTCAAATCTCCCCGCTGGTTCTTTTATCTCGGCCTTTTCGATCGTCCACTCCACTCCCAGGTCTGCCTCTTTGCCAGTGTATTCCTTATTAGCCTAATTGTTTGCCTCACATACCCACTGCTATGTTGACCCCTTCTACACGTTGCCCCTTGTGCCCCTTGTGCTCCTTGAGCCCCTTGTGCTCCTTGAGCCGCTTGTGCTCCTTGAGCCCCTTGTGCTCCTTGAGCCCCTTGTGCTCCTTGCGCCCCTTGTGCTCCTTGCGCCGCTTGTGCTCCTTGAGCCCTTTGCGCGCCTGAAGCCCTTGTGCGCGCCTGAAGCCCTTGTGCGCGTTGTCCCGTTGTCAACCCTTGCCCTCTTGCACCCCTTGCGTGCATTGCGCCCTCAGGTGCTGGTTCAGGTGGGAGACGTGTCGGACCTTGGTGATGATGAGATCACGTTCGCCGACGGAGAAGGATGCACAGCTGGCAGAGTTGAGCGCTCAGCTGGAGCAGATGAGCGCTCAGCTGGCAGAGAGGGACGCGCAGCCGGCGGAGAAGAAGCGCATCCTTCTCCGCCAACTGGGCGTTTCTCTCCGCCAGCTCAGCGCTCATCTGCTCCTGCTGAGCACTCATCTCTGCCAGCTGCGCGTCCCCCGCCAGCTGAGCATCCTTCTCCGCTCACTTCTCAGATTCCTGGATCCGTGCACCTCGTCCCCTCCTTGTGCCCCTTGATCCCCACACTCCCTTCGCTCCCCTTGCTGCCAACATGTGCTGGTTCAAGTGGGAGACGTGCTGGACCGTGGTGAAGATGAGATTGCCATTCTCTCACTGCTCAGGCTCAGGCCATCTTGACCCTTTCGTCCCTTGCCCGCCCTCCCTTTGCTTCCGTTGCTCCTCTTGCTGTCCCCAGGTTCTGGTTCAGGTGGGAGACGTGCTGGACCGTGGTGACGACGAGATTGCCATTCTCTCATTGCTCAGGCACCTGGACCGGCTGGCGCAGCGGGAAGGGGGAGGCGTGCTCATGGTGAGTGTGGTAGAGCAGGGTGTGTGTTGGGGGCGTTGTTGGTTAGACAGACAGATTGTGACTGTTGCGGTGGTGATGAGATCGGTGTGTGTTGGTCTCGATAGTGCCGAGGCATGAGGGCGGGGTGGTGTGGGCTCATGGCATGGGGCGAAGTTGTGAGGCGCCTCTAGAGTGTGGTGTGTGTTGGTCTCGATAGTGCCGAGGCATGATGGCGGGGTGGTGTGGGCTCATGGCATGGGGCGAAGCGAAGTTGTGAGGCTCCTCTAGAGTGTGGTGTGTGTTGGTCTCGATAGTGCCGAGGCATGATGGCGGGGTGGTTTGTGTGCTCATGGCATGGGGCGGGCGGGGGCGAAGGGTGTGTGTTGAGTTGATAATGCATGTGCGAGGCAGTTGAATCGATGCGCGAGCGTAGCCAACACTCTCATATGCATCAGCCTGTGGAATTAGTAGAAAGATTAGCAGCAATTCTTTCCACCTCCCCCACTCCGCTCCCTCCCCCCCCCCCCCTCCCCCCTTACCGCTATCCGCCACCTTAGCTGAACGGCAAGCACGAGACAATGAACGTGGCGGAGGAGTTTCGGTACGTGTCGGATGGGGCCTCTCAGAACCTAATTCCTCCTCCTTCCCTCACTCCGCCCTCCCTTTTCTTCCCGCCTTCTTCCCCTCCCCTCCCCACCACCAGCTGAACGGCAACCACGAGACGATGAACGTGGCGGAGGAGTTTCGGTACGTGTCGGACGGGGGCTTCGAGGAGAGCGAGGACTTCTACTCCTTCTGCCTCTCCGAGCGCGCCGGCGACTGGGACAGCGCACTCACTTACCAATGCCTACCTGCTCTGATCCCGAGGCCTCTCCTTTCATTTCCGCCCCCCTCTCCCTTCCTGCTTCTCTCCATCCCCCTCTCCCCCAGCTGAACGGCAATCACGAGACGATGAACGTGGCGGAGGAGTTTCGGTACGTGTCGGACGGGGGCTTCGAGGAGAGCGAGGATTTCTACTCCTTCTGCCTCTCCGAGTGCGCCGGCGACTGGGACAGCGCGTTCCGCGTGTGGTGGCAGGCGTCTCAGGAGCTCAAGGCGACTAAGAGGAGGCGGAAGGGGCCTTGGAACGGATGGAACCCCATTCAGGTAGGCGGGCGGACGTGCGGGTTGTTTGAGTAGATTGGTGGTGTTTGGCTGAGCCCTTCTGAGTACAGGTTGGGCGTGGTGTGGGGGCGAGCAGGAGAGCGCGTTGAGGTTGTGGTGGCAGGCCTCCCAGAGGCTGAAGGCGACTAAGAGGAGGCGAAAGGGGCCGTGGAACGGATGGAACCCCATTCAGGTAGAAAGGTGTGTGGGTGGGTGTGGTGGCAGGCGTTGAGGGTGTGGTGGCAGGCGGTGAGGGTGTGGTGGCAGGCGTTGAGGGTGTGGTGGCAGGCGTTGAGGGGACTGAAGGTGTCTAAGAATCAACGGACCGTGAAATGGATGGAACCCAATTCAGGTAGGAGGACTGTGTGTGGACGTGGGATCAAGGCGGACTGAGGTAGAGAGGCATTTTCTGTAAGGGAGGATGGTGGCGGCAACTGGGAGAGCGGTTGAGGTTGTGGTGGCAGGCGTCTCAGGAGCTGAAGGCGTCTAAGAGGAGGCGAAAGGGGCCGTGGAACGGATGGAACCCCATTCAGGGGGGATGGATAGATGGATGGAATCGTAATGCATGGAGAGCATGTGGTGTGGTGCCTCTTTCCCTTCAGCGCACACAGGCGTGTCTCAACAGAGCGGCACAAATTGTCCACAGTGGGCCGCATCACCCTCACTCAATTCTCCCTCCCCCCTTCCTTTTTTCTCCCCCTAACACCCCCTCTCCCCACTCATCTACCCCTTTTTCTTGCAGGGCCAGCGGCAGGTGTGGGAGCGGCACGAGCTGTTTGAGGTGGGCTATATGACTCTTAACCCTGCCTTACCCCACTCAACCGCCCTTGCTCCACTCTTTCCTTTCCTTCCCCTGCAGGGCCAGCGGCAGGTGCGGGAGCGGCATGAGCTGTTTGAGGTGGGCGGGCCGATGGCAGCAGAGCTGGCGCGGAATGGGGCAGCGCTGATGGTCAATGACACTTTGTTTGCTCACGGGGGCATCCTGCCACACCATGGTAAGGAGAGCTCTGGTATGGCCTATGCTACCGCAGGGGATACCTGGCAACTTACCGGGCAGCGCTGATGGTCAACGACACTTTGTTTGCACACGGGGGCATTCTGCCACACCATGGTGAGGGGAATGTGGGTATTGGCCGCATGCTCATGTGCATGTGCATGGTCGTTGGTGTGGCAGCGTGTGGCAGCAAAACTGGCTAGGAAAGGAGCAGCTCTGATGGTCAATGACACTCTGTTTGGGGGGGGGGGGGGGGGGGGGGGGGGGGGGGGGGATTCTGCCACACCATGATGAGGGGGATGCGGCATGGCACATAGTACTGATAAGAGAATGTTGATACAGCGCATGGTTGATACAGAAAATATTCAACCATATTGCTGTGTTCAATTGTCAATCTACGCAGCCGCGCTCCCCCGTTTTCTCCCCACTCCAGTGGAGTCTGGTCTTCCTTGTATGAACCGGGGGCTGTTGCAGTGAATGCGTGTGGGGTGGGGAGGGTTTTTGAGTGCGAGTTGGATGCGTGCGAGGTGATGAGGAGTCGGTTTTGAGTCGACTCAAAAACTGACTACTCACACACGAGGTGAAGAGGCGGGGGACAAGGGGCTGAGTAAGTACGCCATCCACTTTTTTTCCTCTTACCTTCTCCTCTTCTACCCCATTTTCTCCCTTCTCCAGTGGAGTATGGTCTGCCTCGTATGAACCAGGAGCTATCGCAGTGGATGAGAGGCGATGAGGTGTGGGGCGAGGGGGATGGTTTTTTTCCCTATCTCCGTGTTTCCACCTACTCCATCCCCCTCCACACCCTCCCTTCCTCCAGTGGAGTATGGCCTACCACGCATGAACCGGGAGCTATCGCAGTGGATGCGGGGAGAGGAGGTGTGGGGCGAAGGGGATAGAGTAGAGCCACATGCTTACATCTCCCTTTCTGTGCTTTTCCACCTACTCCCTTCCCCTTCCCCCCCCCACCCGCTCGCCAGTGGAGTATGGCCTGCCGCGCATGAACCGGGAGCTGTCGCAGTGGATGCGGGGAGAGGAGGTGTGGGGCGAGGGGGGCCGCAGCCCGATGCCGTTCATCGTGACAAGGGGATTCAATAGCGTGGTGTGGACTCGGCTGTACTCGCAGGAGTACCTGGGGTCGGGCGAGGACAAGTACAAGGTGAGTGCACATTGTTGAAACGGTGGTTGAGGTTGGTCTCGGGGGGTCTGAAAGGGTGCAGCCCGATGCCGTCCATCGTGATGCGGGGCTTCAACAGCGTGGTGTGGAAGCGGATGTACTCTCAAGAATATCTGGGGTCTGGCGAGGACAAGTACAAGGTGAGGATGGGTGCAAAGTGATGTGATGATTTTTGAGACGTCTCAAAAATCATCTTTTTACACGGTGCACGGATGGTACAAGGTGACGATTGACTTCAAGTGCCATGCATTTCGAAATATAAGGGAACAAATTGAGTGGAGGTGTCACGCCTTGCCCTATCCCTCTTTCCCCACCCAACTCTACCCTGGGCCATCCCCGCCATCCCCACACACCCCATGCCCCTATGCTCTTTACCCCACCACCTATATTGTGTCTCCTCCCCTCCTCCCGTGGCCTCGCAGCTTCACATGCACACGCATGCCGTGCCCTTATCCTCTTCTCCCCACTAACCATGCCCCATCCCCCGTCATGCCCCATCCCCCGTCATGGCCCCATGCAGATCTGCGCGGTGCTGGCTGCTTCACTGGACGCGGTGGGAGCAAGGAGGCTGGTTGTGGGGCACACGCCGCAAGTGGGGGGAGCTAACGGGTGAGCCATTGCTGTCTGACTGCGTCTACACTCTCTTCCACATGCTCTTTACCTGTGGCGCGTTTCTCTAACTCTTCATGCTGGAGAACGAGTGGACCACCCACCTGTTGCATGTGTGTGCTCTCTCTCCACAAGCACTCATGTGCAAATTTGTTGAGCTGTCTTCTGATTTTCCCCATGCCTCTCTTCTCTCTCCTCGTGTGTGCAGGGAGTGTGGGGGTAGAGTGTGGCGCATTGATGTGGGCATGTCATCGGGCATGCTCAATGCCCCACCCCAGGTATACACTCTGCTCCATGCATCTGCACCCTGCATCATCGTCTGCACCTCGCACCCGCTTCGACTCTCCAAATTTCCCTGCATCCGTCATGGCTCGCCTTGCAACGTTTTGCATGCTTTTCCTTGTTTTTTTTTTTCTTAAAACTCAGGTCCTTCCCCTTTCTGTTGCCACCACACCACCTCATCCTGCCCACAGGTTTTGGAGATTGTTGGGGATTCTGTGCAGGTGCTGGGTGCACGCACCACAGATGGACTGGCTGCCATGCGCGTCAGAAGATGATGTGATGATCTGAAGAGGGAGGAATAGGACAGTCGGGGATTTGTTTAATGTGGTTCGGAGTGGCTTGGCGCTCGTGAATGAAGACGAGTGCAGGCATGCCCACGAGTTGTCGGATTTTGCAGCACCATATGATCGGGTGGCGCCCATGAAAGGGTTCCACTTACACACCATTGCCGTTCGATCGTATACCATTTTACTTGAATACTGGGCTGTTTCTGCTGGAATGCCTTGAGGGTTTCTGCTTGTGTTGAGCATACCAGGATGGAAAATTAGACTAGCCATCCATTTGTTGAACAAAAGAGGTTGCTGGGTTCTTATTCTTGTGTTGCCTTGATGTTGAACATGTAACGTTATTTGCCTCCAGGATTGAACAATGCTTTAGCATGATTCGCAAATTTTGATTGCGCGTGTAGCAACTTGACACTGCAATCCGTTTGGACTAACCACACACATCCACTATTCCTACTTACAATTCCCTAGGCCTTGGTCCCACCAACAACCTGCATCCCATTTTCAGAAAAGCCGTTTCTGAGCGTCAGCCTGACGCCAAGGTTTGGGAAGGACTTGCCAGTGGTAGGATCCTGTGGTGTGGTAGGATCGGGGAAGTTCCGGAACGCACCAAACAGCTAATTTATGCGCTTTATTTTACCATGTAGGCGATTAGGACTCACTTGTGAAGAGTCCGTGAAGCATTAGCGTCCGCGTGGCATGATTATGCCACCTGTTTATGAGCGAGTGAAGTGACGATCCGCCAATCGGCATCGCGATCGGAAACGACGCGAGTATCATGTCGCATGTTCATGGCCAAGGAGCCAATGGGAATTTGTTCTCTCGAGGCCGTTCAACTCACAATGACGCGGTTCAGTCGTATTCGTATCCCTTGGGAAACGCCATGGGAGGAGACGGAGGAAGAGGCGGAGGAGGAGGACAAAGTCGCGCTTTCGGTTGCGAGGAGGAGGATAAGCAGCGGTTTGAGGCTGTGGATGCGAGGGGATCGAGTCATTGCGTGGACGAACGAGCAGCCGCCACTTGGATTTATCCATGTAGGTTTCTGACTGGGTAGGCGGTTGGGAAACAATCAGACTTTTCCATTCTACATGAAGCTTAGTATTTTAACCATAACCCTTAATTTCCGTCTGTTATACTTTCTGTCATCCTAGGGAAGCGACAATTCCAAGCCAACACTTTCCAATTCACACTCCATTCTTGTCTCCCTCGCAGCCAACCGCGAGCTTCGCCAGTACCAGTACGAAATTGCGGAGGCAGCTCTCTTCGCCAACACCCTCGTGTGCCTTCCCACCGGCGTGGGGAAAACCCTCATTGCCGCCGTTGTCATGGCCAACTACTACCGCTGGTTCCCGTACGGTCAGTGAATACACACACTGATCAGTGGGTGTACCAGTGCACTGACAGCAGCTGGTTCATCAGGCTTTATAGCAGCTTTGAACCCTCATCGCCGCCGTTTTCATGGCCAACTACTACCGCTGGTTCCCACACGGTCAGTGAATACACACACTGATCAGTGGGTGTACCAGTGCACTGACAGCGGCTATTTCATCAGGCTTTATAGCAGCTTTGAACCCTCATCGCCGCCGTTTTCATGGCCAACTACTACCGCTGGTTCCCACACGGTCAGTGAATACACACACTGATCAGTGGGTGTACCAGTGCACTGACAGCGGCTATTTCATCAGGCTTTATAGCAGCTTTGAACCCTCATCGCCGCCGTTTTCATGGCCAACCACTACCGCTGGTTCCCACACGGTCAGTGAATACACACACTGATCAGTGGGTGTACCAGTGCACTGACAGCGGCTATTTCATCAGGCTTTATAGCAGCTTTGAACCCTCATCGCCGCCGTTGTCATGGCCAACTATTACCGCTGGTTCCCGCACGGTCAGTGAATGCACACACTGATGTGATGAGTGGGTCCATCAGTGCTGACCCACAGGTTACGTAGCACCTTCGCACCGCTTTGCTGCTGTTGTGATGGCCAATTATTACCGCTGGTTCACGCACGCAAGGAGAGTGAATATGTACACTGATTAGTGGTTGCAGTGCACAAATAGCAGCTAGTTAATCAGGCTTCAGATAGCAGCTTTGAACCCTCATTGTCGTGTTGTCATGGTCGATTACTACTGCCAGTTTTCACAAGGCCACACACCCTGGTGACCAATGTGGTATTTGCTCTGAACGAGCATCAAGTTTATCCTGCAATCACGTGTTTCCTTTCTTCCTTCCTGCATCATCAACATGTGTGCGTGCCCTGGTGCATGCATGCATGCATGTGGGTCTCCGTGCATGTATGCGTTGCATGTGTGGCATCATCATCAGGAAAAATAGTGTTCATGGCTCCCACGCGCCCCCTGGTGCTGCAGCAGATCCGAGCATGCCACAACGTCGTCGCCATCCCACAGGTAAAGCCGCTTGCTGCTGAAAAAGAATTCCCATTGCCCTGATCATCTTTATCCCACCTCCCTGATTAGTTGAATCTCGACTTTCTGGCAAGATGAATTTGTAGTCTAGATTGTCAGCTTGGTACCTTGAGGTGATCCAGTGAGTCCAGTCTATGCGCATTCGAGAAAAGCTCCTCTATTTTTCGCTTGTCATTGCCTCGTGCATCCAGGCTTACTTTTGCAGTTCTCGTGCTGCTCACCCATTTCTCTCTTCAGGAGCACCCACACAATTCACATGACAGTGCAGATGGCGCGGGAGCAGCGAGCGCCGGGCGCAGCACGGGGGGGAGCAAAGGTCCTCATTCCCGTGTTTATCTAGGATACTCATTCATTGCCCCCGTCCACCACCCTCCAGGAGCACACGATGCACATGACGGGGCAGATGGCGCGGGAGCAGCGGGCGCAGCACTGGAGGGAGCGGCGGGTGTTCTTTGTCACAGGGCAGGTGCTGCTGCAGGACATGGTGCAATGGGGTGAGTGGTGGTGCAGTGTGGTTATTGGTGCTAAGAATATGGTGTACTGGGGTGAAGGGTGCATTGGATGTTTGCCGTGTGCACACTTGCAGTACATACATTCACGGTGCAGTGCGGTGACTCTCGGTACAGCGCACGCTACATGTGGATGTGGGGTGGATACGTGATGACATCTTTTGACAGAACTGACTCTGACTCTTCGAGTGGGTTGGATCCACCGTTTCATATGCAGTACAGGTGCTTGTTTGGGAAACTTGGGGTTGCATAGTGTGTTATGTATGGTGGTGATGGGTGGAACCCATCACGCTTGAAGACCTAAACAGTAGAGTTGCAACTTACCTAATATCTATGTGCTTTCTCCCACCCACTGTATCGCACAGGAGCCTGTCCGCGCGAGGCCATAGTGTGTCTGGTGGTGGACGAGACCCATCACTCTAGAAGGCTGGAACCAAAGAGCCAAAATCCATGGTTTCGTGCTCCTTATGTGCAATGCTGCCATGCGCCCGATGCTCCCACACAGGAGCCTGTCCGCGCGAGGCCATAGTGTGTCTGGTGGTGGACGAGACCCATCACTCTAGAAGGCTGGAACCAAAGAGCCAAAATCCATGGTTTCGTGCTCCTTATGTGCAATGCTGCCATGCGCCCGATGCTCCCACACAGGAGCCTGTCCGCGCGAGGCCATAGTGTGTCTCGTGGTGGACGAGACCCATCACTCTAGAAGGCTGGAACCAAAGAGCCAAAATCCATGGTTTCGTGCTCCTTATGTGCAATGCTGCCATGCGCCCGATGCTCCCACACAGGAGCCTGTCCGCGCGCGGCCATAGTGTGTCTGGTGGTGGACGAGACCCATCACTCTAGAAGGCTGGAACCAAAGAGCCAAAATCTATGGTTTCGTGCTCCTTATGTGCAATGCTGCCATGCGCCCGATGCTCCCACACAGGAGCCTGTCCGCGCGAGGCCATAGTGTGTCTCGTGGTGGACGAGGCCCATCGTGCCACGGGCAATTATGCGTATGCACGGGTAGTGGAGGAGGTGAGATGTGAGGGGAGTGCTTAATCAGGGAGTTGGTGCAGGAAGTCGACGGGTGGGTGGATGAGCGGGTGGGGGTGTGAACCACTGAGCGTCCTTGGCTCATCTCATCATGCGCATTGTGCAATCAGCAATCAGATCAGGGCTCCCCTCCCTCGGGTCCTGGTTTCTCCTTTTACGTTTCTCTCAACTCATTCCATCCATCATTGCTCTCCACTTTCCTTTTCACCTCACCGCTCGTTTTTCGGCCGTGTCCTTCCTTGCTGGCTCCATTGCTCCCGGTCCCTGCTTCTGCTGCTGTCGCTCTCGCTCATGGCAGCTCAACAAAGCCGGCGTGGCGTTTCGAGTTCTTGCACTGACCGCCACTCCTGGGTGTACGTTCTTCTCTTCTCCATGCCCGCACACTTTCCTTGTCAATCTCCTTGTCTGCTTTGAGACGTCTCAAAACATCACTTTTATCACGCACACTTTCCTTGTCAATCTCCTTGTCTGCTGCACGGCTGAGTCTCATCCGAATCTTCATGAATGACCCGCCATCTGCCGCTCTCCTGGATGTACATTTCTCTCCATGCACACGTAGACTTTTGAGTCGAGTCAAAAGTCAACTCGTACCCTTGTTGTCAACTATGCTGCTCTCCGTGCCTGCATTCCTTTTGCCATGATCCACATTTTCATGAATGACCAAGGCAGTTCACTTCACACAGTAACTATGCTGCAGTATTGCTACCTACCTACCTTCTTGCACTAGTCGTCCACCACGGTACTGAAAATTCACTGCGATTGCCACCACTGGCACTTCGTTCTGCTCTGCTCCTTTCCATGTTACCAGCCCAGCTGCCCGAGGTACAGGAGGTGGTGGACAAGCTTGGCATATCAGTCATGCAGCACAGTTCCACTGTACCCCACTCCTCCCCTCTTCTCCTTCCTCTCTCCCCTCCCTCTCCTCCGTGTTACCAGCCCAGCTGCCCGAGGTACAGGAGGTGGTGGACAAGCTTGGCTTGTAGCGCACCAGTGCCTGAACGTGTGCTGCGAACAAGAACAAAACAATACCCCACAAAGGGTCTAACATTTTCCCATTGTCCTCCATCCTTCCAGCCCAGCTGCCCAAGCTACAGGAGGTGGTGGACAAGCTGGGCATATCAGTCATGCAGCACAGTTCCACTGTACCCCACTCCTCCCCTCTTCTCCTTCCTCTCTCCCCTCCCTCTCCTCCGTGTTACCAGCCCAGCTGCCCGAGGTACAGGAGGTGGTGGACAAGCTTGGCTTGTAGCGCACCAGTGCCTGAACGTGTGCTGCGAACAAGAACAAAACAATACCCCACAAAGGGTCTAACATTTTCCCATTGTCCTCCATCCTTCCAGCCCAGCTGCCCAAGCTACAGGAGGTGGTGGACAAGCTGGGCATATCAGTCATGCAGCACAGCTCCACTGTACCCCACTCCTCCCCTCTTCTCCTTCCTCTCTCCCCTCCCTCTCTTCCATGTCTCCAGCCCAGCTGCCCAAGGTACAGGAGGTGGTGGACAAGCTGGGCATATCGCTCATAGAGTACCGGGGAGACGACGACCCGCAAGTTGCCCAGTACATGCACAAGCGCACCGAGCAAGTCATCAAGGTGCGCTGTGCTGTGCTGTGCTGTTGGTCTGTGATGTTGTGTGCCGTTGGTATGTAGTCACAGTGCTGTGTGCCGTTGGAATGTAGTCACAGTGCTGTGTGCCGTTGGTATGTAGTCACAGTGCTGTGTGCCGTTGGTATGTAGTCACTGTGCTGTGTGACGGGCAGTCTCCCATTCATCCATACCCCACTGTCTCTCATCCCGTCCTTCACCCCCCCCTCATCCCCCGGTGCATGCAGGTGCGCATGCACACAGCAGTGGCGGAGGTGGAGAAGCTGCTGCTGGCAGAGCAGAGGAAGTTTGCCTTCATCCATCCGTCTATCCCCATTGTTTCCCAATCCACTCCTCTATCTCGCACTCCCCCGTCTCCCCCAGGTGCGGATGCACACAGCAGTGGCGGAGGTGGAGAAGCTGCTGCTGGCAGAGCAGAGGAAGTTTGCCTTCATCCATCCGTCTATCCCCATTGTTTCCCAATCCACTCCTCTATCTCGCACTCCCCCGTCTCCCCCAGGTGCGCATGCACACAGCAGTGGCGGAGGTGGAGAAGCTGCTGCTAGCGGAGCAGAGGAGGTGCCTGGAAGCCCTCAATCGCCTGGGCCTTGTGTCTTCAGCTCTCGTGTCCTCCAGCAAGGTCAGATTCATACTGCGACTTTTAAAGTCCACTTATACATGATCGTCCTGCTGCTAGCGGAGCAGAGGAGGTGCCTGGAAGCCCTCAATCGCCTGGGCCTTGTGTCCTCGGCGCTCGTGTTTTCCAGCAAGGTCAGCTCACTCAGTGGATAGTCGCTCGCATGTGATTGTATGTATGCACTTGAATTGAATAAGTCTTCAATTCCACTTTCGCACACATGCTCGTCCTGCTGCTAGCGGAGCAGAGGTTATGTGTCCTCAATCGCCCTCAACCGCCTTGGTTATGTGTCCTAGGCCCTGGTCTCCTCCAGCAATGTCAGCTCAGAGTGGAATCGCATTCGCGTTTGTGCATGCACTTGAATCAATCTTATCTTAGGATGGTCATGCATGCATGTGCATCTCAAGAAAAGCTTCCCAGCTCCAGGTGTGTCAGCTTGTGTTATCCCACCACCTACAGTTGGATCAGCAAGCGTTGAAAACAGTCGTGTAGAACTTCCTCTCACCGCACCATTTGCTTCCCTCCCAGATCGTATCCTCCCACCAGCTACGGTTGATCGAGGAGAATCGCGAAAGCAGTTGTCTCAGTCACTTCAAGGGCCTCCTCTTTGGGCCCTTTGCCGCTCTCCCTCAGTCACACCATGCCCTCCCAAATCGTTTCCTCCTACCAGCTGCGCATGACCCAGAGGCTGTGCAACATGTGCGTTCTGATATCACCCAGATTTGTCACCCCCCCTCGCCCTCCCACTCCCTTGTCACACCATGCCCTCCCAGATGCTGTCGTCCCACCAGCTACGCATGATTCAGGAGCGGTGGGAGATAAGCCGGCAGCAGGAGGCGGCAGCGCTGGGCTTTGGGGCAGCGCCCATGGGCGGCAGGGAGGCTGTGCAGCCCTGTACTAGAGAGACTTATGTCATTCCGTTTCCCTCTCCCCTGCCAACGTTCCTTTCCTTCCTGCTCCCAGATGGTGTCGTCCCACCAGCTACGCATGATTCAGGAGCAGCGGGAGATCAGCCGGCAGCAGGAGGCAGCAGCACGGGGCTTTGGGGCGGCGCCCATGGGCGGCAGGGAGGCGGCGGGGCAGATGTGGTGGGCGCGGGCAGAGGCTGTAGGGGCGGCACTGGAGAGGCTGATGTCGCATGGCATGCGCTCAGCACTGCATGTGATTGAGAGGAGCAGGTGAGGGAAGGCAGACCGTATGTGGCAATGAATGGGAGGGCAGGGAGGGAGGCGGCGGGGCAGATGTGGTGGGCGCGGGCAGAGGCTGTGGGGGCTGCTTTAGAGAGGCTCATGTCTCATGGCATGCGCTCAGCGCTGCATGTGATTGAGAGGAGCAGGTGAGTGCGGTTTTGCTATGAGCAGGTGAGTGTTGGTAGGCGGCTTTTGAGAAGCAGTGATGATAATGGTGAAAGGAGGGGAGAGAAACGGTGGGGCAGATGTGGTGGGTATGACGCAGAGGCCATGGGGGCCGCTTTGGAGAGGCTCATGTCGCATGGCATGCGCTCAGCACTGCATGTGATTGAGAGGAGCAGGTGAGGGAAGGGGTATGGGAGTTAAAGAGACTGGTAGCTTTCCAAATGCTGTGGGATGTGGTGGGTAGGGTACTGGGCAGAGGTCGTGGGGTGGGGGCTGTTCTGGAGAGGTAGGTATCCTGTCGCATCACAGGCCATGTGAGAACGTTTCAGGCTCGTGTCAGCTTTTGAGGCTCCTCAACATATTTGGCATGTGCTCACATCACACAATGCCTCCCTCTTCCGTCTTCCCTCTCCTCTCCTCCCTCACAGGCCGTTGGCTGCAGTGGTTAGGGAGGAGAACATGCACAAGGCGTTGACCATCATGCGCCGCACTGTGGGAGGGGGCGAAGGGGGGAAGGCCGGCAAAGGAAGGCAGGGCAGTGCCACGTCATCAGCTTCCACATCAGGAGCACCCAGGGGTGGCCCCTCGTCTGCTGTAGCGGCTGCCATCTCGCCGAAGCTGGTGGAGCTTGAGAAGCTGCTGCTTCTGCACTTCAAGGATGGTGGGTGATGGTGGGTGAGCGAGCGTCTTGCGACTTAAAATGCAGATTTGTGAGGCCTTTTAAAACATTGAGCTTTGTGATTACTTAAAGCCAGTGGAGCTGGAGAAGCTGCTGCTGCTGCACTTCAGGGATGGTGGGTGCGCTTGCTGCTGCTGTTTGTCCCTATGCCGCCTGTCAGCATGGTGCATGCATGCATATGTGATGGTGTGTGTCTGCCTCTAGTATGGTACAGCTGCCACTACTACCAGGGCAACCATACCCTCCTGTCTCCGGCCTCTTTTGTTACGGGAATAATTTCCTCCTGTCCCCCGCTTATTTTCTTTAGGAGGCCTCTTGAATCATCCCCTCCTGGCCCCTAATTTTTCTCCATTTTCTCCCTCGTCCCTTCACCCATGCAGCCCAGCAGCGTGGCACAGGTGACACAAGAGCCATCATCTTCTCCACCTTTCGGGACAGTGTGCAGTGAGTGACTGTAGAAGGTGTTACTGTAGCAGGTGTGACTGTAGCAATCGTGTGACCCTGTAGCAAGTTTGTCCCTGTAGCATTGGTAACCTGTAGCAGTGGCTGAATGTAGTTTTGCGTGATGGTTGTGGTGAGTGACGGTTGCAGGACTAAGTGTCGTAGTGGATGGATGTAGATTGTGTGCGTGTGTGTGTGCGCGGGCGATGTGAGCTGCAGTTAGGTGCTGTGGGATTGAGTGGTTTCGTTTTGAGTCGACTCAAAACCACGTGTAATGAGTCGAGTTTTGAGTCGACTCAAAACCGCGTGTAATGAGTCGAGTTTTGAGTCGACTCAAAACTCGCGGGCGATGTGAGCTGCAGTTAGGTGCTGTGGGTGGGATTGAGTGGTTGCCGTACAGAGTAGTGTATGTGGTTGGCTCAGCTGCCAACGTGCAGTGGGTGACTATAACAGAAAAAGTTATGGACTTGGGCACTGAGGCAAGCAAAAGCAAAGACACGGTGCTGCAGCACGTGCGGCATGTTGTTTGTTCGTGGAGCAGAGCTCCAGGTTGATTCATCTACTCTAGTATCTATCATCTCCGTTGCACTCTCTCGCTTGCGATTTGTGTTCCGTGAGTCATTAGGAATTTGTGTCTTGTAATCACATAATTTGTGCAATGCCTATTGCACGTGATGGCCTGGGCAGGGAGATTGTGGAGTGCCTGTCACAGCACGAGCCATTGCTGCGAGTGAAGCAGTTCATCGGGCAGAGCCCAGGTACGTACGGCTTATTCTGGACGTATCTGCCTATATCACCAACCTACGGTGCTCGATGCTCATCTCCCTCTTGCCGCCGTTCACTCATCTCTGTCTTGCAAATGTCAAGTCCCCCCTCTCTCTCAGAATGGCAAGTTGACTAACTCTCAGCAACCGACAAGGTAACATAGTAACCCTCTCTCTGGTGCACTGCAGGAGCCGACTTGCCTCAGAACCGGGCCAAGGGGTCTGCACGCACCAAGGGGTTTCCACGAATAAGAGCAAGGGGAGGTGGAAGCGGAGGGGGAAGGGGAGGGCGTGGGGAAGGGCGCGGGGGGAGGGGAGGGGGTGGGCGAGGGGGAGGGAGGATGGGAGGAAGGGGAAGGGGGCGAGGGACTGGAGGAGGAGCAGCAGCTTTGGATGGTTTGAACAGAAGTCTGAGTATCAGGAGGGGAGGGCGAAGCAATCTTGATGATGGTGTGGTGAAGGGTGTGGGCGGGGAGGAGGATGGAGAGGAGGGATGGGACGCTGAGGGAGAGGATTTAGAAGAGGGAATTGGGCATGCGGAACAAGAGAGGGCGGAAGAGGAAGGGGACGAGGGGGAGGAAGAAGCAGGGGGGAAGGAGGGGGGTGATTTGGAAGTGAGGAAGCGGTTGATGGGTCAGTCACAGAAGCAGCAGCAGGCGGTGCTGGATGTGAGTGTCTCATTGCCATGCCTCCCCGTTCACCTGCTGCTTCTACCTCTCTTACTCTCTTCGCTCGCTTGCAAGGGAGGGGGTTGATGGGTCAGTCACAGAATCAGCAGCAGGCGGTGCTGGATGTGAATGTCTCGAGGCTGCAGTTTTATGGACCAATATTGCTGCTCTCTTTGTTCTTTCCTGTGTGACCCTCGTCATAGTTTCTCGACTGTCCCTTTTTCCCCTCGTTCCACATGTGACTCTCGTTTCCGTCCTTGCCCTCGTTTATCCCATTCCCCTCGTTTCCCCGTTATCTCTCGCTTTTCCCCCATTAGGGCTTCAAAGCAGGAACATACAACGTGCTTGTCTCCACGACCATTGGGGAGGAAGGGCTGGACATATCTCAGGTGGGCTGGACATATCTCAGGTGGGCTGGACATATCTCAGGTGGGCTGGACATATCTCAGGTGGGCTGGACATATCTCAGGTTGGCTGGACATATCTCAGGTGGGCTGGACATATCTCAGGTTGGCTGGACATATCTCAGGTTGGCTGGACATATCTCAGGTGGGCTGGACATATCTCAGGTTGGCTGGACATATCTCAGGTTGGCTGGACATATCTCAGGTTGGCTGGACATATCTCAGGTGGGCTGGACATATCTCAGGTGGGCTGGACATATCTCAGGTGGGCTGGACATATCTCAGGTTGGCTGGACATATCTCAGGTTGGCTGGACATATCTCAGGTTGGCTGGACATATCTCAGGTTGGCTGGACATATCTCAGGTGGGCTGGACATATCTCAGGTGGGCTGGACATATCTCAGGTGGGCTGGACATATCTCATGTGGGCTGGACATATCTCAGGTGGGCTGGACATATCTCAGGTGGGCTGGACATATCTCAGGTGGGCTGGACATATCTCAGGTGGGCTGGACATATCTCAGGTGGGCTGGACATATCTCAGGTTGGCTGGACATATCTCAGGTGGGCTGGACATATCTCAGGTTGGCTGGACATATCTCAGGTGGGCTGGACATATCTCAGGTGGGCTGGACATATCTCAGGTGGGCTGGACATATCTCAGGTGGGCTGGACATATCTCAGGTGGGCTGGACATATCTCAGGTTGGCTGGACATATCTCAGGTTGGCTGGACATATCTCAGGTTGGCTGGACATATCTCAGGTTGGCTGGACATATCTCAGGTTGGCTGGACATATCTCAGGTGGGCTGGACATATCTCAGGTTGGCTGGACATATCTCAGGTTGGCTGGACATATCTCAGGTTGGCTGGACATATCTCAGGTGGGCTGGACATATCTCAGGTTGGCTGGACATATCTCAGGTTGGCTGGACATATCTCAGGTTGGCTGGACATATCTCAGGTTGGCTGGACATATCTCAGGTTGGCTGGACATATCTCAGGTTGGCTGGACATATCTCAGGTTGGCTGGACATATCTCAGGTTGGCTGGACATATCTCAGGTTGGCTGGACATATCTCAGGTTGGCTGGACATATCTCAGGTTGGCTGGACATATCTCAGGTTGGCTGGACATATCTCAGGTTGGCTGGACATATCTCAGGTTGGCTGGACATATCTCAGGTTGGCTGGACATATCTCAGGTTGGCTGGACATATCTCAGGTTGGCTGGACATATCTCAGGTTGGCTGGACATATCTCAGGTTGGCTGGACATATCTCAGGTTGGCTGGACATATCTCAGGTTGGCTGGACATATCTCAGGTTGGCTGGACATATCTCAGGTGGGCTGGACATATCTCAGGTTGGCTGGACATATCTCAGGTGGGCTGGACATATCTCAGGTTGGCTGGACATATCTCAGGTGGGCTGGACATATCTCAGGTTGGCTGGACATATCTCAGGTTGGCTGGACATATTCCAGGTTGGCTGGATAAATCCCACATGGAACTGTGGTGCGTTGAATGCTGACTTCTTTTCCTGAACCTGTCTACATTCCCACTGATTCTTTTTTTCCTTGCCACCTCTCTGATCTCTCCGTCCCCTGCCATCCCAACACCAACAGGTGGATCTGGTGGTGTGCTTCGACGCGGTCTCTCTGTGCTGCTCCAATACCCCGCATTTCACCTCACCATCCCGCTGACTCATGCTGTCACTTCACATTTCTCTTCTCCCCTTTTTGTAACAAACCCCCCTCCCTTTCACACTGTCAGGTGGATCTGGTGGTGTGTTTAAATGCGGTCTCTCCCCTCATTTCACCTCACCGTCCCACCTCTGACGTCGCTTCCCATTCCCCTCCTCTCCCAACCTCCCCCCCTTGCCCTCTACCCCACTAGGTGGATCTGGTGGTGTGTTTCGATGCGGTCTCTGTGCTGCGCATGACTCAGCGCATGGGGCGCACTGGCCGCAGCAGAGATGGCAAAGTGGATATCCGCCTCACCGCTCTGCACTGATCTTCACCGCTCCTCACCTTTCCCTGCCATTTTTCACTTCTCCTTATCGCGTTCGCACCACATAACCTCACTATTCACTCGTTCCACGTGTTATGATTCTCCACAACGCTTGTTTGTCTCTCTATTCTCCCCTTCCTCTGCACTCCATCCCCCCTCTCAACTCAAGCACCTTTCTGTTTCCTTAACTTTCTTCCTCCCCTCCGCACGTGTTGCTCCTGTACCTTCTTCCTCCCCTCCGCACGTGTTGCTCCTGTACCTTCTTCCTCCCCTCCGCACGTGTTGCTCCTGTACCTTCTTCCTCCCCTCCGCACGTGTTGCTCCTGTACCTTCTTCCTCCCCTCCGCACGTGTTGCTCCTGTACCTTCTTCCTCCCCTCCGCACGTGTTGCTCCTGTACCTTCTTCCTCCCCTCCGCACGTGTTGCTCCTGTACCTTCTTCCTCCCCCATTCCCTCCCTCTTTTCCCACCCCCCCATTCCCCTCTCGCACATTCTCCCCTCATCTTTTATGTCGTTGTTGTTTGCAGCAAACAAGCCATTGTTATTTGTTGCAATATCTGGCTTGTTTGTTGCATTCATCCACCTACCACTGGTGCTAGCCACGGAGGGCTGGGAGATAGAGAGGTTCAATACCAAGCATGTGACCTGGTTTCCTTAACTTTCCACCTATCTGTAATATCTGGCTGGCTGTTGTGTTTTGTTGCATCTGTCCACCTACCACTGGTGCTAGCCACGGAGGGATGGGAGATTGAGAGGTTCAACGCCAAGCGCAAGGCCAATCGAGCTCTTTCCAGGAACCTTCGCACTGCGCACACATCAGGGGTGCTTCGCTTTCATGACAGCTTGCGAATGGTGCGTGCCATGTTCCGTGTTCCGTGTGTTATTCCCCTTCTGCTGCGTGTCATGTCATGTGCTTCATGCTGCACATGTGGCAAAGTGCTGTGTACTGTGTATCCTCATCCCCACAACTCACTTGTTTAAATTATTCCTCCCTCTCCTTTCCCCCATGCCCACCAGCTGCCCCATCGCCTGCCAAAGCCCACTGTTGCCATCGTCAACATCCAGCCACCCGCCTTCAGCCCGCCTCGCTCCAAACGACGCCGCCCTTTGGCATCCCCTTCCTCCTTCGATCCCTCCGCCAAGAAAGCCCGGGGGAAGCGAACGAGCGGAGTAAGAGCAGCATCAGGAGGATCCCCCATTCCGGTGTCCCAGCTACTGCCAGCTGAATCAAATGCTCTCTCGCGGTATCCCTCCCTGCTGAAGCTTGTTCAGCCGGCTGCAAACTGGCTTGGTGGCGGTTCTGGTGGCGGGGAGGAGGTGAGATGGAAGCCTAGCCTTACGGGGTTCCTGTCGGCGCAGACGCAGCGAATGAGGACGTGCCAGGTGGCGCATTCGCATAGGTCGGAACGGATGTTGGTTGGGGCACTGAGGATACTGCAGGGGATGGGAAACGATGTGGGGTTGGGAAGGGATGGGGGGACGGGAGGGGACGAGGGAACGGGAGCGGGAATGGGTGCAGGGATGGGAGGGAGCGGGGGGACAGGAATGCATGTGGGGCAGGGTTGGAATTCGTGGAAGGGAGTGATTCTGGGCAGGGGATTTCAGGCGAGGCCAGAATCTAGATCGGGAGGAGCACCGTCGTTGCAGACGAGAGGAGGGCTTGAGTTGAAGCAGCACGGCAGCGGAAGGAAGGCTGGTGTTGGATCGAGTGTTGGAGAGGGTAGAGGTGGTGAGAGAGGTATGACGGAGCACCAGGGAGGAGGGCAGGAGGGTGGCGAGAAGGAGAATGGCAATGGGGAGGGCTGTGCAGTGAACAAGGGCGGTGGGGATTGTGGGGACGGTGGGCGTGATCTGGCTGGTAAGGGTGGGGGGTGTGGTGACGAGTTGGAGGGTGGTGAGATGGAGGAGGATGGGTACGTGGGGTTGGATGAGTATGAAGAGCCAACGATCTGGAGGTATGTTGGAGAGGAGGAAGCTCGTGATGAGGGAGGTGTTTTGGAGTCGCCTAGGAGACACATGGGGGAGGATAGGGGTCTCAGGGGGGCTGAATCTGGACCGTTGAGGCGGGAGGGTAAGCATCCAGCTGCTGGTGGTGGTGGTGGTGGTGGTGGTGGTGGTGGTGGTGGTGGTGGTGGTGGTGGTGGTGGTGGTGGTGGTGGTGGTGGTGGTGGTGGTGGTGGTGGTGGTGGTGGTGGTGGTGGTGGTGGTGGTGGTGGTGGTGGTGGTGGTGGTGGTGGCGGCGGTGGCGGTGGCGGCGGCGGCGGCAGTGGTGTTGGTGGTGATGCACAAAATCCCATTTCCCTGTCGGACGAGGCGAGTGATGAAGTGTTTGTGAGTTTAATGAGCTGCAATGCGAGGGCAGACTTCCCATCAACAGTAGTGGCAGCTGCAGCAGAAGCAGCACCAGAAGCAGCAATAGAGTCCAACCGGGACGGACAGGGGGTTGGTGTAGTGGGGAGAGCAGAGAGCAGCAGTAAGCTTGCATGGGCTGTTAGGCCCTGCCGTCAGCAGTGTGCGCTGCAGCAGCAGCAGCAGCAGCAGCAGCAGCAGCAAAAGCAGCAGCAGCAGCAGCAGCAGCAGAAAACCAATGTGAACGCTTGTGGTTTGAGAAAGAAGGGCAGCAAGGTAACGCTAGGAACGAATTCAGCTGCTGTCTGCAAGACGGGTAGTGCGTTTGTGGGTAGATGGGCTAATGAGGACGAACAACTGCCACTATCCCAACCGTTTCCAGCACCACCACCAGCACCAGCACTACCACCACGCGCAGCAGTAGCAGCAGCACCAGCACCACCTGCACCGCCAATAGCACCAGCAGCAGCATCATTTTCCCAACACCCATCAACAGCAGCAATGCCATCGCTACAGCACCCATCAGCACAGCCACCACAGCCACAGCCAGGGACGCTATCAGCAGCTGATAAGGATGGTGGTGGTGGTGGTGGTGGTGATTGTGATAGTGATCATGATCGTGAGGTTGGTGACGCTGGTGGTGATGGTGATAGTGAAAGCAAGGAAGAGGGAGGAGAGGGAGAGCAGGGGAGGAAAGGGAGAAGCGGGGATGTGGGGGTTGGGAGGCGTAGGCAAAGGAGAAGGCTGATGGTGGTGATGACACAGGAGGGTGTGGAGGATGAGGGTGGTGGTGGTGATGGTGATGGTGTTTGTGGTGATGCTGGTGGTGGTGACGGTACCGGCGGAGTTATTGGCAGGGATGTATGGAAGGAAAGCAAGGCTGGGGTTGAGTGGGTCAGTGGATTCGAGGGTGTGACTGTAGCGAAGGGCGCACACGAGGAGGCACTCAGCTCGCCTCAGATGCACTCGAGAACCCTCAAAAGGCTACGCAGAGGGCGGCAGGTGGGCGGCAGTGATGGCTGCACGGAACGAGGGGGCAGCAGTGGCAGGGGTAGGGGCAGGGGCAGGGACGACGGGAGGAGTATGGAGAGGAGAGGCGGTGGTGGGAGGGACAGCCAAGGGGCCACGGACGGAAGGCGCAGCACTGCTGTGGGAGCGAGCAGTTGCGGAAGAATGAGTAGTACTGGCGGAAGGCGGGGGAGAGGGAGAGGCAAGGCGATGGCTCGAAGGGTGCTTGACTTCATTGATGAAGAGGCAGAGTGAGTGCGGTGCTGTGTGGTGGTGCGTGGTGCTGTGTTGTGCTGTGGTATGAGGTGCTATGAGGTTCTGTGAGGTGCTGTGCTGCCAATTCTCTAGTTCAACCAATGACCAATAGAACCAGTTCTTTGAACCTTGTCGCATTCTTCCCAGTTCTCTCTCTTCCCATACTTCTATCATCCTTTATAACACTCTTTGTCTTATTATTTCCTGCATGCTCTCTGTTTTCTGTGTGGCAGGGAGTCAGACCGCGATGCCACACAGGAAGGCCAAGAGGATGCTGACGTGGCATGGGCGGATGATGACATGGCGGATTTCATCGTCAGCAGGGTGGAGGGAGAGGGGAGTGGGGACATGGGAGACGAAGAGGAGGAGGAGGAGGAGGAGGAGGAGGAGGAGGAGGAGGAGGAGGAGGAGGAGGAGGAGGAGGAGGAGGAGGAGGAGGAGGAGGAGGAGGAGGAGGAGGAGGAGGAGGAGGAGGGAGAGGAAGATGAAGGGGGAGAGAGTGGGGAGGAAGAGGTGGAAGATGATGACATTGAGGAAGTGGAAGATGACGAGGAGGAGGAGAATGAGGGAGGAGAGGGGAGCAGTGTGGGACGGAATGGAGGGCCCATGGTGACGGAGAGGAGCATGCAGCACATCTACCGGTGAGTTGATGGTGCAACCGCAACACATGTGGTTCGTAGTTGCCTTTTGATAGCCCCAAGTGAGGCACGTGTTGGCTTCAGAAGCTCAGGAATGGAGCGCCCATGGTGGCCGAGAGGAGTATGCAGCACATCTACCGGTGAGTTGATGGCTCAATCACATCAGAAATGTGGTTGAGTTGAGTGGATTGAGCTTTTTGGTGATTGGTGTACGCCTGAGGAATAAAGCCATTGGTGATTATGTCATATCCTGTTACAACTTACACTCTTTCTCTCTCTCTCTTTGCTTGTTCCACACACTTCTCTTCCCGACTCTGTTGCAACACTCCTCGTTTCTCTCCACCCCCTCCCCTTCTCCCCCCTCCCCCACACCACCTCTCCACCTTCCCGCCCCGCATGCTCCTCCGCCAGGGCGTCTCTGCTGAGCCAGCTACCCGTAGACCACTTCCCCCCACCACCACACCCTCAGAGAAATCACAAGCAGTCAATTACACGTCTTAAAACTCTTCTTTTCTCACCATCCCCTCCCCATCCCCCGCATGCCCCTCCGCCAGGGCGTCTCTGCTGAGTCAGCTACCTGTGGACCACTTCTCCCCACCACCTCCACGGCGGAGAAAGCACAAGCAATTCAGACCGACAGACCATTTGCAGGCAGCAGATCATCTGAAGCCTACTGCACAACCCAGCAGCAGCAGAGGCACAGCCACACCCTTTGACTGCCATGCCCCAGCCTCAGCAGCCATCCCAGCCTCTTTTCCCCTCTCCTCCAACACCTCTTCCCCGCACTCCCTCAGTGCCTCCCCCCACCCCTCTCCCAGCCCCCCATCCCCCCGCCGCTCTCTCCTGCCGCAATTTGCCTCGTCTCCACTTGGGCTTGCCGCCCGCAACGCCAACAAGATGCGATTCCTGCCGGCCAGACAAGATCCTGTGCCACCCAGAGTGCATGCTGCATTAGCCCGTGCACATTGTCTGCCGCCCAGTGCACAATCTGTGCCGCCCGGGTGGCATCAAGGGGATGCGAGGGAGGGGATGGTGAGTGGCAGTGGATTAGTAGAAGGCAGGAGCGGGCATGGCGTGCAGCATTCCGATCCCCGTGCATGTGACTGTACCGAGCGTGAACGTGCCTGTGACTTTAATGAGCGTGAACGTCCAATAGTGCGCGACCATTGAAGATGAACATGGATGTGACAATAATGCAGGTGGTCGAAGTCGTGGCACTTATAAGTGGGAGGCTGGATGTGACATCAACGAGGGTGAGCGTGAATGTGAGAGTGAAGGGGAGGATATATTCGAGGGGATTGATCTAGACGCTCTTGAAGCAGAGGCATGGGCGAGCAGGAGCAGAGCCGGAGGGGGAGGAGTTGAGAGCAGTGTGGGAGGAGGCGGAAGAGATGGAGGGATGAGTGAGCGTGCGGCTACTTCTTCAGCAGCAGCAGGACCATTGTCCCAACACTCGCCATCAGCAGCAACAGCAGCAGCAACAGCAGCAGCAGCAGCAGCAGCAGCAGCCGCCGCTGCTTCCGTAGCATTCCCAGCCAACCGCTCGTGTGCAACTGCCTCTGTTCCAACACCAACACCCACCGCCCCTCTCAAAGCTGCCTCTTCTGCAAACCCCAGTGCAGCATTCCCCGACACATCACACACAGCTTCCCCTTCCCCCGGAATAACCCACCCTCGCCCAGTTGCTGCCTCAGCAACGAATGCAGCTCAGCTCAGGGACGAATGGCCTGTGGTGCGGACACCTGTGAATTGCAGTGAAGCGGTAAATGACTATGGGTGTGTGGGTGTGGATGAGGTGTTTGGGGACATCGATTTGGACGCATTGGAGGCAGAGGCGTTGCAGAAGTCCCACCACAAGAAGCAAAGGGCGGTGGATTTTGAGGCGCCTCAGAATGAGGTGTTTGGGGGCATTGATCTTGATGCGCTGGAGGCAGAGGCATTGGAACAGAGCCAGCGCAAGAAGCGGTGGGGGCCGGCGAGTGAGGTGATGGTGAAGGGGAGGGTGGCGGCGGTGGAACGGGTTGTTGGGGTGGGAGTGGAAGGAAGCTCGCCGTTGTCACCGCAGTGGTGTGCTTGGTGATCGCCAGTCATTTTTGTCTTCGTTACACATTCTTTTTTTTTTTTATTGTTGTTGACATGGTGTAAAATTTTCCCCTTTTCCCCTCGTCGTTTCATACGGTACCGTATATTAATGTGCTGTGACTTGTGAGGCGATGATGGCTGTCCCAAATGGTTTAGTTGAAGCTATGTATTCTGAGCATGTTTACGAGCACGTGCAACATCTGGTACAGTACAGTACATTTCAAGGAGTGCATCTACTGGCAGGCATTAGCCCATTACCAAATCAGGGAGTGTTTGCTGAAATATGACCAACTGGTACATTTTTATGTGAACTTGTACGAGATCAGACTGCTTTAACATGTTCGTACGGTATTTGCTGTGGCTGAAACGGAGAGCTCATTGACATGAATGAACCATAACAGAGATTCCATCCTTGCTCTGGTTGTTGGAAGCGGGTCCCCTGACAAGTAGCATCCCTGAGAAGTCGTTTTTCATAGGCTACCATTCTTGTCAAGACTCGAAACGAAAATCTGCGCGACCAGTGTGTTCGGTCGAAGTACGGTTAGGTTCATTGCCCGGTTTGGCGTTTAGGCGCGTTAGGCGCGTTAGGCATTTCCTGATCGAGAAACGTCTTTGTTTCTCCAAACCCTGTGTCGCTCTTACTGCCGCATCAGCAGTGTCGGCGGTTGCTGCAGCTCCCTTAGCTGTGTACGAATGGCGGAAACATCTGGAGCGAATGACGGTGAAGCGTCAGGGCGTTGTAACGGCGGCAATATGGTGGAGACGATTTGCGAGACGTCTCAAAACGCGTCAGGCGGTGATACTATTGGGGGAGAAGAGGCGGTAACGAGGCTTGCTGAAATTCCGAACGCACCAGGAGGGGGCAGTGGAGGAGGGGCGGGGGAAACGAGGTCTGCGCAAGGGGGGAATGGGGGAGAGGCGGAGGGGGGACAATGGAAGGAGAAAGCGCTTAGTCTCGAAAAGGCGGTGGGGGTGCTGCAAGCGAGGGTGGCGGAGCTTGAGAGGGCGGTGGAGAAGGAGCGGAAGGAGCGCGCGGCGGAGCGGAAAGGGCGGATCCGCGCGGAGCAACAGCTGCGCAGCCGCCTGCTCGCCCCTGCCGCCGCTGGCCCCTCGTCGTCGACTGTGCACGCACACGGCGCGCTCGCCGTTGAATCGCCGCAAGAAGGCGACGAGCATGGCGACGGCAATGGCGTTACAGAGAGCGACGCTAGAGACCAGTCAGAGGGCTGTGACGTGGCAGTGACTCAGCACGGGTGTCAGTCCTCACAGGAACAGCGCGGGCAGGAAAACGGGCAGGAGCACGGGCAGGAAAACGGGCCTGAAGACGGGCAGGAACACGAGAGTGTTGGGCTCACCACTTACCCCATGACTCCCATTGGCGTTATCCGCTCCTGCTTCTCTGCCAGGTGGGCGGATTGAAACTCGCATGCTGCTCTAGGCTACTTCACATGAATTTTAAGGCGCCTCAAAAGGTTGCTCTAGGCTACTTCACATGGCTGGTTAATTTTTTCTTCACTTCTCCTCCTCCTACCCTTTCACTCTCCCATGCCTCTCCCATGCCTCTCCCATGCCTCTCCCATTGGTCTTATCCGCTCCTGCTTCTCCGCCAAGTGGTTTGGCTGTCCTTCTCTTCCTCCCCTCTCACTCTCTTCCTCCCCTCTCACCATTCACTCACTCTCACACTTCCGTCTCACCTCTCCCCTCTCATTCTCCCACCTCTCCTCTCTCACTCCCCACCCTCCCTTTTGACCCTTCTCCACCGCTCTGCATCGCATGCAGGAATGGCACGCCACGTCAGCCACTGCTGGTGCCAGCGGCACGGGCCTATCTGGAGCTGCCACGTGGAGGGGTGGCGCCAGCAGCGCTGCATGGATTGGAGGGTTACTCGCATTGCTGGCTGCTCTACGTCTTCCATGCCAACACGGACATTCAAAGGCTCTGGTCCGACCCTCACCACCGCAAGTTCCGTGCCAAGGTGCGGGTTCAGGATTAGGGCTTGGGATCAGGGTTTAGGGTGAAATGACATCTGGATGAGGAGGTTGGAATGGAGGGGTACTCGCACTGCTGGCTGCTCTACGTGTTCCATGCAAACACGGACATCCAGAGGCTCTGGTCCGACCCCATGCATCGCAAGTTTCGTGCCAAGGTGCGTGGGGGGTTTCTGGGTCTTTGGTTCAGGGTTTCGGGTTTAAGGGTCTGAATGGAGGGGTACTCGCACTGCTGGCTGCTCTACGTCTTTCACGCCAACACCGACATTCAGCGGCTCTGGTCCGACCCGTTACATCGCAAATTCCATGCCAAGATGTGCTTGAAATGTGGTGGATGGAGGGGGGTTTCTGGGTATAGTGTCTCCGGTTTAGGGGATGGTTTGAAGGGGTACTCCCACTGCTGGCTTCTCCACGTCTTTCACGCCAACACCAACATTCAGAGGCTTTGGTCCGACCCGTTACATCGCAAGTTTCGTACCAAGGTGAGGGTTTGGGGTTTATGGTGAATGGAGTCTAAATGGGGAGATTGGTTTGGAGGGGTACTCGCACTGCTGACTGCTCTACGTCTTCCGCCCTAACACCGACATTCAATGGCTCTGGTCCGACCCGTTACATCGCAAGTTCCATGCCAAGGTCTGCTTGAAGTGTGGGGGTTGGAGGGGGGGTTCAGGGTATAGGGTCTCAGGTTTAGGGGATGGATTGGAGGGGTACTCCCACTGCTGGCTGCTCTACGTCTTCCACGCCAACACGGACATTCAGAGGCTCTGGTCTGACCCCATGCATCGCAAGTTTCGTGCCACGGTGCATGTCAGATGAGGGTTTATGGAAGGTTTCAGGGTTCATGGTTTGAGGCTTAGGGATTGGGCTGGAGGGGGATTGCACTGCTGGCTGCTCTGCCATCGCTTATCAGCTATTATTTGCTGCCACTCCATGCAGGCCCGAGTGCCGAGGCTGCAGGGAGGCAAGCTGGGAGCGCTGGCAACACGCATGCAGCACCGACCTGTGTTGATACCATCCAACATGTGTCAAGAAACTTCCCAATACCATTATTGGCTTTCAGGTCCGAGTGCCACGGCTGCAGGGAGGGAAGCTGGGAGCGCTGGCAACACGCGCACCGCACCGCCCAGTACCCATCGGGGCGATGCCTGTGTTTGATGGACGCTTTCCAATGCCACTATATCCTGCCGGGTGCCCGTGCAGGTCCGAGTGCCGAGGCTGCAGGGAGGCAAGCTGGGAGCGCTGGCAACGCGCACCTCGCATCGGCCCGTGCCCATAAGGCTGATGCTTGCTTGTGTTGACCAGCCTAAAGCGACCTTTGCACTACCACTGCCACCTGGCAGGTCCGAGTGCCGAGGCTGCAGGGCGGCAAGCTGGGAGCGCTGGCAACACGCACACCGCACCGGCCCGTGCCCATCGGGCTGAGCGTTGCCAAGGTGGAGCGCGTGGAGGGGCGGCGGGTGTTGCTGTCGGGAGCTGACTTGGTTGATGGCACGGTGAGTGGTAGTACTGGCTGTGTGTTGTTGGTTATGAGAGTTTCCAAACACCACCCTACTAGCCGCACCAGCCGGCCAGTTCCAATCGGGCTGAGCATTGCCAGGGTGTAGCGCGTGGAGGGGCGACGCGTGTTCCTGTCGGGCGCTGATGTGGTGGATGGCACCGTGTTTGGCTGTACTGAGTCGAGAATAAGTTGATGCCTGCTGTGTGGGTAAGAAGTTGGTTCATGAATGAAATGGCTTAGGAATTCAGTCTGTTTCTGAGAGAAGTTTCAAAAGCGCACCTCACATTGCAGGAATTTCCAGCCTCTTCCTCTTCTTCATTCCGCTTTGTTCCTTACCCCTCCCTTCTACACCTCGATTACCCCACATCACAGCCCGTGTTGAACATCACGCCCTTTCTGCCCCACTCTGATGCTGTGCCTTGTGCCTCACACCCTCACATCCTCCTACCGTCCTCCTACCGTCCTCCTACCGTCCTCTTCTCCCCCCGTTCAGCCCACGCACGCTACTGTCCGTGTTGGATATCGAGCCGTATCTGCCCCACTCTTATGCCGTGCCTTGTGCCGCCTCACACCCGCGCAACCTCACACCCCCCTATCGCCCCCTTCTTCGTCTTCTTTAACCCACACACGCCACAGCCTGGGCTGGACATCAAGCCGTATCTGCCTTACTCAGACGCCCTGCCATCAGCCACACACCCGCAGGAGCATACCCCTCAACCACGTTCCCTTCCTCTCCCCCCCACACACACCACAGCCCGTGTTGGACATCAAGCCGTATCTGCCATACTCTGACGCCTTGCCATCTGCCACAGTGCCACCATGGGTGGAGGTGAGTCGCCATGGGTGTGACATGAGTATCACGTGTCAGTATCGCATCCCTCACTCATTTTCAGCAGCTGGCGAGCATGTATCATTGTCAAAAACTTTGGCGGATTTCCCCTGGAGCCATTTCTCCAAATAATGATACATGGAGCGTGGCCTCTGGAAAAGATGTATCATTATTTGGTTCGTGCAACCATTTCTATCTGAATATTCATGTGCATCATCAATGAGTGCTTTGTTGCATAATTTTCCGTCGTGCACATGTATGCACTCTCACATAACACCCTACGAGTTGGTTTTTGAGAATTCTCAAAAACCTTCACTTCCCCCCCTTCCGTTCACATTCCCCCTCGTTCTCCCCACCAGCCATCAGGAGAGGGCGATGGCATGCACATGGCGTCAGTCACCTTCCATCCTGCCGTCTCCACACAGCTTCAAGATGCATGGTTCTCCCAGGTGAGCCTTGCTGCGCGCCATGGTCGTCGCAGGTGTGCCTTGTTGTGCGACTTTTGCTCCTGTCACCTTTCCTCTCCTTCTCTTTCCCTTCCCCCCCTTCCCCCTTTCTCTCCCGCTCATCCTCTCCCCTTTCCCACCTCTCCCGTTCTTGAAATCTGCCTTCCTTCCCCTCCCTCCAGAGCCACCGCTCGTTATACTCACACCCTGGTGACCTGCAGGAGCTGTGCCGGCAAGTGCTATCACGAGACATACGGTCCGCTTCGCATCAGAAGTCAAGAGTGGATCCTTCTAACACAGTGATGATGAGGGCACATCCTTCTGGGCATGGCATGACAAATTCCGAGCATGAAAGCACCCATTCTGAGCCCACTCAGAAGTCGAAGCTCGAGCTACCTAGCATGACGGCGCTTACTGTAGCTTGTAACGCAGTGTTTCACGATGTGGCACAAGTAGCGTCCGTTTCAAGCTACGATCCCTCAGAGGATCTGCATGGCGAAGTTAGCCCTGTAGGAGGGCCTGATTCGGCGAGCGTAGTATACCACGTAGTTTTGGACGGAATAGATTTCAGTTATGTTGTTTTGGATGGCAACCATGTTGTAGTCGAAGGGGCAAGACCGGCTCTTTGAAATTAGTATGTTGATCTTGTTTGGGCATATGTACGCACCGGGTTCGTGTTGACTGTGCATACAAGAATCAGACCATCAACCCCTCTGAAAAAGGATGGAAGTTGAATTGCATGGGTTGAACATCACAGGTTGACTTGCACTCCCGGAAGCCCAGAAGTGCCGTACACAACCCGTGCTTTGCATTGCATCCTGACCGTTTTGCTCGAGACTGCTTAAAGCGCATACAATTTTTCCGCAAGGTACAGTTCGGTTGCTGTCACATCAAAGGCGTTCAAACGCGATGTGAATGGGGTTTCTGCAATCAGCAACTGGCAGCAAGGCGAAGCAAACACAGGTTAGGCTGCCCCCCGAACTGAAGCCGCCGTAGAAAATCTATATCCGCTTTCGTTGTCCATGCACTCCAGCCGTCAGATTTTTGCGTTCGCATGTCAAACCAATCCAACGGTTTTGGGGGAATTCCAAAAGATGGGTACGCCAGCAACTCCCAATGAAATCCACGACTCTCAATGAAATCCAAATTCGATTGGCGGAGCGTCGATCCGCTCGATGAGAGGAGCGCAGCGGGGACATGGAGGGGCAATTCCCAACAATATTTGCAAATCATCTTTCAGGGCGGGTCACACTTAGCTGTTCGAGTTCGTTTGACGTGGTTGAATACGGTCAATCACGTTTGGACGTGGTTATTTTTAACCGCTCTAGACCATTGCGCACCAGGTTGAACCATTCAAAACAAACCCGGAACAAAAAAATTGTATGATTACCTGCACTGAAGTAGGATGAGGCATACATCAAGTAGCCATTCCCCTAATTCCACAAGTTGCCTTCCGTGTCAGCTGCTGCGATTCTACCCGAAGCCATGTCGATCAGCAACGCTGCTGTCGTCGCGGCTAGTACTACCTACTCCGAGGTCTCTGCAAGATTTGCTCTCTCTCCTCGTAAACTTAGACCCGCATTGATTGGACGGCCCACCAAGAGCGCGATTCGGACAGGCAGTTGGTACTGTTCTCTATCAACGACTTCCATCCATCTTGCAGAATGAGTGTATATTAATCGCTTGATAATCAATGACCTAGATTCTGCACTGTCTGATCCTCCTCTATTGTATCATCTTCTTTTTCTCTCTGATCCTTCCAACATTCCCGGGTCAGGTAGACATGGCGTGTCTGCTGTACCGGTGTTCTGCTCCGCGGATCCCCACCCTGGCCCGCCGTCCACGTCAGCGCCTTCCACGTCAGCATCATCCATGATACCTGACGGCGGAGAAACGGCGTCGTTCCGGCAGATGAGTCCGGAGGAGCACTGGTGGTGGGGTACGCCAGAGTACCTCATGGGTAACTGGCACGGCCAATGGCGATCGTGGAAGCCGATGCAATCAACGGACGAGATTAGATCCATGAAGTCCGTGAGGAAATTATGGGCCACGTCACCAGACCTCACCAGCATCGCCCACATGGTGGGTTTTGAAACTTGTCAAATGTCGGTTTTGAGACCCACATTATGGGTCTCATATGTCGGTTTTGAGACTTGTCAAGTCCGACGACCCACAAAAAAATGGTCCTCCTCGCCCTCCATGATGATTCGCAAAGTTTTCCCTTCCCCTTTCCCTTTTCCTCCATGTCCCCCCTCCGACCATCCGCTCTTCTGCAACCCCCCTCCCCCCACACCTCGACTCCTCCCCCTTCACCCCTCTGCCCTTGTTCTCTCCCTGCTTCCCGCCTTTCTCCCGCCTCTCTGCTGCCTTTCTCCCGCCTCTCTGCTGCCTCTCTCCCGCCTCTCTGCTGCCTCTCTCCCGCCTCTCTGCCACCTCTCTCCCGCCTTTCTCCTGCCTCACTCCCGCCTTTCGCCCGCCCTCAGAACGATTGGTACGACCGCCGGGGCGACGTTTCCCCGCAGGCCACCGTCGTGGGCGTGCAGTGGGACATGTCTCTCGCGCAGCACAGCCTACCTTTTCAGTACTCTCAATTGATGACACCCTCACACTCTTCCCTCACACTCTCCCTCACGCCCTCCCTCACGGTCTCCCTCCCCCTCCCTTTCCTCAGAACGATTGGTACGACCGCCGGGGCGATGTTTCCCCGCAGGCCACCGGCGTGGGCGTGCAGTGGGACATGTCTCTCGCGGAGAACAGCCTGCCAGACGGGTTCTGCCACGTGGCAGCCAGCAACTTCCGCCGCTACACCATCAGCAGGAAGGCTGACGGGATCTGGGGGCCTCTGGAGGTGTCAGATGGGGAAGGGGGCATCAAGTTGCCTTTCCTGGAGGAGTTCTTCTTCTCCCACAGTGAGCGCTCTAGCTGTTTGGGTTGATTTTTGAGGCGCCTCAAAAATCAACTCAATGCACGTGGAGTTCTTCTTCTCCCTCAGTGAGTGCTCTAGCGGTTTGCACTCACTGAAACTTGTGAGAAGCTTCTCTGCCATCATCATGCGGACACCATCTGGGCACCAATGGAGGCGGGGAATGGGGCTGGCGGCATCGAGCTGCCATTTCTGGAGGGGTTCTTCTTCTCCCACAGTGAGTGAGTGCTCCTTGTTGCCTGGCACCAACCATTTGAATCTCACAGCAGCTGAATCTCTACTCACGTGCCTTTGGCTGACATCTGGCCGCCTCTGATGGGGCGGGGAGCATCAAGCTGCCTTTCTATCTTAGTCGAGTTCTTCTTCTTGCAATGACTCACTGTGGCGTTAGTGAAAACTCTCCCTTCGGGCTGTTTTCTTCCTTGGCCACAGTGAGCTTTTTTCTTGTTTTTTTTTTTTTTTAACAAACAAAACACTGTTTCCTACCATTGTCCTGTCTTTTGCCACAGTGTTATCTCTTGACCACAGATAGTCTTGTTTTGCCATTCCTGTGTGTTTCCCATTTTCTGGATCTGGCTGTTTCCCTGCATTTTTCCTCCACCCTATGTTGGCTTATCAAATTGCAAGTCGTTGTACCTACTTCCTGTGTTGACAACGACTGGCCACGTTGCCGGAGAGTTCATTCCTGAACATGACCGACTAATCTAAAGAATCCGATTTCTTATTCACATTATAATATTTCGAGTGTTCACTCATTCTGAAGGATAGATTCTCCCCATTCACTGTCTCTTCTGCTTCCTTTTCCCCTCCAGCCCCCACGTCTCGTCTCGGCTCCATGGTTGGATTCGAGTCCGACGGAGCTTTCCGAGTATCAGTGGTGGTCGAGGAGTCGCTAGACACCAACGAGCGCCGCCCGGCGGACTGGGTCTGGCCCACGTGGGGCCCGGGCGGCGTCCCGTCCCATCTGCCCGACCACCTGCCGCCCGTTCCGGCACTAGATGACAAGACAGTGGTGGGAACGCGCACCATTCTGACTCGAAACCTGATGGTTCAGGAGCGGGAGAAGGTGTCCTGGGCAGAAGAATGGGGCCCTAACAGCTCTGCCGCTGCTGCAGCCATTGCAGCAGCAGCAGCAGCGGGAAATAATGGTGAAGCAGCCTCGGCCGGAGGAGCTGCACCAGAAGCAACAGCAGCAGCGGCAGCGGCTGGGTTCATGGGCCGAGTGCCAGAGGGAGATGAGGAGAGGTATGCGGTGTTTGCTCTGCCACACGGGGTTGTGGTGTGCGCTCCTTGTTCGCTGCCCTTGGTGGCAGGGAGGCCGTTTGTGCTGTCGGTGTCGTGGGTGGTGGGGGAGGGCGAGGTGAAGCGCATCACTTCCTCTTGGGGGGCGAATGGGGGCTCTGAGAAAGTTGAGGGCGAGTGCTACAGGAGACAGGAGTGAGGGAGATTTTTGCAAGGCTCTGGCTCAGCAGCAGCAGCTGCAGGTGGGATCATGGTGCGGGTGCCACAAGGGGACGAGCACCAGTACCCAGTGTTTGCTCTGCCCCACGGGGTGGTGGTGTGCGCCCCGTGCTTGCTCCAGCTGGTGGCAGGGAGGCGAATCATTGTCTCTTGGGGGGCGAATGGGGGCTTTGAACAAGTAGAGGGGGAGCGAGACAGGATAGAGTGGTGAGCCTGCTAGCAGTAGCAGCTGCAGCTGGTGGCAGGCAGGCCGTTGGTGTGGGCGCTGGGGTGGTTGGAGAGGGAGAGGTGAAGGCATCTCTGCCTCTTGGGGGCTGATGGGGATTTTGAGCGGGTAGAGGGGGGGGGGGGAGCCACCGTTTGCTGTGCTCACACCCTGATGAGAACCAAGAGCTGTGCCGGCAAGTGCTGTTGCGAGATATTTGGTCCGTTTCCCATTGCAAGTCGCAACTCGATCTGGATCTCTTTAGTACAGCGAGGCGTGCACATACTGAGCACGGCACCACAGATTCTGAGTCCACTCAGAAGTCTAAACCTGAGCTCTCTAGCACAGCAATGGGGGCAGCGAGTGTAGCTCAAGTGCGTTATGATGATGCACAGTTCCACGATGATGCAGAAGGCGCATCAGTTTCGAGCGATGATCCCTCAAGGGTTGTGCATGGAGTAGTTGACTTGGTAGTGGAGAGGGCTGATTTGCCAGGCATAGTGCACCATGTAATTTTGTATGGTATAGATTTCAGTTGGTGTTTGTATTGGATGGCGACCATGTTTTAGTCGGGGGGCAAGTCCTGCCCCTTGAAATTACCAAATGATCTTTCTTTGGGCACTATGTTGAGACTGTGCATATGAGGATTAGACTACCAATGTCTCTGTTCGGAATGTGAGAGAAACGGTGAATCACAGGTCAACTTGCTGTGTTTAGGAGGCTGAAAAATGCATCCTAACGAAGACACAAAAAAAATAATAATTGCATCCAGGCTTGCTTGCCCAAGACTGCTTAAAACGCGTACGCAAATGTTCCTCCAGGTACAGTCCGGTGGGTGTCACAGCGAATGCGTTTGAACGCGATCCGAATAAAGTTCGTGAAATCATGATTCTGCAATCCTGCTGCCTTACACGCGGAGCAACACCAGTGCTTATTATCAGCTGTTATGAGGACGGCGAACACAGTACAGGCTGCCTTGGCCCCGAATCTTGACTCTTGAATCTTGATGTGACACCTGGCTACCAAGCAGGATGCCTCCTGTCGCCTAGCGATGACGACGACGACGAATGCGAGGCAACCTGTTTCCATGGACGACGGATTCGCGTCGCGCGAGAGTCGCTGTCGATGGGAGGGGCTGGTCGGCAAGGAGACACATCATGTGTCTTTCTGGGTCATCCATGCTTTACAGCCGTCGGATTAAAGCTCTAGGCCCAAATTGTGCAAGATTACTAATCTTGCGCAAGCTTGGGTGCTGGGGGGTGGGCGCTGTGAACTCAAAAGTCGAGCGAAGTGACTTGTCTGATTTCGCAGCGACAGTTGTTTGCTTGCTGAGTCAGCAAGCTTCACAGGTGAAACGTGCGTTTGGGGACTACGAGTCCCAAATTGCAGAGATGAGAAAGTTGAAGTTTTTGCGGTGAGTGCAGATTTGACCAATCAGGTTGCTTCGCCCCTACAGTAACCAGGTTTTCGCCAAGATACAGCACAAAAAACCGTGAGTGGGCAAGATTACTAATCTTGCCCTGCGCGGCCCGCAATTTGGGCCTTGAGCTTTAAGTCGTTTCGCATGCTCATCGTCAATTCAAACCAACCCAAGGGTTTCAGGAATCCCCAAGGGTCGGTACGCCAGCAAGTCCTAATGAAATCCACCAGCTTGATAACGATTGGTGGAGCGTTTGATCAGCTCGATGAGAGGAGCGCACTGCGCTGGCAGCGCATACACACGGTAGCAACTCCCTAGAACGTCTGCGAATCATCAACCTTCAAGAAGGATAAGAAACATATCAGCCTAATTCCAGATTTCGTCAGAACCCATCATCAAGCTACTGGCCCCTAGAGTAGTCGCCGTCTCTGTCAGGTGCTGCTGCGACTCAATCCAAAGCCATCATAATGTCCATCAGCACCGCTGCAGCCGTCGCTGCTACTGTCTTCTCCGAGGGTGCTGCAAGAATTCTTAGTCCCGAGGGCATTACCGTCTCTCGTCCGAGACTTAGTCCCGCATTGATTGGACGATCCACCAAGGGCGCGAGTCTGAGAGGTAGATACTATTGTAGTCAACGTTTCTCATTCACCTTGCAAGAACTATGATAAATATTAGTCGCCAGATTATTAATAACCTTGAATCTGCACAGTACCTTTTTCCTAATTCTCCTCATGTTTGTTTTATAATCTTCTTTCTTCTCTTAACCACTCGAGTTTTCCGGCTCAGGTAAACGTGGCGCGTCCTGTAACGGTGTTCTGCTCTGTGAACCCCCACACCGGGCCGTCCACGTCAGCACCTTCCCCGTCAGCACCGTCCACGTCAGCACCGTCCACGTCAGCACCTTCCCCGTCAGCATCAGTCATGACATCTGACGGCGGAGAAGCGGCGCCGTTCCGGCAAATGAGTCCGGAGGAGCACTGGTGGTGGGGCACCCCTGAATACCTCATGGGATACTGGCACGGCCAGTGGCGATCGTGGAAGCCGTTCAGATCAACGGACGAGATCAGATCCATGAAATCCGTGCGGAAAATATGGGCCACATCACCCGATCTCAGCAGCTTCGCCCACATGGTGATTCACAGACCCTTCCTCTCCTACCCATCTCCGTCTCCCCTTCTCCCCTCCCCCCCCCACCTCTCCCTCTCCCCCTCCCTCTTTTCCCTCCCTCTCAACACCCCACCCCCCAGCTTCCGCCTCTTCTCTCGCAGCCGTTCTCCCCGCATCCTCCCTTTTTCCTCCTCGCCTTGTGCTCATTCTCCTCTCTCTTGGTCGATTTTCCACACACCCTGACGTAAGCCCACGTTCCGCTTTCCGCCGCCCAGGGCGGGAGTCAAGCTTGTAAGTCGACTCAAATGTTACCCTCACAGTCCCTCTTCACACTCCCCTCACACTCTCCCCTCCCACTCTCCCTTCCCTGCCCTTCCTCAGAACGACTGGTACGACCACCAGGGTGAAGTTTCCAAGCAGCCGCCCAGGGTCGGCGTGCAGTGGGACATGTCCCTGGCAGAGCACAGCCTGCCAGACGGATTCTGCCACGTGGCAAACAGCACATCGCGCCGCTACGTCGTGAGCAGGAAGGCGGACGCAATCTGGGCGCCTCTGGAGATTGCCGATGGGGAAGGCGGCATCAAGCTGCCATTCCTGGTGGAATTCTTCTTCTCCCACAGTGAGTCAGTCAGCCCCTCCACCCCCCACAGCGAGTCGTGCTGCTAACATAGCATAGATGGACACTCACCAGGAAGGCGGACGCAATTTCCCACAGTAAGCGCCCTTTGCTGCTGATACAACATCTCAGCTGATCTCTCAAAATGAAAGCAGATGCGTCAGCCATCGTTTAATGAATCTCCCACCTCACATCTGCTCTGTTTGATTTTCACCTCCAGCCCCCACGGCTCGTCTCGGCAGCATGGTGGGGTTCGAACAAGACGGGGCGTTTCGCACCTCCGTGGTGGTCGAGGAGTCGCTAGACACCAACGAACGCCGCCCCTCCGACTGGGTCTGGCCCGCATGGGGCCCGGGCGGCGTCCCGTCTCATCTGCCCGACCACCTGCCGCCCGTTCCGGCACTTGATGACAAGACAATGGTGGGAACTCGCACGGTTTTGACTCGCAACCTGATGGTTCAGGAGCGAGAGAACGTGTCGTGGGCAGAAGAATGGGGCCCTAACAGCACTGCTGCTGCTGCTGCTGCTGTTGCAGCAGCTGCTGCTGGTGACACTGCTTCAGCGGGAAAAGCTTTTGCAGCAGAAGTAACAGGAGCAGCGGCAGCAGCTGGGTTTATGGGGCGAGTTCCGGAGGGAGACGAAGAGCGCTACGCCGTGTTTGCTCTGCCGCACGGGGTGGTGGTGTGCGCCCCGCGTTCACTACAGCTGGTGGCTGGCAGGCCAGTCGTGTTTTCGGTGTCGTGGGTGGTGGGGGAGGGCGAAGTGAAGCGCATCACTGCCTCTTGGGGAGCGAATGGGAGCTTTGAGAAAGTGGAGGGGGAACTGTACAGGAGAGAAGGTTGAAAGGGGAGATGTCATGGGTCGTGGGGGAGAAAGAGGTGAAGCGAATCACTGTGTCGTGGGGGACCGCTGGGGGAGTTGAGGGGACTGAGGGGGAGTGGTAGTGTATGGTGTGGTAGGGTGGTCCAAGACACAGGGGTGAAGGCATGGCAGGGTGACATGGGTGTCTGCTTGTGCATCCCGCTTGTGCAGTATACACGTTTTTTTTATCATACTGTACGTTTGCTGTGAAGGAAATTTGTACAATTAAATTCGTAACACCTACCATGTTGCAGTCATTATTTTACTGAAACAAGCACTCACATTTGATGAGGTGTTTATCACAACTAGTATGCACATTGTATGAGGTTGTGATCACAACTAGTATTCACTGCATCACATCCCGAGAATCCAGCGGGAACTCAAAGCGCGTATACCTTGTTGCATGTGCTATGGTGAAAGTGTGTGTCGCGTGATGTGTCTATCACATCAGCATTCCCAAGAGTTGGAACTTCACACTGCGCTTGGCAGAACAGCTCACACAACGGCCCTGTTCGACAGGCAGGCTGCCCTTCCACACGCGGAGTGCCTTATGTCGCAGCAACGAAGGCCAATTTTCTTCATCATGGGATGGGAGTCGCTGTCTATGTCGCGTCCATGCTTTACAACCGTCGGATTAGATCGTCTCGGATCGTCGATCCCATTTATCGGAGCTCTTCCCCAGCAATTCCAAATGAAATCTGTGCTCGAATCTGATTGGCGTAGCACTGATCGGCTTCCCAAAGGCTATTGACTGGGAATGGCAAGAGGATCACAGAGCGCATGAACTGCAATCATCTGCGGAAATCATCAACCTGCAAAAGATAAGAGCGATGTTTCCAAGCATTTCACATATATCGTTAGAATAACCACTAGCCTCCTCGCTAGAGCGGTCTGTGCCGCGATTCAATCCAAACGCACCAATGCTGCAGCGGTGGCGGCGACTAAAATATCCGAATAGTTAGTTCGAGGGTGTTGCAAGACTTGCCGTCTCTCGCGGGAAACTTTATACCCGCATTGATTGGGCGAGACACCAATAGCACGAGCCTCACAGGTAGGTAGTGCTATTCTCACTCAACTTAGCCCGTTCACCTTGCAACAACTGTGAATATCAGTCGCCAGATTACAAGTGATGTTGAATCCGCTCAGTACCTTTCTCCCGATTCCCATGTTTTTCCTTCAAATTCTTAATGAGTTTCTTTCTTTCATCCACTCCGTGAACCCCAACACCGGCACGTCCACGTCAGCACCTAACGCGTCAGCACCTTCCACGTCAGCATCAAACATGGCATCTGACGGCGGAGAAGCGGCGCCGTTCCGACAGATGAGTACGGAGGAGCATTGGTGGTGGGGTACGCCGGAGCGCCTTATGGCTAACTGGCACGGCCAATGGCGATGCTGGAAGCCGCTTGAATCAACGGACGCGATCCGGTCCTTTAAATCCGTGCGGAAATTCTGGGCCACGTCACCCGATCGCAGCAGCTTTGCGCACATGGTGCGAAACCTTTTCCGCCTCCTTTCCCCCACTTTTCCCCTTCCCCCTCCCGCCCCTTCTCCCCCCCCTCCCCCGCTCCCTCTCCCCTCTCCCCCTCCCCATTTCCCCCGCAACTCCCCGTGTTCCCCCGCACCTAGCTACCGTCCTCCTCTCCCTTGTCGTTTTTCCTCTCACTGTGTCGCACGCCCGCCGTGACGCACGCCCGCCGTGACGCAGCACAGCGTGCCTTTTCAATCGACTCAAATGTCACCCTCGCACTCTCCCCCATGCTATCCCTCCCCTGCTCTACCGCAGAACGACTTTTACTACGAGCAGGGCGAGGTGCCCAAGTTTCGGCCTCCGGTCGGCGTCCAATGGGACATGCCGCTTGCGGAGCACAGCCCACAGCCCGCCTTTTCAGTCCACAGCCCGCCTTTTCAGTCCACAGCCCGCCTTTTCAGTCCACAGCCCGCCTTTTCAGTCCACAGCCCGCCTTTTCAGTCCGCTCAAATGTCACCCTCGCACTCTCCCCTCACACCACGCTCTCCTTCCCCTACCCTACCCTACCTCAGAACGACTTTTACGACGAGCAGGGCGAGGTGCCCAAGTTTCGGCCTCCGGTCGGCGTCCTATGGGACACGTCGCTCGCAGAGCACACTTTTGAGGCGCCTAAAAAGTCGCATGCCATACCATTCCACCACCCTTCTTCAGAACGACTTTTACGACGAGCAGGGTGAGGTGCCCAAGTTTCGGCCTCCGGTTGGCGTCCAATGGGACATGTCGCTCGCGGAGCACAGCCTGCCAGACGGAAATGTCCACGTGGCAGTCAGCACAGCGCGCCGCCACTCCGTCAGCAGGGAGGGGGACGGGGTCTGGGGGCCTTTGGAGGTGGGGGATGGGGCGGGCGGCATCAAGCCTTTTGTGGAGGAGTTTTTCTTCTCCCACAGTGAGTCATGGCTGCTGCAATCGTTTTCGTCTCTCAAACTGCTCCCTCAGCAGGAAAGGCATGTATTTTTCCGAGGTGACCCAAAATGAGCTCACTCTGCTGCAAATTCTTTTTTTTTCTTTTGGAGGGGGAGGGAAAGGGGGGTTGGGGGGGGGGGGGGGGAAGGGGGTTGGCCTCTTTGTTTGATTTTCCATTTCAGCTCTCACGTCTCGTCTCGGCACCATTGCCGAATTCGATCACCGAGTAACATTGTGGCCGTTCACAGCTAATGCAGGGCTTCTCTCCCACCCCATTCACAACTCCTTTGCTCCCCTTTCTCTCCAGCCCCCACGTCTCGTTTCGGCTGCATGGTGGGATTCGATCCCGAAGGAGCACTGCGCGCCTACGTGGCGGTCGAAGACTCACTAGACACCAACGAACGCCGCCCCTCCGACTGGGTCTGGCCCACGTGGGGCCCGGGCGGCGTCCCGTCCCAGCTTCCCGACCACCTGCCGCTCGTTCCGGCTCTAGATGACAAGAAGATGGTGGGAACCTGCAATATCCTTACCCGGAATCTGATGGTTCAGGAGCGGGAGAACGTGTCCTGGGCAGAAGAATGGGGCCCTAACGGCGCTGCCACTGCTGCCGAAATTGCAGCAGCTGCAGCAACTGCTGCTGGTGACACTGCTTCAGCTGGAAAATCTGTTGCAGCGAATGCAGTAGAAGCAGCGGCGGCTGGGTTCATGGGCCGAGTGCCAGAGGGAGACGAGGAGAGGTATGCGGTGTTTGCTCTGCCGCACGGGGTGGTGGTGTGCGCTCCGCGCTCCCCGAAACTGGTGGCAGGGAGGCCGTTTATGCTGTCGGTGTCGTGGGTGGTGAGGGAGGGAGAGGTGAAGCGCATCACTGCCTCTTGGGGAAGTACTGGTAGCTTTGAGAAAGTGGAGGGCGAGTGGTACAGGAGACAGGCGTGAAAGGGGAGCAATGGCGTATAGGAGGTTGAAACGAAGGGAGGGATGTGTTTCTTGGGGACGTGGGTGCCATAAGAGAGAGAGAGGGGTGGCTGTGTGTGTGTGTGTGGGTGTGTGTGTGTGTGTGTGTGTATGTGTGTGTGTGTGTGTGTGTGTGTGTGTCTGTGTGTGTGTGTGTGTGGCTGAGTGTGTGTGTGTGGCTGTGTGTGTGTGTGTGTGTGTGTGTGTGTCTGTGTGTGTGTGTGTGTGGCTGAGTGTGTGTGTGTGGCTGTGTGTGTGTGTGTGTGTGTGTGTGTGTGTCTGTGTGTGTGTGTGTGTGTGTGTGTGTGTGTGTGTGTGTGTGTGTGTGTGTGTGTGTGTGTGTGCACTGCACCCGTTTCATTGCAGCAAGCAGTGGTGCGGGAGAGAGGGTGGGTTAGGCTGGTGATGCAAGCAGCTTCTTTGAATAGGACGCGCGTGTTGAAGGCAATGGGTGAGAATCGTCCGCGTGTGGGTGGGCCCTCATCATACCTACCGTATGACACATGAAAGGCGCGTTCTCTGTTTTGTCCGCTTTACACCGTACCCGATACAACCATGTCAAATCATATGTGGACAACAGCAAAGGAGAATCACTACCAACAACTTGTTCAGAACCAGTTGCATTCTGGACATATGTGCTCAATGAATCATTCTGGTCTGGACTACACTTGGCTACTCTGCCGTGCCGGTTTGTCAACATCAGCATCAAAACAGGGAAACATGACAGACACCATACACCCGTAAGGATATTCGATAAACATAAGGTAGCTACGGTAGTTGAGGCAAGGCAGTCTCTGGTCTGACCGCCTTCTTAGGAGAAAGGAGGGAGAGGAGAGAGCGAGGGAAGTACCGGTAGCAGTGACAATTCTGGGTCGAATCTTTTATTCTCGGGAAAAGGAGGGAGAGGAGAGAGCAAGAAATTCCTTCCCTCCCAAGTCAGATGGAGGGAAAGAGGGTAGTCAGAGTCACTAGTTCCCTGTGCAACATAAATCACCCGTCCAGGTCCTCTTACTCATCGCCTCTCATGTCGTTCCCTTCCTCCTCTCCCCATCCTTTTTGAGTCGACTCACTAGTTCCCCATGCAACACAACTCCCTGTCAAAATGCTAGGCCAAAACGAGAAACAGGCAAGAAGGGTTTTGACTAACAAGCATAGGGATACATATATGCAAACCCTAGAAGGGCTGTACTCGCTATAGAGTACCCCACTGCAGGCTAGACAACCATCACATTCTGGCACTCCCCATCCAGGTCCTCTTACTCATCCCCTCTGCTTTTGAGTCGATCATACCCTCCGGGTACTCAAAAGCAGACCCGTTCAGGTCCTCTTACTCATCCCCTCTCATGTCATTCCTCCCTCCTCCGCACCCCACACCCCACCCCCTTATTTCACTATTTATCCTATGGAAACAATCCTTTCTGTGCGCCTCCAGCCTTCAGCAGCCTGTCGCCACGCCACAGCAACAGCAGACACATACTCGCCTCGCACATACTTATCCTCCTCCGCACCCCACCGCTCACCCCCTTCGTTCACTATTCATCTTATGGGATCAAGCCTTTGCCAGCATGCCTCCAGCCTTGTTTTGAGTCGACTCAACACACCTCACCCCTCACCCCCTTCTCTCACTGCTCATCTCACAGGACCAATCCCTCTCCAGCATGCCTCCAGCCTTCAGCTGCCTGTCGCCACGCCACAGCAACAGCAGACACAAACTCGCCGCGCTCGTACTTGTCCTTCTCAAACACAATCCACCCATCCAAGTCCTCATACTCGTCCTCTCCCATGTGCATCCCCTCTCTCCTCTCCGCCTCCACCAAATCTGCAATGTACGCATTCCGCCTCCTCCTCCTCCCTCTGCTCCCCCCTCCCGCATTCCCGTTCATGCCCTCGCTCTCTTCGCTCTCCGCTCCTCCCCCCATGCCCTCGCTCCCATCGCTCTCCTCTCCTTCCCCCATGCCTTCGCTCTCTCCCAACCCTTCCCTCTCTTCCTCTCCTCCCACTTGGTCACTCTCCTCTCCTCCTGCTCCATTTCCTCCTCCTTTCCCTCCCACGTCTTCTCCCACCTCCCCTCCAAGCTCGCCTCCTCCTTCCTCTCCTACCTCTCCTCCTTTACTCCCCCCCACTGCCCTCCTTCCGCTTCCCCTACTTGCCCCTCTCCCCCCTACCTTACCCCCACTCCCCTCACTCTTTCCCGATCCCTTCGCCCCGCGTCCCCTCGTCCTCATTGCATTACCCCCACCCTTCCGCGCACTCTTCCTGCCAGTCCCTCCTGCAGCCTCCTCCCCACTTCCAGCCGCCCCAGACTCTTGCGCAGCAGCTTCCTGTCCCTTCTCCTCATGCGTGTCGCCCATTTCGCCCATTTCGCCCATTTCGCCAGAGGAACCAGCGGAACCAGAAGGTTTATCCTCCCTCATTGGCTTTTGAGGCGCCTCAAAAGGCATTTCGCCAGCGGGGCCAGCGGAACCAAAAGGTTTATCCTCCCACATTGCCTCTGCAGCACTCTTCCCCATGCTCCACTCCGCTTCTTCTCCAGCCCCCTCTCCCCATTTTGTTTCCCTTTCTCCTCCCCCCTCCCCTTCTCCTTCCCCCTCACCTTCTCTCACCACTTCCTGCTCTCCTCCCCGTTCCATCTCCTTCTGCGGCTGTCGCTCGCTGTGCCGCCCACCGCTCTGCTCTGCTTCCACTCTCTTCAGCACCGTCCTGTTGCGCAGTAACCTGGTAACCCTGCCCTGCCCTCCTCGCTCACACTGCTTAACCTGCCCTCCCTTCTCACGCTGTTTCCCCTGTGCTCCCTTTTCCCGCTGCTGCTCCTTCACGTGCCCCCCAACCTCCTTCAACTCCACCATACCCACGGCACTGGTGTTCCCTCCTTTCACCTCCATACCCCATATCTCTTCCACCTCTTTATACAACCCCACTTCCACCACAATTTCTTCATCCCCGCACGCTCCCTTCTCCTTCCTCCCCTCCTTCTCCTCGCCCCCCACCCTCTCCTCGCCCCCCACCCTCTCCTCGTTCCCCTCCTCCTCCTCCTCAGTTAGATCCACAACCTCGCACTCCGGTTTTCCCGCCTCTCCTGTGTTTTTTATTTCCTCCGCCACCCTTTTCTTTTCCGCCTCCATCCTCTTCGTCTTTCCCTCCTCCCCCTCCGCGGACTTTCCGCCATCCCGCTCCTCCTTCTCCCTCCCCATCCCCCCCAGTTCCTCCTCCCCCCCTACCTTCCCCGCCCGAGCTGTCTTTCCCTGCAGGCTCAGACTCCCGCCCCGTCCCTGCCCCCGCCCCCGCCCCCGCCCCCGCCCCCGATTCCGTTCCCCCGCTTCCTTCATCGCTGCTACCGACATTTGCTGCCGCCCCACATTCCCTGCAGCGCCTGACCCCTCGCCAACCCCTTCCTCAACTTCCTCCGCCTCCTCCGCCTTTGCTGAAACGGATAAGTTTTTGAGACGTCTCAAAAGCTTACTCGTTTCACCTTGCTGCCGCCCCACCTTCCCTGCAGCGCCCGACCCCTCGCCAACCCCTTCCGCCATTGCCTCCGCCTCCTCCGCCTTTGCCAACTCTACCGCCTCTTCGACCGCATAGTGACCGCCTTGGCCAACTGGCTGATCCACTTTCCCCACTTCCGCCACCTCCGCCACTTCCCCCACCTCCGCCACTTCCCCCACCGCCGCCACTCCCCCCACCTCCGCCACTTCCCCCACGTCCGCCACTTCCCCCACGTCCGCCACTTCCCCCATCTCCGCCACTCCCCCCACCTCCTTTACCTCAACCACCTCCGCCACTTCGTTTCCCTCTTCAACCTCCTCTACCTCCCTCATTTCCTCTACATCCCTCCCTTCCTTTATTTCAACCATTTTCTCTACCTCCCCCATTTCCTCTACCTCCCTCATTCCCTTTAGCTCCCTCACTTCCTCTACCTCCCTCATTTCCTCTACCTCCCTCACCTCCTTTACTTCCTCCACCTCCGCCGCTTCTAGCACCGCCGCGTTTTGAGGTGCCTCATAGTAGCACTTTTTGAAACCTGCCCGCTGCGCATCCCCCGCCTCCTCCACCTCCTCCGCTTCTTCCATTTCCTCCACTTCCCCCACTTCCTCCGCTTCCCCCACTTCCTCCACTTCCCCCACTTCCCCCACTTCCTCCGCTTCCCGCACTTCCTCCACTTCCCCCACTTCCTCCACTTCCCCCACTTCCTCCGCTTTCCCCACTTCCTCCGCTTCCTCCGCGTCCTCCGCCGCTTTTACCCACACCACTTTCCACTCCAACTGACCCCAAGAACCCCCCTCCCAATTCACGGCTCCCTCCTCCTCCGCTTCCTCCGCTTCCTCTGCGTCCTCCGCCGCTTTTGCCCGCAACACGTTCGACTCCAAGTGACCCCACGAAGACTTTAGAGTCGACCCAAAACCTCCCCCTTCACCGGCGCTCCCCCCTCCTCCACCTGCGCCTCCACCTGCTCCTCCACCTCCTTTCCCGCCCACAGCCTTCCTTCTCGCAGCGCGGGTAATCCTCGCAGTGTCGTTTCCCCCTCTCGCCATTTCCTCCATCTCCGCTGTAAACTCACTCCTTTTAAGCAACGTAAACGAGTGTAGATTGCGGAGCTCCATGGAATCGCGCCTCACATCCTCTTGAAACGAACTTCTTCGCAATAACGAGTACGAGTGCAGCATACGCAGCTCCCTGCTCGACCCTCGCACCCCGCTGCCCGACTCTCGCCTCGCTCCTTCCCAAGGTACAATGGCTAAGGGAGACTCTTCAACCCGCGACTCCTTCTTCGCATCCTTCTTCGCATCCACTCTCGACGTTCTTCGAGCTGTCCTTTCTGAGCCTTTGGCTATCGACTTCCGAGAATTGTCCAAAGTTTTAGCCCAAGTCTCCTCCTCTCCGGCATCCGCTAATTCTGGACCCTTGGGTTCGAAAACCACCAAAGCTTTTCCGCTATTCGCGTCCTCGTTACTAGTTACGGGTGCGATCTTCAGCTTCTTCGGCACACCTTGTCGCTCGACTTCAGAAACCCGGTACTTCTTGCGGGTATATCTACGCGTCGGCCCACTATCCAATTTCAGGGTGCTTATAGTTTCTATTTTCGATTCGTTTGCGGGCTGCGGTTTCGCCATCATCTCGTTCGGACGCTTCTTAACGATGACCGTCGTTCGCTTTCCCATCGGGCTTGATCGGCTAGCCTCCGTATTTCTCCAACTTAAGCCCACTTTGTTGCCTCGATACTAAACACTCCGTCAAACCGGATGCTCCCTAATTTTCCAATCAGTCTACGCGGCAGCCTCAGATACGGGGTCCTATAGATCGATGGCGCTCGGAAAGAAGCTGCTTCGAGTCCAAAAATGAATAACGGAAAAACTGCCTTTCTGACTTAGTCAAGACGAAATGGATTGTGAGGTGACATTGTGGACGAGTGGCTGCATGAACAAACTCATTTCACAAGTCCTCTTTTTTTTATTGCAAGAGTTTTGTTGGTGCTACAAGACTCTTGTTGGTGCTGTCCTCCGAGCTTGGTTGTTGTAAAATGGAGTTTCCGTGGGATTCGACATACAGTATTGGAGTGGGGACCAAGAAAGCAGCGCGCCACATGTCCCTTGATTTTAGTTGCGCGCGGCTTGATGGAGTAATTTCAAGGCAACATTCGTGGCACGTGTTGACAGGTTTGTGTACGCTTTATTGTGTATTTTATAACGTCGCTGTAGAAATCTGTAGCCGAAATGGCTGCTTCGTAAATGTGTTTTGTTTCGTCTTCAATGTCGGTGGGTTTGGTTGGGCAAACAGTGGGACCATTTTCGTCAGCTTGTTTTCTCCCCACGTCAGCACGGCCCACACTGACATGTCCTTGGGACACAGCAACCCCATCTGACGTGGAAATGAAACCGCCAACATCGGCGAACAAATATTCTTGCCAACTCCTTTCACCCAGCATTCGCTTCACCCTCATTCCGAGCTTCCTTCTTGGTTTAGACCGAATTTCTCGGCTTTACCAGCTGCTATCGCCCGCACACGAGGTTTTCTAGGCGTCTCTTATCTTGATCGTAACTTGCGAGTAGTGCGCATCGAATCGCTCGTAATGGCGACGCCAAAGGTTAAGCTCACCGTGGGCTCGGATGGAGTGGCTATTATTGAGATTCACAATCCTCCTGTCAATGCGCTCGCACCAGAAGGTATTCGCGATTTTGTAAACCAAATCGTGGTGTTTTCTATCAAGGTTCCACGTTTCATCTTTAGAATTCTAACCTATCGAGTTTATCTGCAGTCCTTCTCGGTTTGAAGGTGTCGTTCGACGAGGCGCACCAGAGGAACGACGTTAAAGCCATTGTCGTAACTGGTAATTTGCAAACCAGCCGCTTCCGCGGTTCCTCCTCAACCTGTAAATACTGATTCAACATGAGTCCTCTTTTTTTTCAGAAGCTCACCCTGCTTCTCTGCTGTGGCTGCTATTTCAGGGACAAATGGCAAGTTCTCAGGAGGCTTCGATATCTCGGCGATTGTTGCAGTCCAGGAGAATGGTACTGATTATTGCCTCTTCGTGCTTCTGGCGCTGTAGCCTTACGCGATCAATTTGGTCAATTACTCTTTTCCGTGTTTTCTTGTGCTCGATGTCCCCTTTACAGGGAACATGGACTCGATGGTCAGGCCGTCGGTCCCACTCTTCGTGGAGACCATTGAAGGTATGCAGCTCTCAAAATTTTAATTGGGAAATGGAAATGACATTTATACAAATACTCACACATGTCTCTGCCTTATGCAGGTGGTTCAAAGCCAGTCGTGGCGGCCGTCGAGGGTCTTGCTCTAGGCGGTGGCTTGGAGCTTGCTCTGGTACGCACGTCACCGCTCTAGGTCGTATAACCTTGTAAAATACTCAATAACATTCTCACGCAACGCAAGTACACACTCTGAAGCTCATTGTCGGTTTTGATTGTTCTGTTTCTTTCTTTTCCAATGCCAGTCATGCCATGCAAGAATTGCTGCACCTAAGGCTCAGCTGGGGCTTCCAGAGCTGCAGCTCGGCATCATTCCTGGATTCGGAGGTACTGGCCCGTGTTTGCAATGACTGACCTATACTGATCCATCTTTTGTATGATTCTAATGTTGGTGGTGTTGCTGGTTGTAATGTTTTGCAAGCCTTAGTCGTATGCATTGTTTTTCCCAACATTATATTTCTTCTGTGCTGGTCGTGTTTTGCTGGTTGTATCCAGGTACTCAGCGTTTGCCTCGCCTGGCTGGCCTACAGAAGGCGATTGAAATTATCTTGGTGAGCTTCTTCAACATTCTCCTGCAGAACATTTTCCTTGCTGGTTATGTATTCGTTCTAATGCTGTTCTGTTTACCCATTTGCATCCAGATGTCCAAGCCTATCACATCTGAAGCGGGACTCAAGGCCGGTCTGGTTGATCAAATCGTTCCAAGCAATGCACTCCTGACCACCGCCAAGGCGTGGGCCCTGGATATCGCCAGCGGCAGGAAGCCATGGCTGAAGACGCTGGAGAGGAACGACAGGATTGAGAGCCTGGGCGAGGCTCGAGCCATCTTCAAGTTCGCCAGGGCTCAGGCGATTCAGACGGCTCCCAACCTGACTCATCCGCTGCGATGCTTGGACGCCATGGAGTATGGCGTCACCCATGGAGGGTATGCCGGCAATCTCAAGGTGAGCTCTGACGGACAGCAAAAGCTCATGTGTCACTGAAACATCACTGTTTCGTTGCAACGTGTGAGATATCTGGTGGTTGGAGCTGATTCTTGGTTTTCTTGTTGCAGGAAGAGGAGATCTTTCTGGAACTTGTGCTTGCTGACACGGCCAAGTCTCTGACACATATCTTCTTTGCCCAGAGGCAAACAACTAAGGTACGTTGCTGTGCTGTAAAATGCCAATGAATGAACTTGTTGTAATGAACCTGTTATATTGTACTCAAGAATCAACACTTTAGGAATGAGGGAAGGAAAGTCACACTCTGAAGGAAAGACGCTGGATGACATGTTAACGAATCTGTTTTGTTTCAGGTTCCTGGAGTCACAGACCGGGGTTTGAAGCCTCGGCCCCTCCGCAAGGTGGCAGTGATTGGAGGGGGGTTGATGGGTTCTGGGATCGTCACCGCACTCATCACGGCTAAGATTCAAGTCATCCTCAAGGAGGTCAATGCGCAGTTCCTCCAGCAAGGGCTGGACCGTGTCAAGGGTGAGTAATGAGCATGTTTGCGTGTCCCCACTTTCTCTTGTCACGCATATGCTGCCCTCTGTGTCATGCTATTGTTACGGCGCTCATCCTCAAGGAGGTCAATGCCCAGTTTGATGGCCGCGGGTTGCATCGGGATTGGCCTTGTTCTTATGAATTGATCTATATTTTTCTCTTCCTCTGGCAGCGAATTTCCAGGGCAGGCTAAAGAAGGGGAGGATGACACAGGAGCAGGTGGATAAGATACTGTCACTCCTCAAAGGAACACTCTCCTACGACGATTTCGCTGACGTGGATCTGGTTATTGAGGTGAGACAGGGAAGATCGTGCTAACAACTCGAACACCTCTGCTGCAAGGGTTCAGGGTGCTTTGCTGCGCAGCAGTTCCTGAAAGTGTTTGTCTGGAAACATCTGAATGTTCTAGGAGAGGATTGAATGTGTTGTCTCTACGTGCATTTTTCTGTTATGCAGGCTGTGATTGAGAGCATCCCGTTGAAGCAGCAGATCTTCCAGGACCTGGAGAGGGTGTGCAAGCCTGCATGCATCCTCTCGTCCAACACGTCAACCATTGACCTCAACGTCGTTGGCGCCAAGACACGCTCCCAGGATCGCATCATTGGCGCACACTTCTTCAGGTACGCAGGAGCTGCGTCAATCAGAGAGTCAGTAGCACGTTTTTCAATGTACGTGTGGTCCATTGGAGATCTGTGTGATCCATCTCAGGCCTTTCCTGGTCGCAAAGGCATTGCTAAGAAGCCGTCCCAATGGAATTATGGCTAAAAGAATCCCCACGTGCCATCTAATCTTTTAGCCCCATCTCGCCCCCCAAACACTCTCCTTCACGCTTGTTGTTGATCACTCCAGCCCTGCCCATGTGCTGCCTCCTCCTTCTCTTCTGTCAAGTTCTATTTTCTCTTCTGTTTGTTCTTTTCCCCTCTCTATCCACTGCAGCCCTGCCCACGTGATGCCGCTGCTGGAGGTGGTCCGCACGGACAAAACCTCTCCACAGGCCATCCTGGATCTCATCACTCTCGGGAAAACCATCAAGAAGACCCCCGTGGTGGTGGGCAACTGCACAGGCTTCGCTGTCAACCGGGTCTTCTTCCCCTACACCATGGCGGCCTGCCTCCTTGTGGACCTGGGCGTGGATCTCTACCGGATCGATCGGGTCATCAAGGCCTTTGGCATGCCCATGGGACCCTTCAGGTGATTTAGCCTTACTGTCCACAGGGCACTTTGTTCTCCGTAGGTGTGAGGCTGTCAACTGATAAGGGACCATGGCTTGCCTCTGAAGCCGTGTTTGCTTACAGTGTCAGGTATTGTTAGAGGATTGCTATAAAGAAGGTTTATCTTATCATGTGCCTGCTTTGTCACGATGGTGCGCTGTCACAGGCTGGCTGATCTCGTGGGAATGCAAGTGGGGCAGGCAGTGGGGACGCAGTTTGTTACCGCGTTCCCTGAGCGGGCCTACAAGGCTGCACTCATCCCCCTCCTGGTTGAGGCAAAACGCTTCGGTAAAGCTTCCTGCATGCCTAGTTCTCAAACGGTTTGAATGCTTTTGCAAGCTTCGGGACTCTCTGGTTTTGCTGTTTTTTGTCGCTCGTAGCGCCACTGCCATGTGCCACTCCTTCTCGATACAGCAATGATTTATTCTGATTTTTCCATTTCGTGTGCCCGAGCAGGGGAGAAGTCGGGCAAGGGCTTCTATCTTTATGACAACAACAGGCGGCAGCGCCCCGACCCGGCAATCAAGGAGTTTGTGGAGCAGGCGGGGAAGTACAACAACATCAAGCCGGGCGGCAAGCCCGTGGCAGTATCTGACAAGGACATTGTGGAGATGATCTTCTTCCCCGTGGTGAACGAGGCGTGCCGTGTGCTGGACGAGGGGATTGTGGTGCGCGCTTCGGATCTGGACATTGCCACTGTCATGTCCATGGGCTTCCCTCCCTACCGGTGAGTGTGTGTTGTCATTGCGTCTCTACCTACAGGTGATTTGAGGAAGGATGCAGGTATGACATTTCGGTACGTAATGCTTGTGGCGTGCCGTGTGCTGGACGAGGTTATCGTGGTGCGCGCATCTGATCTGGACATTGCCACTGTCATGTCGATGGGCTTCCCTCCCTACCGGTGAGTGCATGTTATTCTTTCCTCCCTGCTGGTGTACGGTGTATGGTGTATCATCGTGATGCGAGCATCGCACTGGACATTGCCACCTGTCATGTCCATGGGCCTTCCCCGCTACCGGTGGGTGTGCGGTGTCGTTGCTTCCCTTACTGGTCAGTGAGGGAGTGGCTCTCCTTTATTCAGGTGGTAGGACAACTGCAGGTTTTCCCTCCCTTAGTCGTCGTGAGTGTGTAGGGCTGTACTGTTGTTGTAGGCATGCACCCCGATTCATTGTTTTGTGCATCCATGGTTTCTGCTTTCGAGCCCCAGCGGTGCTTTGTTTGAGTTCAGTTCTGCAGTGCTCGGCTGTATACTGTCATGCTCAGCTTTTGTATTTTTGTTTCTCCCCTCCCTTTGTTATTGTTTTCGCCCTTTTTGGCTTGCAGGGGTGGCCTGGTCTTCTGGGCTGATCTGGTCGGGGCAAAGTACATTGCGGATCGCCTCACCACATGGTCACAGGCGTACGGAGGTTTTTTCAAGCCCTGCAACTACTTGCTCGAGCGAGCAGCTAGAGGCGTCAAGCTGGTGAGTGAAGACAATTGCTGCAGTGGTGGATGCATTGCTGAATGTAGTTCCTGTACTATTTTTGTTGTGCTGGTTTGTATTTTGTTTGTTTCTTGCATCCTTTTGATTTATGGCTGAAACGTGCGCTGGTTTATGCATCTTGCAGGGAGCACCAAAGGGGGCATCTTCGATGGCTAAGCTTTGAGTGATACAGGATGGTGGGCAAGCTATGTAGACGCTGCTGCTAGTGACTGATTGTTAGATGTTGATTGTATGCACATTGTTCTCTGATGTACAGTGGAGCGGAATAAGATGATATATGTGGGTCAACAAAGGATGTACCTGGTGGAATTGTATGCTCTACAAAAGCTCAACAGTGTAGTAACCTTGTTCATGTGAAGGTTCAAGCCTGGGCGGAAGGTGGTGCATATTTCTCTTGTCGCTGACGGTCATACGAGTTTCGCAGCCGTCATGTGTGATTACTGTCCCAGTATCTGTCATCAGCGAACCGTCAACAAATCCCATGGCCCCAGGAGGATTCATCTTGTCAGAAGTTGCGGTTTTGAATGCTATGCTGGACGATCCAGTACGTTACAGTGTGGTGATTCGCGTCTTCCACTCGCACGGCCCTTCTGTCCAAACCCAAGGCAGAACTTGCAGCGATGGAAGCAGGCAAAGCGTCCAGCCAATCCCGAAGTGGAAGGAGGTTTACGTCGTGTGAATGCGTGGCTTGGTTGGAACTTGGTAGTGAAGTGAAGAGAGAGGGAGAGGAGATGAGAAGCTTTTCCTGCCTCCTCTTTTTCATACCAGTACGGATTTGTATGCTCTTTTCTCAGCCGTATGTCTAGAAACAACTCGTTTCCCCTGCTTTTACGACTGGCCTCGGTGTTCCACTTGCTAGTATCGTAGATGCTGTTTTGGAAGGCGTTATTTAGCTAGCGGTAGCAAAGAAACAGGTTGTTAGGGTTTGTAGGAAGCAGCCTTTCTGACCTTCCCCGTTTTACCCTCGGCGCAACTTCTACTCTCCAGTGTCGCGTGGCAAACTTGGTTACACTTCAAGAACGTTTTTGCAGCTGCGACTTTCCTTACAGATTATTGATAGGATTCAAAGGTTGTGGAGATTAGTTGTTTTAGACTTCCTCCCCTTTCGCTCCATTCGGGTTAGCAGCAGCAGCACCAGCAGCAGCACTAGCATGGCTCACTTCCAGGACCCGTGGGTCAGAGAGTTCGAGGATGCCTCCAGGATGGCGGATGACGTAGCAGGACTCATTCAGGAAAGAAATGACGCGATCAAATCCAAAGGGGATCCGTCGCGTCTCGTCGCTGCAGCTCGCCGAAAGATTGCGATGCTTATGGCGAAATCGGACCGTCTAGAAACGGGACTTCGAGGTGCAGCGGAGAAATCGCAAGTGTAAGCTTTCCAATTGAGGAATTGCGTATAGTCCGGACGAGCAGCAGTTGGCTAAAAGTATGATGTACTGTGACTTGTTAACGCACCGCGTGGTTGACCTGACAAGCTGCGAGTTGCCTTGTATGAAACATAAGCTCTTAGCTAGTATGATACCGGTTCTAGTCGTATGTTACCCGTTTTCGCTTACTTCAGCCGTTTGTTAATGCCTCCGAGACACACGTCCTACTCTTCGCCTTTCACCTCTCTTAACTGCTCCTTTTCTCACTCGCTCCCCCTTTGGCTACGCAGCAATTCCACGGAGATTCGGCGGCGGGAAGACCTGCTTCTCGCGCTTCGCTTCAAGGCGAAAGAGATGGCAGCCGTGCTCACCTCCGCGCAATCAGCCGCTAACAGGTTCGTCGTCGCCTTGGTTTACCTAAAGATTCCTATCAACCCAATTCTCTCCCCCCCCTCTCACCCCACCTCCTCTTCCCCCCTCCCCTCCCCCCCTTCCTTCCGCTCTCCCCCCTTCCCTCGCTCACCATTCTGACCCCTCGCTTTACTGCCTGCTGCTTCTGCGTCTTGCTCTTTCCTTTGGTTGCACTTTATGTTGACTGTAACTGGGTACTCGGCCTCCTCCTCGCGTCTTTTGAGTCGACTCAGAAGATTGCGTGCGCTATTCTGCTGACTGTAGCTGGGATATCTACTTCCCCCTCGCGTCCTTCTTTCCAATGCTTTTTCCCTGCCATGGCGCGCGAGTCTCGCCTGTGCCACGTCCTGCCTCTGTGACGTGCTGTCTCTCATAGTTTTATGCGAGTCAGTCGTGCAGGTGACAGAGACAGCTGCCTGGCGGGCGAGTTTTGCTGATGAGGAAATTACCTCACCTCGTATCCTTTACCCTTCTTCCCCCTTTACTTCATCCTTTTCCTTCCCTCTGCAGGTCAGCCCTGCTGGGCCGGGACGGGCGACCATTGGTGGCGGTGGAGACGGAGAGAACAGCCTCGCGGGACAACAAGGGGCTAGTGGCTCTGCAGCAAGAGATCATGCAAGGTATGCTGCTAAGGGTATGCCCTTGTCATGTTTTTTTTTTTTCTCTTTTTGGCTGAGCTGGTTGGTGGTTTTTCCCCTGCGTGCCTCTTGCCTGGCATGGGTCCTGATTGCATCCTGTCATCTGGACCCTCCTTGTTTTGTTACTTGTCAACAGGAGTGGCATGTTTTTTCTCTCTGAATTTCTTTTTAAACCTTTTTCCACTTTTCGGTGTGCTTCTCACCTGCCAACCGGAGCAGAGCAAGACTCGGAGTTGGAGGAGCTGGAATCGACAGTAGCGACCACCAAGCACATTGCGCTCACCATCAACGGCGAGCTGGACCTGCACCGTCATCTGCTGGTATGTGCTTCTCTTTGTGTGATCGTCTCGTTGCTGTGCTGTACAACACATGTTTTGATAGCTACTATTCCTACTGTGTAATTGACACATCGTCGTGATACCTTTGTGAACATCCAAGTGAGCCTTTGCTGCAGCAGAATCAGCTATGCTGACTTGTTGCGTTTCTGATGGCTGGCTGCGCTGTTAATAACTGAAGCTCTTTCCACGTACTTGTGTTTGAATGGCTTTGCTGCTGGTGCACGTGTGCAGGATGACTTGGATGACAACATACAGTCAACAAACGCTCGTGTACAGGTGGGCTGCTCGTTTTGCTTCTATCACTCCATTATCCCTTCACTGTCCCCCCCTCCCATCTCTCTCTTCCTACCCTCCTCTCCTCCCGTCTCTCTGCTTTCTTTCCTCGCTGCTGCTGCTTTCCCATTCTCGCTTTCACAACTCAATTATAGACTGGGACACATAATGTATGTTGTGTTTCATACAATCCCACTTCTCCCCCCGCGTTTGACACTGTACAGCTGGCCAAGAAAAAGATGTCCATATTCATGCGCCGTTCCGACAACACATGCAACATGCTTCTCGTCATGCTTGTAGCTGCAGGTCTGGTATTCGTCGCACTTGTAGTGTATTCGATTCTCAAGATTGTTTTGTGACACCTAGTTACAACTCGGCAGACACCGTTTCTCGGTTCTGTACAATAAGGTCTTGGTATTGTACTCTCCAGCTTAAAAGCGGTGTTCTTTAAATAACGCTATGTCATTATACAAATGTATTCTTCTGTATACTTCACGAACCCCCGTTGCTTGTCATCCGCACTCGGTCAACCGTGTCTTCTTGTTTCCATTGGCTTGCATGTGGACGAAATTAACCAGAGTGGTCTTGAGTTGTCGTCCACCACGTGGCCGCTATCCTTACTTCCAGCTGCCCGTGTACAGTAGAATATTCTTTCCCAGCGGCTGCTGTCTGGTATGGGGAAGGAAGAAGCAGCCTCGCGAAAAACGGTTTACCGGCGGGCGGGCAGGCACCAAGGAGGAACACGCGGGAGGAAAAGCTGAGCTGGTTTGATTGGTGGAGCAAGTCAATGAAACTTGTCGTCGACTGTACATGAACCTCTACCGTTTGAACCTCTCTTGGGGAGCGGAAACTTCCAGATGCGGTCTGAAGAGTTGTAAGAAGGTATCCGGCGGTTCGCTACGGTTTAATTTTCTAAAATACGGTAAAGAGACAGGCTTGTCAAACGCAGGTCCGCTCGTGCCACCCCCAAATCGAACCCCGCCCCCGTCCATTCGTTCCTGCGTGAAGGGCACCCCGTTTTGACGAATTCCGTCCGTCACAGACGAGCCCGGCCGTCAGTCCGCTAGTCCGTCAGCCTGTGGGGGACGCTGAGCTTCGCGCCTGCTCTTCATCCAAGGGCCTGTCAATCAAGAGAGTGCACTAGACGCCAGTCACGCCATACCGCAGTTCGTTCGATTGTGCTGCGCTTTGCAGTGCGCCACACTCGTTGCTGCTGCCCCTCCTCTCACTCCTATCACATCACACAACAAACTCACATCACATGTCTTCGCTCTCTCCTTAGATAATTGCGTCTTCCTTCTGGTAGCATCTCATCGCCAGTCCTTACGTTGATACCACGAGGCTTTACTTATTCTTGCTCCGAGCTCCACTTTCCCGATCACAGGCTACGTGGAACCCTAAAATAGCCATACAACCTTACACGCACGCGGTCTTCCAGGTCTTTCGTCTCAACCTAATTTAACGACATCCAGATTCGTTTTGCTCTGATTAAATAGATATAGCAGTAAAATGGCCAACGCAATGGCTGAGTGTGAGGGCGTGCCGATAACTCTCCCCAATGCCGCCCATAGTCGACAAAAGCTTAACAACTCCTTCCATCCGCAAGTCGCGGCCAGCCCGCAAGTCATAGGCTTCACTCCGCGCTTCGAGGTCGGCGCGCAGCTCGGTGAAGGCTCCTACGGCGTCGTTAACGTCTGCCGCGAGAAAGCCGTATTGACACGTCAGCTGTCGCGCCAACCTAGCTACGGCACAAGCAAACTTCATCTTCATCCGGGCGCCGCCGCCGCCGTTGCCGCGGTTGACGGAACTGCTGCGGCTGCCGGAAAGTGCGCCGCGAAGGGCGCCGCAGATGGCGGAGGAGGCGGCGACAGCGACGAGGAGAACGGGGTCGAGCGACCGGAGATCGTGGCGAGCGTGGAGAGGGTTGGAGCGACCGAGGCGGCGCTTCTTGCGGCGCGAATTACGGCGGAAGAGGTGGCGGGAGACGCAGAAGGGAAACAACCAGCAGCTCCGGCGAGGACCGCGGCGGAACCGCCGGCCGCGGGCAAGATGTACGCGTGTAAGACGGTGGATAAGATTCTCAACGTGGAAGGCGGCGCGGCGACTCAGAAGCGGTTGTCTGCTCGCGATATAGAGGTGCGCGTTACCGCGCTGAAGCACGAGATTAAGGTGCTCAAACACGTGGGTTATCACCCGAACATTGTGAAAGTTGTCGGAGTGTACAATAACGAGAAACGGCTGCGTCTCGTTATGGAACTGTGCGATGCGGGGGACCTGCTGGGGCTTCTAACGAATCCTCCCAAGAAGCCGCAGGCGGAAGCCAATCACGGGGGTGCGAATAAAGAAGGTGATCCTAACAAAGGAGCACCAGTCAAAGAAGCCAAGCCTGAGCAGCCGCATGGGAAACCTTTCACAAAAATCTCGCAATTTTTCAAAGGGCTAGCTAAGGGGACTGTCGACCCAAAAACGCCAGAATCCGGGGCTGCTAATAACGGGGACGGCAGCAGCAGTGGTACACAGCCCGAAAAAATGCTGCAAACAGGGCTATCAGAGCGGCAAACTGCACTGATGTTCCGACAGCTGGTGAAGGCAGTTGAGCACTGCCACTCGCGGCACGTGATTCACCGAGACATCAAGCTGGAGAATGTGCTGCTGAACCACTGCCGCTGCAGCAAATGCAAGCCTGCTGACTCAGGCGAAGGAGGGCAGGAGAATGGTCAACAGAAGCAGCAGCAGGAGCAGGAGCAGAAGCAAGGCGAGCCGTCTACCTGCTCCGGTTACGTCATCAAACTCGCGGATTTCGGGCTGGCGAAACTGCTGCAGCCGACGCAGCCCATGGCGAACGGTAACAAGGGCAGCCAGCTGTACAAGGCACCAGAGGTAGCCCAAAGCCGGTGGTATACCACCCAGGCTGACATGTGGTCCCTAGGCGTGGTGCTGTACGCTTTGCTAAGTGCCAGGTTCCCGCCGAGAGATGGGGATGGGATGGTGGCATGGGAGGCGGTTTCGGATCAGAGGTTGCTGTTTAAGGGGGGGAGCTGGAAGGAGGTGAGCGGTGAGGCGAAGGCGCTGGTGGGTGTGCTGCTGTCGTGGGATCCGAAGGGGCGTTTGGATTGCGGGCAGGTGTTTAATCACCCGTGGCTGATGCAGCACTGCAAATGAGAAGGGAGAGGAGCGAGGGGGGATTGGTTGGAGTGCGATGGGAAGGAGCAGCGGCCGGATTGTTGGCGAGGTGTTAAACGACCCGGGGCTGCTGCAGTGCTGCAGATGAGGGGGGAGGAGAGAATGATGCAACAGGTTTAGAGGGTAGACGAGCAGGTGCTTGACTTCAATTCCCTGCAGGGTTGTCTCTCTTTCCTTCTCACTCTTTACGTTAAAACAATTTGTTCTGTGGTGAGTGCTGCAAATAGCACTTGCCTTGACCCACGCCTTATTGTTTTTTTATTTATTTACAATGTGCGACATGAATTACCCCACTTGGAGCATACAATACAGTGAATAAATCCACCATAGCTCTGGATTGAGAGCAGCCCAGTTTCTGATCACTGCATGCAGCCAAGTTGGGAAAGAGTCAGCTGGAGTGGAAGGCCTGAGTAGACAGGAGGAGGGTGCATTGCCAATGGATTGCACTTGCTGTCATCCTCTGAAAGCTAAATGCTCAAGTCTGGAGCAGATGGGGGATAAGACTGAATCAGCTAGCTTTGCTTGAATGTCTGCAAATGTGCTGCACAACGGAAGAGGCTTGGAGCAGATGAAGACAACACGGAGGGAGGATCAAATGGAGCCCCAGCGTGCAGTCAGCGTAGAGGGGTGAGGCAGGGGCCCAGCAGTTCTAAGGCGCCTCAAAAGTCTGCAGCAAACGCAAGTACAGCTCCAAGCAGCACGGGAGGTGACTTTTGAGTCGACTCAAAAGTCTGCAGCAGGCGGAGTACAGCTCCAAGCAGCGTTTTTTGAGACGTCTCAAAACAGGCGGAGTACAGCTCCAAGCAGCGTTTTTTGAGACGTCTCAAAACAGGCGGAGTACAGCTCCAAGCAGCACGGGAGGTTCAGGTCAGGCAGGCTCCGTGACGAGATTCCAGCACCCTGTCAATTTTCGAGGCGCCTCAGAAACAGGCTTTGTGACGAGACTCCAGAGCCCTGTGAGGTGACTTTTGAGTCGACTCAATAGTCACCTCGACTCCATAGCCTTGAGAAGCTGCACCTGCGCATCAGGTGTGGGGAGTGGGAGTGGCGGGCAGGAAGTGGGGGAGTAGGGAAAAGAAAAGGAAAAAATGCTTGGGGGGCTCAGAAATAGCTTAGGGACGCGGATGGAAAGAGGAGAGCGCGGAGAGAGACGAGGCAGACAGACGTACACTTTCCTTTTCAAGTACTCCAAGCTCTTGCTAGTTAATCTGTCCAGCTTTCGCCCCAAGAGCTCTGAGGAGCTCAGCCTGAGCTGCAGGGCAGAAGAGACACACCCTCACCTCACCTCGTGAAAACCAGCTAAATAAATCATCAAGCTTTCGTGCCGAGAGCTCTGAGGAGCTCGGCCTGGGCTTCGGGGCAGAAGGAACACACCCTCACCTCACCTCTTCAGATACTGGCTAGATCATCTGTCAGGCTTTCGCCCCGAGAGCTCTGAGGAGCTCGGCCTGTGCTTCGGGGCAGAAGGCGGACGCGTTGCGGCGAGCGCAGGGCAGGCAGAAGCGCTGCGAGAAGAAGAAACTGCAAGCAGGCGAGGAGCACACGGGGGCGCGGCAGAGGGAGCAGAAGGATCCGAGGAAGAGCGGCCGACTCCGAGTCGGAAGGGACGAGCTGGACTCGAATGGATCACGGCAGATGTAGCCGTCCTCTAGGAACCTGGTGTCATGGAGAAGGGGCATCACCAAAGCAGGGATTACCATGCCAGAAACGGAGGTCGGATTCAGAGCGGCAAGCGGGCAAATGTAGCCAGACTCGAATGGATCCTGACAGGTGTATCCGTCCACGAGAAACCTGGTGGGAGTATCATCAAAATGAGCATCACCAGGAGCTGAGGTTACCAAGCCAAGAACGGGGGCTGGTATTCCCGAATAGATCCCGACACATGCACCCGTCGTAGAGGAGCCTGGTGTCACGGGGAAGGGGTTTACCAGGAATGGAATTTACCGAGCCAGAACCGGCGGTCAGAATTCAGGACAGGATCCCGGTGATCCGGATGTAGCCGTGAAAATGCTAACCCAGCGTTGCATTCGTCGCCATCACGTTCAGGCCGTGATGTGCGCACATCGCATATTTGACGCCAACCCATTTGAAGGCATTTCCTGTCAATAGCGGACAGGTGCGCTGCGGAGTTTATGGAAGTAAGGCCTCCGCAGCCCATCTGTCCGCTATTGACAGCTTTGCGTACGTCGCATCTTTGACGCCCATATCAAGGCACATCCTGTTTCTGGTCTCAGAAAGAAGCGCAGAGATAACCGACAATGGACGCTGTGGAGAGTACTTACGCGATCTGCGGCGCGAATGGCGGCCGCCGGCCCAGATAGTCGTAACGCGCTTCGAGTTTGCACAGCGTGCACGTGAAGATGGTTTCGCGGGATTTCTCAACGGTCAACCGGTCCACATCGGAAGATGACTTTTGAGTCGACTCAAAAGTCAACCGGTCGACGTCGGATTCAGAAAATTCCATGGTCGCAGTACGAAGAAACGGGAATCGTGCAAAGAGACGGACCGAAACTCAAACGCCGAAACAAAAGCAGCTTGGAATGACTAAACGTTCACATCGAGAAATTTCAACTGGGCTTCGCCAGCATCGCTTTCTCCAAATCCCGGCTTCGGCAGCATCGCTTTCTCCAAATCCCAATCTACCACGACCAAGCCGATCACCATGGCATCACTCCTCTCTCTCCTCCATCGCTCACGCACGTCTTCAGCGTTTCTGCACCATACAGGAGGTCATCTGTATACGCGTTTCCAGCAGAATCGGCAAACCTTACCACGAAATTGCATAATTTTGCCCAAGTTAGTTTCGGAACTCAACTCTTGTGCACGACCATTTTGTGCATATACGCAGCTCCGCTGTCGCTACTAGACTTGGAAAATCGGTTCACTAACATACACTAGTTTCTGCTGCAAGCTGGCAACAGAAATGCGCCCCTTTGCCACGCTGGAAGTCAAGCCGTTCATAAAGTTTCCACTCACGTAACCCGGGCAGGTATGACGCTATGATTGGCTAGTGTTCTGTTGACTGCCTCGTCAGCAAGCAACATACTTCAGTTTCATTTTTACCCAACACCTTCGTAGCCATACGTAAGAGCTTTGAAAACAACCGAACCGTGCAAATTACAATCACAAAAGACCCTAAAATTTTGGAACGACTCCGCGCTGTACAAACCGAGCCGTGACATGGCCCCGTTGAATGAGCCACGGCAGCAGCCACAGCAGTGAGGAACTCATCTGAAGTCGTGCCGCGTCTTCTGTTTCTTTCCAAAATCCGCCGACGGTCTCTGCCCGCGCCAATGCTCGTTTCACGCTTGTCATCCCCTTGCTCCACATTTTTCCAGGAAAGAAGTCGGAAATACCTCCTAGGTTTCTACTCTCACGGCTTCGAGTTCTTTCAGTTTCTGATTGACGAAACTCGTCTCGTCTTCGCCGACGTGGATTCCACATTACGCCTCTCCTGCTCTCATCGTCCCTGATGTTCTTTCTGGACTCCACTCGAAACATCTTTTTTGGGAGATTCTTCCTTGCTATGCAGAAACGAAAACCGGGGCTCTGCTTCCGCCGCCATTGCTAATCAAACGCATTTCTTGCTCCTGTTTTGTAGTGGTGTGATAAATTCGACGGAGGAAAACAAGGCCGTAAAGATTACTATCATTGTTTGTATTAGATGCTATATCGACCCTCTAGAGGCTTCATAATGGCGTCATCTGGAGAGTTTACCGTTCGAGCTCTGCTCCTCTCCGCCGCACTCCTTTCCACAATCACCACTGGCGATACTACAGTTACCAGCACCATTCCTATTAGTACTACCCTTGGTCGTTCGAATTCGATACCTAGTACCAGCAACGCCGTTGAGAGGTTTTCAAGGGCCTTCTTTAGAATCCCTCATGGAACCAGCCGCGGAACACCTGATTTCCCTCTCGGCTCGTCACCCATCTCGACCGCACGAACACTTCCTAAATCGAATAAGATCGGATCTCGTCTTCCGCGCCGCATGGTCCGCGCTCGAATTAGAATCACAGACAACCCGCAAGCAGAATATCCTCAAGATTTCTCGGAGGAACACGCCGCCTCAGCCAGAAGCGACGAACCACCACCCTCCAAGTTAACTCGTCAACAAACTCCGCCGGCGCCGCTTCTGCCACCGCTGACGCTATCCAGAGGCCCTCGCAGAGGGTATGCTCCTGTGCGTCAACAAAACCTCAGCAGCGGTCCCCGCCGCGGCGAACGATTGAGCCACCCGATTCGCCCAAGTGGCGGCACCCGCCGCCGTCAACTGCGCGGTCGCAGCAACAGCCAGGCAGAGGAGGATTATGGCGAGGCCGGCGAGGCTGGCGTGACCCCCGGCGAGGATCTCGAGGCTGGGGTGAACCCCAGCGAGGATCTCAACGCTAGCAGCGTGACTGGCGAGGATGAGCGATCCGAAGCAAGCCCAGAGCTGTACTATAACGGAGGGGCTGTTATCGCGGATCCGGTCGTGTATCTCATCTACTACGGCACGTGGCCTGAGAATTCCGGGGCTGCTGTCATTGAAAACTTTGTGCAGTCGCTGGGGGGGAACGCGAGCAGGCAGGGGCGGCCGAGGGATGAGAGCAGCGTGAGCGACTGGTGGGCGATCAGCACACATTACTTCATGACACGGGCTGACCGCAGGCTGACTTACGTCACTCCTAAGGTGGGTGACTTCTTGTGACTCCTAAGCAGGTGGGGAAGAGAGTAGGTGTGAAGCGTGCGTCACACCTACCCTCTCCCCCGCCCCCCTCCCCCCCCCCGTTCTCCCCTCCATCCCCCCTTACTTTCCCTCACCCCCGTGCATGTCTTCGTGCTCTTCCCATCTGTCAACAGCACCATGCATCCCCCTCAACATCCGCTATCCCTTCCTAGCTCTTCCCTATTTCACTCCTTCCCTCCCCCTCCATCCATACCCGTTCTTCCCTGCATCCATCCCGCTGCTCCTCCCGAACCACTCTGCAGGTTCGGTTTGGTGGATCGGTAGTGGACCGGGGCTCCATTGGCCATTCCTTTTCCGACACCGAGATTGCCAGGAGTGAGTCGTGTTGACTTAGATGCAACTCAAGAGTCAGCTGGGAATGCGTTCGTTTCCATACACGCCTTAGCTCCTTTCACTGTGGTTTCCTGTGTGTCAAGTCCCCTGTCGTACCCTGCTATCTGTACTGCGGTGCAGCTGACCGTTCCTGTGCGTCACGTCCCGTTCTCTGACAAGCATCAAGAAAGCTTGGGGTGTGTTGCCGATCAGCCCTCCTCTGCCAACGCTCTGTTTTCCCTGCGCTCTGCGTTCCCTCCTCCGCTCTGCCTTTCCTCCTCGTCCTGCTGCTGACTCCACATCAAGATGACCAAATTCCCTGCATCTCCCCTGGTCCACGTGCCTCCTTCCCCTCCCCTCCCCCCCCCCCCCCCACCCCCCCCACCCCTCTCATCCAGTTGTCGATCGCAACGTGTGGGCAAGGCCGACAGGTTGCCGTCCGATCCAAGTGGGATCTACATCGTGGTCACCAGTGCTGACGTGGACGTGTGGGAGTTCACCCGCTGCAGCTACTGTGGGTGGTGACCAATCGGCTGACATCCGACCCCACGTCCCTCCCTTGCATCCCCTCCGTGAGTGATTTTTGAGAATTCTCAAAAATCACTCACAAGGACCCCATGTCCCTGGCATCCCCTCTGTTCTTCACATGCCTTTCCCCTCCTCCTCCTCTTCCCCCTTCCAATCCCCTCCCATTCCCGCTCACCCCCATCGTCACCCCCTCGCCCGCCCTCCAGTTGTCGATCGCAACGTGGGCAAGGCCGACAAGTTGCCGTCCAATCCAAACAGGACTTACATCGTGGTCACCAGTGCTGACGTCCCCTCCACTCCACATGCCTTCTCACCCCTCCCCCACCGTGCAGTTGTCGATCGCAACGTGGGCAAGGCCAACAGGTTGCCGTCCGACCCAAACGGAATCTACATTGTAATCACGAGTGCTGACGTGGACGTCTGGGAGTTCACCCGCTGCAGCTACTGCGGGTGGCACGCGCAGATGATGGACATGCGCACTGGGAGCCCCATAGCATACGCGTTCGTGGGACATCACTCCCTGTGCTGCCAGTACAGCAAGTAAGTCTTGGCAGGGAGGAGCAGGGAGGAACTTTACTGTGGTAGAGGTGCAGTGAGGGTGTTTTTGAGACGTCTCAAAAACACCCTCACTGCAAGGGAGGAACTTTACTGTGGTAGAGGTGCAGTGAGGGTGTTTTTGAGACGTCTCAAAAACACCCTCACTGCAAGGGAGGAACTTTACTGTGGTAGAGGTGCAGTGAGGGTGTTTTTGAGACGTCTCAAAAACACCCTCACTGCAAGGGAGGAACTTTACTGTGGTAGAGGTGCAGTGAGGGTGTTTTTGAGACGTCTCAAAAATACCCTCACTGCAAGGGAGGAACTTTACTGTGGTAGAGGTGCAGTGAGGGTGTTTTTGAGACGTCTCAAAAACACCCTCACTGCAAGGGAGGAACTTTACTGTGGTAGAGGTGTTCAGCCTCTTCAGCTCAGCTACTGCGGGTGGCACGCGCAGATGATGGACATGAGCGCTGGGAACCCCTTTTGAGAATTCTCAAAAGTGATCTCAATATGAACCCCATAGCATATGCGTTCGTGGGGCATCACTCCCTGTGCTTCTGCCAGTATAGCAAGTAAGCGCCAGCAACGAGCCTCGTAGCATATGCATTCGTGGGGCACCATTCCCTCTGCTGCCAGCACAGCAAGCAAGTATCGGCAGGGAGCCTTATAAGGGACAGAAGTTGGCCATGCGCTCGGGCTGCCCTGTGGCATACGCATTCGTGAAGCACCACTCCCTCTGCTGCCAGTATAGCAAGTAAGTCCCCTCCCCCCACGCAGCTCCTCCCCCAACGGGCTACCAGGCATAGACAGCATGGTGAGCACCATCGCCGATGAGATCACAGAGGCTGCTGACTGGAAGACCTGTCTGCTAAATCCAGTCATCTCCTCCCTCTTGCCTGCTAAAACCTCCGTCCAACCCCATGTTCCGCCCCACACCTCCCCTCACCCTGGCAGCTCCTCCCCCAACGGGCTACCAGCCATAGACAGCATGGTGAGCACCATCGCCCATGAGACCACAGAGGCCACCACCGACCCTTCCTGCCCGCTGAATCCATGTTTTCACTCCCCTGCTCCCCTCTCCCCGTCCCTTCCCATCGCCCACTTGCAGCTCCTCCCCCAACGGGCTGCCAGTTATTGACAGCATGGTGAGCACCATAGCCCACAAGATCACTGAAGCTGCTGACCGGCTAACCTTCCTGCCCACTCCCATGTCCCCCTCCCCCCCACCCTCCCCGTTTCCCTTGACAGTTCCTCCCCCAACGGCCTACCAGCTATCGACAGCATGGTGAGCACCATCGCCCATGAGATTACTGAATCCACCACCGACCCGGACATTTCCTCGGGCTGGTTCGACGCTTCCGGGCAGGAAAACTCTGACAAGTGCGGCTCCTTCTACGGGCAGCCGGAAGAAATAAAGCGCGCCCGCGGCCCCAGCAGCAGCAGCAGCAGTACCAGCAGCAGCAGCAGCAGCAGCAGCAGCAGCAGCCGCCACAGGGAAAACACATTTTTCAAATCCAACTTCGCAGCCCGTCAGCAGAATGATGAGTATGAGTATGAGTACAACATGGTTGGTAACCACGGCATGCGTTACATGGTGGAGGGAAACTGGGATCTACTCACAGGCACGTGCCAGATCCAAGGAAGGCCTCACGACCCTAGGTCTACTGAACCTGAACGGCTGGCTCCGAACCAGGGCTTGCCTCCGAACCAGGATTCAGATGGAGGTTTGACAGGAGGAGGAGGGAGAGCATCGATTTTAAGTGATTCCGTCACCCTAAGTCCCGCCATCCCTGGTTCTGCTGCTCCAGGCTCCAGGCTCCAGGCTGGAACTGCTGCTCCAGGCTCAAAATATATCGTCCTCTCTCCTGGCGATGGCGACAGCATTGGATTCCTGCCACCTCCCAGCTCTGCCGCCCCAAGCTCTGCCGCCCCAAGCTCTGCCGCCCCAAGCTCTGCCGCCCCAAGCTCTGCCGCCCCAAGCTCTGCCACCCCAAGCTCTGCCGCTCCAAGCTCTGCCGCTCCAAGCTCTGCCGCCCCAAGCTCTGCTGCCCCTAGTTCGGAGTATGGCCCAGGTTCAGAGTATGCCCCAGGTTCGGAATATGCCCCAGGTTCGGAGTATGTGTACTATCCACCTGGATCTGAAGGCGAGATTGGCTCATTGGCTTCTCCCAGCTCTGCCGCCCCTAGCTCTGCCGCCCCAAGCTCTGCCGCCCCAAGCTCTGCCGCCCCGAGCTCCGCCGCCCCAAGCTATGCGGCTCCAAGCTCTGCCGCCCCAAGTTCTGCCGCCCCAAGCTCTGCCGCCCCAAGCTCTGCCGCCCCAAGCTCTGCCGCCCCAAGCTCTGCCGCTCCAAGCTCTGCCGCTCCAACCTCAGCTGCCCCAAGCTCTGCTGCCCCTAGTTCGGAGTATGGCCCAGGTTCAGAGTATGCCCCAGGTTCGGAGTATGCCCCAGGTTTGGAGTATGTGTACTATCCACCTGGATCTGAAGGCGAGATTGGCTCATTGGCTTCTCCCAGCTCAGCCGCCCCTAGTTCTGCCGCCCCTAGTTCTGCCGCCCCTAGTTCTGCAGCCCCAAGTTCCGCCGCCCCTGGTTCCGCCGCCCCTGGTTCCGCCGCCCCTAGTTCCGCCGCCCCTAGTTCCGCCTCCCCTAGTTCCGCCGCCCCTAGTTCCGCCGCCCCTAGTTCCGCCGCCCCTAGTTCCGCCGCCCCTAGTTCCGCCGCCCCTAGTTCCGCCGCCCCTAGTTCCGCCGCCCCTAGTTCCGCCGCCCCTAGTTCCGCCGCCCCTAGTTCCTCCGCCCCTAGTTCCTCCGCCCCTAGTTCCGCCGCCCCTAGTTCCGCCGCCCCTAGTTCCGCCGCCCCAAGTTATGCCGCACCGAGTTCTGCTGCTCCAAGCTCTTCCCCTCCCAGGAATGCTGCCCCCAGCTCTGCTGCTCCCAGTTCAAACAGGGCACCAGGCTCGGAAGTTGCACCGGGTTCAGATGCGGCACCTGGCTCAGAAACAGCGCAAGGTTCGGAATTGGCCCCTGGTTCGGAAGCAGCTCCTGGGTCGCAGGTTGCTCCAGGTTCGGACGATGCTCCGGGATCAACTAATGCACCAGCCTCAGAAAATGCTCCAGGTTCTGAAGATTCTCCAGGCTCGGAAAATGCTCCAGGCTCAGAAGAGGCTCCAGGCTCGGAAGAGGCTCCGGGCTCGGGAAATGCTCCAGGCTCAGAAGATTCTCCAGGCTCGGAAGATGCTCCAGGTTCAGAAAATACTCCAGGCTCGGAAGAAGCTCCAGGCTCAGAGAATGCTCCAGGCTCGGAAGAAGCTCCAGGCTCGGAAGAAGCTCCAGGTTCAGAGAATGCTCCAGGCTCAGAAGATGCTCCAGGCTCGGAAGAAGCTCCAGGCTCAGAGAATGCTCCAGGCTCGGAAGAATCTCCAGGCTCGGAAGGATCTCCAGGTTCAGAGAATGCTCCAGGGTCAGAAGATGCTCCAGGTTCAGAGAATGGCCCAGGCTCGGAAGAAGCTCCAGGTTCGGAGTACGCTCCAGGCTCGGAATATGCTCCAGGGTCGGAAAATGCACCAGATGCTCCAGGTTCGGAAGCTG